AATAAGCTCTTGTTATACATTGTTCCTCTGCTCTAGGAAGCTAAACCCTTCCGAAGTGGCTTACATTAGTGAAGCTAGTCGGTATCAGGAAAGTATTCCTAACAGTAAGTAAAACAAAATATATATCTTAAATATATAAGTTTTCTTCTATATAAATCTTAATAAGCATCCGCCCTCCAATAGCTTAATAAGGCTATTAATAATAGTAAGATAATCTATACAGATAGTCAATCTGCAATAGTATTATCTAAAAATCCATTATATTATGCTAGAATAAAGTATATAGATATAATATATCACTTTATCAGATATCATATAGTAGAGAATAATATAGACCTTCTATATATTTCTACTAACAAAATAATAGCTGATGGATTTACTAAAATACTTATAGGACCTAAATGGTAAGCATTTTTCAGAGGTCTTAACCTAAAATAAATATAAGATGCCTGATCAAAATAAGCTATATATAAGTACCTAAATTGTCCTACTTATAATAGCTTAAGGGGGTGTATTAATCCAGAATGAGATCTATAATATATTTCTTAAATAATAGAATGAAAATATTAGTTATTTAGGTATTAGGTAATAACCAAGGTATTTAACTAACCGAGGTTGTATGAAAAGCAGGGTAATTGGTCTATATAAGCAACAGGACCTACCTTAATTTTGTAATATAAGTAAAACAAAATATATATCTTAAATATATAAGTTTTCTTCTATATAAATCTTACTAAGCATCCGCCCTCCAATACAATAGCTTAACAATTATAAAGTAATATATAAGTAATTATATAAGTAATTATATAAGTATTATTCTAATTATTTTAATTATTTTCTTAAAAATAAGTAGAATAAGTATATTAATTAATAGTTGATAACTAGGGTACTACTAATTAGTAGAAATAATTATTTTACTTATTTTAGGCTAAATAAGTAAGATAATAAGGATATTAAATTTAAATCTATAAAAATATCCTGTCCTTACCTTTACTACAGCTCTCCGTAATTTAACTGTCTAGTTTATCTAGTAGTTAGTTTAAATATATTCTTATACTCTTAAAGCTTATACTATTCTAAGTTATAAATATAATTATCTTACTATATTCCTTCCATAATAAGCTCTGGTTATATCTTATTCCTTTGTTTTAGGAAGCTAAACCCTTCCGAAGTGGCTTACATTAGCGAAGCTAGTCGGTACTGGGAAAGTATTCCTAACAATTTCATTCTGGATTAATACTAGATCTCATTCTGGATCAACAAGTTTAGATAATAAATTAATAAAGTGTAGGTAATACATAACCTAATTATATAGTACATGCTGATTTTTCATCTACAAATCTGAGGTCACTATAAATCTGGGGTCAAAACTCTAATTCTAACATTATATTTTTATTGCCCTCTCGTTTGGGACCCTAATATCACGACTTCAGTCAGGTGTCGGATCAAGTCCTGTCTCCATGCTGAGCTCTTCTTCGATAGTTATCCATTGACAAGATACATGCTGGATGTCATGTTCTCTTCCTATACAGGACGGGTTCATGTGACATGACATGTCCCAAAGCTTCTTGCCAGCGCTTATCCATCTATGGCCAGGACATTGGAGACAGTTTGAGACTACAGCTCATTCTGGCAGGATCCAGCGACAGTGCTTGAAATTAGGGTGAAGTTGCCTATGAAAACCGCGCTAGGGCAGCCTTTTCTTCTGGAGGCGCGACTCCAGCTGCCATTCTTCATAGCGAACAAGGACGAGACACTGGAGGTTCGAGCTTTGACACTCAGGATAACGCCTGTTATTCAGTGCCGCACTGTGAGTGCACCTAGGGGAGAGGACGGCGTAGACATAACTTTCCTATTCGGCAAAGAGCAGTACTAGCAGAAGAGGAGAAGCAAATTGCTTCGTCCTTTCACGTCCAAGTCTGCGCCCGTGTTTGACGTGGCGACATGCAGCGTCTCTTGATTTTTCCCGGCCATGCTCTCCTCGTATTACACACAAAGCTTTCGCTCTTTTCCTCTTGTCAACCAAGTTTCAATTCAATGGGCCGCTTATGTTAAGGCTAGGCGACCGCAAGCTCGAATTACACTTTCGCCGGACCGAGGTGGTGCTGTCTTCTGTGGCTCAGTCAACAGGAATGAGGATGTCAACGGTGATGATGGCCAAATTGTATAGAATCTGGCGTATAGGGCCGAATATAAAGAGTAAGCTGCTTGTTCTAGCCGGAGAACGATTGTAAATCGGGGAGACAAAGACGCCGCTCGGTTCTGCTGTAACAACATCTCAAGCATGTTTTCTTGAGCGTGGAGACATCAAACAGAACAGCTATCAATTGGTGTAATATATCCGAATCATCGACTACCAGAAATTATGCCATTTCATCGTCTCGGGTATCTTACACAAGCTACAAATACACCATTCAGTGAAAACTTAGGTGACGACTCAGCGACACGGGTTACCACCAGCCCAATCAAGTACGCATCATTTTCACGAAGCTCCCCAACAGATCATGCTAAAGATTAGAATCCCCCATATCTACGGATGAACTTGCAGCAGAACTACTTAGTTTGGCTCTTATTCTTCTAAATCCTCTCATGCTGAAAGAAACGACAAAAAGCCTGCGAACGCTCGCAATGATGCAATAGAAAGCGCCGGCAATGCAAGAGGTAAAAGACGATGAGGAACCCCGCTCAAAATTCTGTAGGCAAGGTGGCATCGACAGTTAGCTCACCTGACTCGATGCGATCAACACGAAGGACCAGCTCCTGTCATGCAAAGGTAAGCAACTCGAAAAATTTTCATGTCGGGTAGAGTATAGAACGCACTTTTGTTGCCCGGGCGATGCGGAAGGCGATGGGCGGTAGTTTTTCCTTGTTATTTCGCTCCTGGTTCAGTTCAATCCTGCTCTTCTCGAGGACCTTGATAACAGGAGGAGCGTGCTTCCGCAGCGCCAAATTTCCAACCTCGGCCACAGCAGAGTTTGTCTTCTCTGTAATGTCTTCCACAGTTAAACTTATCTCGCGAATGTATTCATTGATCACGGTATCGTCTGCTGAACCTGAACGAACAGAATTCACCAGCGGTTGAATTGAGCGAACAAGAAGCGCCGTTGAATCATCCAAGAAGTTTTTGAACTCCTCAAGTGATGACTCTTGTAGAGAGCTCATGCTATTTTGTGTTATTCCCAAAACTCCCCCTTTGTCACCACTTTCACGTGCAGGACTCAGGTTGTTGCTATAACGGCTGTAGCGACTGTAGGCAGAGTATCCAGAGGCGCTTCCAAGACTGCTTTGATTGCGAACATGTCCGTTGACGCTGTTCACCTTTGTGGAAAGCGTGTTGAAGTTCGTAGGCGTAGTGCCTCGTGGTGGGACCGGAAGGGCCTTGTCGCGGTCACTTTCGGGTGACTCCAACTCGTCAGAGGGTGTGGGCTTGACCTTGACAGCACGAACAAGTTCCATTACAACCGCTGTAAGATTTGACGCTGCCGCGTCTACAAGGCTTACAGGAGCAAGGCCTGCAGCAGCCGAGTGTGCTTTTGTTGCAGTGATAAGATTGTTCGCTGCATTGCTAAGCTTAGCCCTGAGAGAGGTTTGTTGTCTGAGTGATTCGACCGTTCCGTCGTCTAAGCTGCTCTCCGGAGTGCCTAGAGATTCAATGTCGGAGGAAATGTTCCTCACAGTTATTACGACCTGCTTCATGCACTCTATTAGAGCGTCCGACTCTGGTCTTCTTGCCAGTTGCAGTAGCTCGTCGATGGCAAGTTGATAGCTTGTGACGTGCACATCTCTAATCAAGCCATCTGGAGCACTGAATATCGAATCTCTTGCCATGGCGCTCGCATCACCGTTGATACCAGGCAGGCCGAGCATGCTCGCTCGTAAAGACCGGTTCTGACTCTTGAGCTTGGCATAACGAGCCTTCCACTCGCGTACTTCTCTTTCAAGAGCCGAAACTTGATCAAGCAATCGCTCTTCTTTCTCCAGCGCATCAGCAGACTGCAAAGACAAGTCCCTCATTTCCTGAAGAAACCGTGCGGCGTCTCGGCGGACTTCCTCTGTAGTCTGTTTCTGCTCGGCTAGTTCTCGCTCAAGCGCCTCTAATCTCTCGGTAGAGTCTCCGAAACCACCGGTGAGGCCAGCACGATCCTGATTGATTGATGCAGTAGCTGTTGCAAGCTGTGCCCGTAAGTCACGTTCAATTTCTCTTCCTTCCCTTCTTGCGTCATCCAGCTGCGCTCTCAATTCCTTTTCAACTTCGCGTTCGTTGCGGCGAGCAACATCCAGGTCTTCACGTAGTTGGCGCTCGCTGTCCTGTTTCTCTGTACGTACCCTGGTTAGCTCTGCCTCGAGGCTGTCGTTGAGGTCTCGGGCGTCTTTCAATTTGGCTTCCAAGCTAGAACGTAGCTCTTTCCACTCTGAACGCTCCTGTTCCAAAGATGGATCCTGGCCCTGCCTGGATTGTACCTTCTCAAGTTCTTTATCCTTTTCCCGTAATTGGCCCTGTAATTCATCCACCTTACGCTCCAATACGTCAATTTGGGCTCTCAACTCAGCAACGTCCGGGCTTGAGCCGTTTGCACCTCTTGCCGAGTTATCATCATCGTCGTCCTCAACCATGAGACTTTTATTAGGAACGATAGTATTGCTTTGAAATGTCTTCGGCATTGGCTGGTTGTAGTCGTTGGGAGAATTTTCAAGACCAGGCTGAATGCCCGGCGCAGTATTGTCAAAAGAGCCACCAGGCAGACCCCTTGATGCGGTGCGTGGTGGTGGTCTGAATCCATTTGGCGTTCCAACTCGGGGAGGACCAACGCTCATCATGCTCCCGGCTCGGCTGCCAGGCCCATCTAGACCTGCAAATCTTGGGAAGCGCCGTTCAAGTTCGTAATAAACATCTGTGGCCAACTGCCTGAACCTTTCGGGTGGTAGTGTCGCTAATTTTTGACGAGCTTGATTTCGCTTGTAGTGGAAGTTTTGCTTGGGGAGCAGGTACTTTGGGGCGCCGGACATGCCAGGCCCACCTCCACGTTTCTCATCTTCTCGTCGCAGCAACTCGTCGTAAACATCTGTGCTGAGCTCTTGGAATTGTATTGAGGTGAGACGGAGGAGCTTATCACGGGCGCGATTCTGTCGTTGGTCGTTTGGTTCATTCATAAGATAGGGGGACAAAAAGTTCTTGAGCACCTTGTAGTGCTCGGACAGCGATTCTTCCATCAAGTACGCACGACGGCTGTCTATGCTTCCGGCAATGCTGCGACTGTCGACGCTGCCCCGAGAGACGGAGCTGGGAGGTGAAGGATTCCCACCACGAGCGCCGTTCTGCATGGCTCCATCGGTAGTACTTGTGTTACTGTTGTGACCGGACGAAATGGGCGGGGTATCTGGGAAGCCCTTGAGGTTTGGGTTGTTGAGGTTGCTTCCGTAAGTTGGGTATGCGCCTATGGGTGACCAGTCGTTACCGTCGGTGGATATCGGGGGTGAAGATAAGGGAGGCGCGGCTTGCATTGCACCGTGAGCGTGACCAGCTCATGCGAAAAGGCCCGTCCTTCTAGTCCGATTCGCCAGCAGGAGCCTGATTTTGGTTTGTCGGACGTTTTTCAAACACAAAATGTTGAAACAAATGTGTTCTGTGGGAGCGTGTCTGGCTTCGACAGAAGCTTCGAAGACTAGAAACGACCGCGACGGCGTGAATGAACGAGAGAAAGCGAGAGAATGGAGGGGGGAAGGCGGCAGGAAGGCAGGTTGGGGAGAAAGTGAAGGAGAGAGGGAGAGGACTGGTTGAGGATTTGGTCGTGCCGGAGCTCGATGGACAGTTTTGAAGACGGACAAAGTGTGACCAGAGGCGGAAACAGGTGGGAGGTTTCTTCACGCCCGCGGCAGAAGTCCAGCGCGTTTCAGAAACTGCACAGGAGAGCAAGCAAGGGAGAGAGGCACAGAGCGAAGACGGAGGCTGTAAGTATGACGGGAAGAGTTCTGTCCTGTGCAGCCGTAGATGTTGGGTGAGGATAAGGATTTGGCTTGATCAAAAGAACCTCGTCCGCGGTCGACTCGCTGAAAGGGGGCTTCTGGGGCTGCGCTTGGGCTTGCGCTTGGGCTTGCGCGTGCACACGTCAAAGCTCGACGCTTTGTGGCTCTGCCAGCCCGACTTACGCAAGACCGTTGGATCTCGAGCCACCAAATCAACCATCCACGCCCTGATCCAGACAATGTCTCTTTGCCGCTTCGGAAGAGAAATAGCAGACCGTCTTCTGAAGCGGTGATCTCGTTAACTCACCCGCTCAGCTGGACGTCATCGACGCTGTGTTGGTGTGGTTGGCCTCGTCGAACGCCCTCCCACCGAGTCGAATCCGTGAAGCCCTTGCGATCTGCAAAGGACCGCCAAAGATGCGCCAGATGCCGCATCTGCAGAGCCAGATCAGCACGACTGTGTCGCGTCCGGTCAGATTCATTTCTTGCCCGCCGATCTACAAACTAGAGACACCTTCGTGGCCAGTGCTAGCACCTACTGTTCTTTCCTCTTCATAGCGGCGCACAGCATTGAGCAGTTGCTGACGTACGGCCTTCACTGCCCTTCGTTCTGCACACTCCTGCATGGACGGAGGTTCGCATAAAAGCAAGGATCTATTCTAATCTGGTGGATTGACCAGGTTCATCTCCCATGACTCGGGGCAACGATTCCACTCTTCATAGGCCATGCTGAACCTTATCACGCCTTCGGCCTATTACTGACTTCATAACCACGCTTTCAGGCCTTCGAGCGAGTGTGAGCCGTCGCAACAACAATAAAAAATAACCATCACACTTCAATCTCGGTATTGTCGCCCATATTCCACCACGCAAAACATCCAGAGTGGAAACAGACTGTTCTGGCTGCACAAGTGCTTCGGAGCTCTGAACATTTGTATGTATATTACACTCAAAATAGAGACCCATTTATCGCAGATTGATTCTGTAACATCGGCCCTATGCCTTTCTGATCTTGCTCTTCGGTAGCTTAGCGCAGTCTCGACACAGCCAGTCCCCCACCGGCTCTGCATCGAGTCCCGCGCACTCCCAGTGGAACCACTGGTTCTTGCAGTCTGCGTTATCGCATGCGACCATATCGCCGTAGCTGACTTTTTGGCAATAGCAGTATTTTGTGTCATCTGCGCCATCATCATCGGCATCTGCACTTTCGACGTCGTGATCTGGCTCATTTTCAATCTCTGAGCCATCCTCGCTCGCTACACTATCCTCTCCCGTCGTAGACGGTGACGCTCGGGAAACATTGTTGAGCCGTCTGTTCACCTTTTTCGACAGGCCATGCTTGTTTGTTTTCTTTTTGTTCGGTTTCATGTCAGGCCTCTTACCGGCGAGTGGCCTCTTCGCTGGCCGTGGGCCCACGCTGCCCGCACGACTACCTCCTGGGGTGCCTGCCTTGGGCGTGCTTGGACCCAGTGAGGATTGTCTTGCGAGGGTGGAAGGTCTGGCAGGTAGAGGACCTAGGCTGCCCTCAGGCCGAGGGCGCTTTCGCTCGGAACTGGCCGACGTCTCACGCTGAGATCGATTTAACTGTATGGTGGCAGCAGCTTGAGCGCTGGCCAGATGTGAGCGATTAAGGAGCGGATGTGGTTGCACCACAGCCCCGCTGCTATTATTTGTGCTGGCACCAGAAATGGCTCTAGTGACCTGGTTGATTGCAGCCTGTGCGACGTTGGTCTGACCACCTGCTGTGTTCAGCGACAGTGGCTGCAGAGGCGTGTTTGTACCTGTGTTAGCAGACGACGACGGAGGGACGAGATTGCCAGGTGAATCGCGAAGCAAGCTCGGCATGGACGGATCGATAGGCATAATGCCATCGGTTTGCAAGTCTCTTAGTTTTATATCTAGCCTTTTGACGTAACGATCCATCTGTTGTTCCCGTCAGCATGGCCTGGTCAATAAATGACACAGTCAGAAAGATCTGAACATACCAGTACACATGACTTTTGAAGTAGAGCCAGTTTTTCCTCTTGAAGTTCTTGTGCTTTCAAGAAATTCTTTCTAACAGCATTGCTGTACTCTTCTTCTTTTGGGTTCTCGACTAAACTACCATTTTGCTTAATAAATTTTTGAATGTTGCTATCCCTCGAGTTGATAATTGCATAACATTCATTGATGCTTTCTTGTTTAGCTTGAGCTTCTTCATACAAATGCGCAATCTCTGCCGGCAAATTTGCAACTAGCCGGATGTCAGCACGCGAAACTTTGATTCTCAACTCGTTGCCAACCTACCATCGTGTATGAACTGCTCCAAAACATTTGCCGCGTCTTCAGTGGCAGCCATGCTTCAAGAGACTCAAGATTATCCAAACACGGTGTTTTTCATCGAGTCCGGAGGTGGATAGCGCCGACAGGAGAGTCTTTATAGTGTCGAGGTCCTGAGAGGCTGCAGCTGTAGATTGATTTGGTTGATGGGTAGTCACTTCCGACACTCGCTTTCTGGCCGTTTCGACAGCCCAGACTCCGCCACAGACTACTTGAAGTGGTTAGCGCCCGCCACTTTATCCTTGGCAGGAATGAATTCAGAAAGACGATTCCATCTTTCGGTTCCCTTCAACATCTGACGAGTATGGGAAGACTATTAAGGTTGTGAGTGGACAGAAGTCCTGAAAATTTTGCCTATTTGAATTCCCACGGCCCACGCAATCATGAATCATATGTTTATCGGAAATGGCAACGCGCAACCTATTGGTTGTGTGAACACTTTTGATGAGGACCCCATAGTTCAAGAATGGCGGCCCGAGGCCAGAGACCCGAATAAGCATCTGGATGCTGAGGTCTGGAGAGGCTTAACCCTGGCTCAACAAATTGCTATTATCGAAAGAGAGGCAGAACACAATGGTGTCGAGCGTCCTCAGGATTATACAGTGTCCTTTCACTACAACCCGCGCGTTGAGTCACATCACTTTGGCCGAAATCATCCAATGAAGCCATGGAGGTTGACACTTACGAAACAACTCATTTTGAGCTACGGCTTGCACTACGCAATGGATTTATTCGAGTCTCGCAAGGCTACGAAGCAAGAACTCGCCGCTTTTCATAATCAAGAATATCTCGACTTTCTCTCAAGGTAGGAATTCGAAGTTATAGTTTGAGAACTAGGCTAACACTTTTCAAAGTATTAGTCCTGGTCAAGAAGTCGACGAGGGACAGCGCTCACAATTTCTCGGCAGCGCAGACATCAGCGCTGACTGTCCGATTTTCGACGGCATGTGGGACTATTTCACTCTATATACCGGCGCGTCCCTTGACGCCGCACGTAATCTGATCTCGGAACAGTCGGATATCGCCATCAACTGGTCTGGTGGTCTGCACCATGCACACAAGAATATGGGCGCTGGATTCTGCTACATCAACGACATCGTGCTTGCCATCCAGCAACTGCTCACGGTACACTCTCGGGTTCTGTACATTGATATCGACGTCCATCACGGCGATGGGGTGGAAGAAGCGTTCCATTCAACTGATCGTGTTCTTACGCTTTCGTTCCACAAATATGGTAAAGATTTTTTTCCTGGCACAGGTGGCATGGACGAAACTGGACCAAAAGATCTCAAGAACCCAGGACAACTTGACAAAGAGAGCCCCGGGGCGCATCACGGACTCAATGTTCCTCTCCTGGACGGGATCAGCGATAGCCAATGGCAGAATCTGTTCGAAAATATCACGGGTCCGGTCATTGATGCCTACGATCCTGGGGCAATCGTTCTACAATGTGGAGCAGATTCTCTTGGCGGTGACCGGCTGGGCAACTTTAACCTCAACATCAAAGCTCATGGTTTCTGCGTCGACTTTGTTAAGCGAAGATCGCACAAGCGCAAACTCATGATCATTGGTGGCGGAGGCTACACACCACGAAATGTCGCGAGGTGTTGGACCCATGAAACGTCCATATGCGTCAATGTCACCCTAAACAATACGCTTCCAGCGCATGTCCCGTACAGGCAAGCATTCATGGGAGAAGAGCAAGGCAACGGGCTGATGTATCCGTCACTTGACAATATCCCAGGCAAGATTCATCCAAACACCCACACGGACCAATATTTGAACAGTCTAGTTGAGAACATTCATCGCGAGTTGCAGTACATCAAAGGGGCACCGAGCGTCCAAATGGCACGTATGCCGAATGGATATCTAAAGATCAGAGAAGAAATTGACGCCGAAATACGAGAACAAGATGAAGAGAACGAAGCTGTGAGGAGGAGAAGGGAGAAGAACGTCGGTGGCCGAGGAGAGTACCGGGGAATGTGAGATCGTATAATTCTGCTGCCGCGAAGGTTCTGATTGTCGAGCAACAATTTTACTCTGAACAGAAGGCACGCTCAAGTCTCCTGACAGAGCGCAAATCTTACTATAAGCGCCTGTTCATTGTCACATTCTGGCTGCAGAATGTAGCGAATTTACGGTTAGAGCCGTGGGATTACGACAATCGGATTTGCGAATTGTTCGGCGAACCATATTACCTGACTTTCCCTCTCAGTCAGCGGCGTTGTCTATTCATAGTGATGACGCTCTAACTGGATTTGATCGAGAAGCCTTCCTTTGCAAATGGCAAAGTATGCGGAGCGATCTTTTAATCACTCACATGTTGTGAGCGTCATGGCTGCACCATTACTTGATGAAAACTGCGCGCTCCAAAGAGGTTCTGACGTCGTGCTACGGGGTCAACCTGCGGCGACACTAGTTCACGAGATGTATCGACTCCCGCGTCGGAGCGGTCCCCTCCATCTCGTGAAATCTGAAACAGTGGAAATGGCTGGGCGATTTTCAGCGAATATAGATCCATGATCAATAATTTGGCAAGCACAGGGAGGCTCCAGAGGTTTTTGGAGGTTCAAGCTTAGGAGAAGTGATTGCTAAGGCTATCTTGTTGCAAGTTGAGTGTTCACATTTGTGACGGGTATAATAATTGTTATTTTACACGTGACCGGATAGGGACCGGGACTTCGGCCGTCAGTAAGATTCGCCTTGGTACGACACGTCTGACCATATCTTTGCTATATTTCCGTTCTATTTGAAGCTTGACCTGTTACCAAATTTGGGACGCACCTGCCCGTCGCACTGATTTTAGACTCCGTTCCCAAAGTTACAACTTTCAATTTTGTGGTAATGTGTGTTGATCAGCGCATTCCGAAACTCAGCGGCGGGTCCCGTCGTAGTCTGCGGGATGAAGTGGAGTCGCCGCTTGTGTCTTGACGTTTGTAGTCAAGGCTTGTAGTCATGACACAACGTAAGTCGTCTGACCATCCCTCGGCTATCAGGCAAGAATTAGGCAATGCAGCAGTGGAATTGTAATTACCATCTTCAAACGACCTATGTCCCAGCATTGATGGTTCTTAGACACGAAGGCCAAGATCGGCCAAGGAGGAAAAGAGATCTTTGCAGCCGTTCGGCAGAAGCTTACGATTCTTGCTCTGGGCGAATCCTTCCACAGACCTCTGAGAACTTTGACAAATCAGGCTCTTATTGGCTGCTAATTTTCTTATCAAAAGACGCTAGAATGATGTTGGAAGACTTTGCCGAGCAGACCCTTTCTGGACCTCCTCTTCTGTGGAACACCACGCGACTTTCACAGCAGGGATTGCTACCGGTTGATAGGAGACTTTCGATACGCGACGCACAGCTGGTGTCGGTAAAAAACCAAACTCGCTGATGCTGCCCAGCCTGTATCCACAACTGAGATGAATCCATCGTCTTTGTTTGCGTAGCGCGAGGGATCAACGGTCGAACTGCACTCCAGACCCTGGTCGCAAATTCTTACGCCGCTATCTCCAATCAATCAAAGCAAGAAATCTCGCGTTAGCCTCCGATGACCTTGTTTTAAGTGCTCAGCGCTGTGAGAACGGCAAGAGGGGTCGAGAAGGTCTGTGAGGACCTAGCCAACTTGGTCACGAATGTTCAATGGCTGCCGTCCCGCCACTCAAGCCTCGAGCGCTGAGCTTATCTTGGGACCACCCACACCTTAGGTCGGCCACGAGAGCTTTCGGCGATCTGCGCAAAGGGCACCATGATATTTTAATCCCCCCGTATCCTAGGTGTAACCTTAACGCCAGGCCATAAGCACCTCGTCCTCTTTCAACCATAATTGCCCCATTGCGACTTTGACCAGTCGTTGGAGCGCACTTGTTCTACGGGCTCCTTATTTGTGTGCGACGTGTATTTTTTGCCGGCTCGACGCAGCAAACATGAGTTACGAGAAGGACGTTGAGAAGATCCCAGATACCGGATACGAGGCTCATTCCGATGACACTATACCCGGCGAGACCTTGAACTACACTGGCACATTTGGCAAGCTGCAGTCGATTGCTGGTAAATATGGAGTTGAGCAGAGAGGCATTGAACGCGTGCCTGAGAATGAGCGCACGGATAACAAACACCCATTGTTAAATGTCGCCACCATGGTAGGTTGACATGGAACTTTGGTAAGCCATGGCTTATGAATACTAATAAATGTATCGTTAGTGGCTCTCGGCAAATATGGTTGTTTCTTCCTTTGCAATTGGGGTTTTAGGTCGTTCTTTGTTCTTCCTGGGCTTTGTGGATGCTATTCTAGTCATTCTCTTCTTCAACCTGCTGGGTATCATACCCGTTTGCTACTTCTCAACCTTCGGTCCACGTTTTGGACTTCGCCAGATGGTATTGTCACGTTTCTGGTTCGGCTGGTACGGCGTAAAGCTCATCGCCGTCTTCAACGTCCTCGCTTGCATAGGCTGGTCTTCTGTCAATTCGATTGTCGGCGCTCAGCTAATTCATGCCGTCAACAACAATGTTCCGGGATGGGCTGGTATTCTTATCATTGCCATCTGCACCATGCTAGTGTGTTTCTTTGGCTACAAAGTTGTACACGCCTACGAGTTTTATTCTTGGATCCCAACCTTCATCATTTTCATGATCATCCTAGGCACATTCGCTCACACTGGCGATTTCGTCAATATTCCAATGGGCGTTGGTACATCTGAACTCGGCTCCATCCTTTCTTTTGGCTCCGTTGTCTATGGTTTCGCAACTGGCTGGACTAGCTACGCTGCAGACTATACTGTCTATCAGCCCGTGACTATGAGTCGTACCAAGGTCTTCTTCGCCACCTGGATCGGTCTGATCATCCCGCTCCTCTTCACCGAGATGCTTGGTTGTGCCGTCATGACCGCTACCTCACTCAATGGCGGCGATAACATCTATCAAAATGGTTACGATGCATCCGGCTCTGGCGGTCTTCTTGCCGCCGTTCTCTTCCCCCACTTAGGCAATTTCGGAAAATTCTGCTTGGTAATGCTCGCTCTTTCCATAATTGCCAACAACTGCCCCAACATCTACTCGGTCGCTCTCACCATGCAGGTTGTGTCTCGTTGGACTGCCAAAGTTCCACGCTTTATTTGGACCTTTCTTGGTACAGGTGTCTATATCGCTATCGCAATTCCTGGTTACTCCCATTTCGAAACCGTGCTTGAGAATTTTATGAACTTTATCGGTTACTGGCTCGCCATTTACGAGGGCATCGCCATCTGTGATCATTTTTTCTTCAAGCGAGGTTTCGGCGGTTACAAACCAGAGCTCTACACCGAGCGTGGGGCTCTCCCACCAGGAATTGCCGCCGTCGGTGCTTTCTGTTTTGGTGTTGCTGGAATGGTGACTGGCATGTCTCAGGTTTGGTATGTTGGTCCGATTGCTCTTCATGCAGGTGAGGCCCCATACGGCGGTGACGTTGGTTTCGAACTTGGCTTTGCTTTCTCCTTTGTGACCTATTTCATTTTCAGGAAGCTGGAGCTTAAATATTTTGGAAGATAAATCGATTTAAGTTGTAGTGGAGGAGCGCTTAAAACTTTCGCAGACTTTTCCCTTCTTGTTTTGATAACTAGGTATGAGACGGAATGGTGACGGGTCACGTGAAGCGATGATACCACTAATTGGAAAGTTTCCTGTCTTATCTAGCCGATCCTCGTGTCTATATATAACCCAATTTAAATTTTACTTGTACTAGACTTCTTTTGGAACACAATCTGATATTGTGCGAAAGCATTTGTTTGTGGGCTTAGTGCACATGAAAGTGATTGAAATTGCTGTTCCAATTCGTCGTTGAATCGATAGCCTCGTCTAGCTTAACAACAACATGTTTATGGTCGCAATTATTTGCATTCACGAACTTGCTGGGGCATTAAAATTTCAACATTCTCGACTCTAGAGATTTACTAGAACGTCCAAGTTAGTGATAATATAGACACGAAGGTGCAATGAGGTGGTGCAGAAGCTTGGGCCATCATGTGGCTAGTGTGTAGGTGGAGAGACAGAGCCCTACTGCTTTCTTCGCCGACAAATTTTTTGGGGAGAAGCGCATACCAGCACGCAGAATCTCCGTTCCTCAGCCACGCATAATCCTCTGCCCTCACTGTACCCGCAATGGCTTTCCAGGCTACTGGCGATGGTGAGGCGATCATAAAGCCCGAGGCTAAGGCGCCTGCCATGGACACGAGCGACTTACCCTTGTTGCTGAAAGACTTCTCTAAACGTACGTTCCCTATGCAATTCACTCTTGAGGGCCATGAAGACATGTGGCTAATGTGATACTGTGTATAGTTAATATTCGGTCGGCACACTATACTCCCATACCAGCTGGTTCTGAGCCACTCAAGCGCGACCTCAAATCGTACATCAGCAATGGTGTGATAAACCTTGACAAGCCGTCCAACCCCTCAAGCCACGAAGTTGTCGCATGGATCAAGAGAATATTACGGTATGCCCTGCATATTTTTATGCGCCAAAACTATGACTTACACGTACACATGTAGTGTTGAAAAAACTGGACATAGCGGTACCCTCGACCCTAAGGTAACGGGTTGTCTGATCGTCTGCATCGACCGTGCTACTCGCCTCGTCAAATCGCAACAGGGTGCCGGAAAGGAGTACGTCTGCGTTATCCGTTTCCATGACAAGCTGCCCGGCGGTGAGGCCCAACTTGCCCGTGCTCTAGAGACCTTAACCGGTGCTCTGTTCCAACGACCACCTCTAATCTCAGCTGTCAAGCGCCAGCTCCGTGTGCGGACCATCCATGAGAGTAAGCTTCTGGAGTTCGACAACGACCGCCATCTTGGCGTTTTCTGGGTTAGTTGTGAGGCTGGCACGTACATACGGACGTTATGTGTGCACCTGGGTCTCTTGACGGGCGTTGGCGCGCACATGCAGGAACTCCGCAGGGTACGGAGTGGCGCCATGTCGGAGCAGGATAGAATGGTCACGCTGCACGATGTGTTAGATGCCCAGTGGATGCACGATAACCACAGGGACGAGTCGTACCTGCGCACCGTCATTCAGCCCCTTGAGTCACTTCTGACTTCTTACAAGCGCATTGTGGTTCGCGATTCTGCGGTCAATGCAATCACGTATGGAGCCAAACTCATGATCCCCGGTCTTCTTCGATTCGAGTCTGGCATCTCCCTCCATGATGAGGTCGTACTCATGACCACAAAAGGGGAGGCTATTGCCATTGCCTACGCACAGATGTCCACTGTTGAGATGTCAAGCTGTGACCACGGTGTTGTTGCGAAGGTCAAGCGCGTTATCATGGAGCGTGACCTGTATCCGAAGCGATGGGGTCTAGGACCTATGGCGCAGGAGAAGAAAAAGCTGAAGGCGGCAGGTGCTCTTGATGTACGCGGATTTGTCCAATTTTCTTACATGATTGCTAACGTAGAATCTAGCAATACGGCCGACCAAACAGCAAGACGCCATCAAAGTATCTCAGCGAATATGTTGATTACAATGACAACAAGCAGAAGGACAAAGACGCTGCGGAAGAGCAAATTCTTGCTGAAGCGAGGCAGAAGCCGAGCGAGTCGGAAGTGGCAGAGAAGCCCTCGGATCAGGAAGCTCGAGATGTACCGGCTAACGGCGAGTCAGAGAAGAAACGCAAGCATGAAGGCGAAACTGCAGAGGAACGGGCAGAGCGCAAGAAGAAGAAAGAAGAGAAAAAGGCTGCAAAAGCCGCCAAAAAGGCCGCCAAGGGTGAAGCGTAAACAAGTACTGTCAAGAGAAAGAACTACGACCCGTAGTTTCCTGCCCTACATGCGGATGTCCCTTCCTTCGGTTGTCGCACTATATACGCCCTTGTGGCCTGGATACATCCTGTAGCATGCATTGATTTGCCTCGAAGGAGTTACGGTGCGGACAGGCGTTTGTGCAGGAGTACAGGCATGCCATCATTACCTGACTTTATTTACCGATTATTGTGGGTCTAGAAAAATGCTCTGGCGTTACATCTAGGAATCCTTGCTTCGCCTCCTTTGCTCTTGCGAAGGCTCGAGATTAGAAATATTGTTATCAATCCAAAATGCTGACCGTGCTATGCTAAGTAACAGCTGATCGAATTGTTTTTTTTAACTCTGATACGAGTCGGACAATTTACAAGCTATATTTGTTGATTCTCCTTGATCAGTTCTGTATGCCTTTGGTACTGGTACTCTTCATGCTCATGCTGTGTTTCTTTCCTTTTTTTGGCACAAGGGATATTTAGTCCTAATCTTGAAGGGACACCAGCACCAAAATTGACACCAAATCCCACCCATTCGTGTTGGCTCCCACGTGGAAATAGATCCATAAGAAAAAAGCAGCAAATTATCACCACGTCTATTCTGCCACATCGAGATCTTCGGCGTCGCCATTGCCGTTCATCTCCACGCTAGCGATCGCAGCATCGCCATTCGCTGCTACCTCTGCCCCAGCCTTCGCCTCCTCTTCCCTTTTGATTTTTTCTGCATGTTCCGCCTCATCCTTTGCTCTAGCCGCGGCTTCTTCTTCAGCCTCACGAGCTTCGCGCTCTTTCTTTAGTTTATACTGCTCCTTTGCGCTCACAAGTTGGGATTCTACAGCAGCTTCACTGACACGAGTCTCGACAACTGCAAGCTTGCGGCGGAAGACACGGGCCCACTTCTGAGCCCAAACCTTGATTAACTCGGCATATTCTTCGCTTGTTGCAGAGTCAACGAGGCCCTCTGCTGCGCCTGTAGCCACTCCAGAGACTGCATCTATTATCGTGGCGAAGAGTTGCCGCATAGCATTGCGCTCCGAAACTAGTAACTGGTTCATTGGACCGATCTGACCACGGATGTCCTCAACGTTCGCCGTCGTATCATCGGAGCCTTGCACTTCGAGACTGATGTAGGCCTGAACAATTTGCTGTACTCGGCCAGTGACCTTGCCAACTGTCTTTGCTACGATTTCATATCGCCATGACTCGGCTAACACTGCGCCGTCACCCAAGCTTTCAGGACCGAGTGCCCATTCAATAACTGAGTCGGGGGTGACGATTGTGTAATTTAGCAGCTTGTCGACAATATTGACCGCATTGCCGGGCTGGTCCTTCCAATACGCTACGACACTCTGAACAATTTGACGACCAACGCCAGGATGTCGTTGGCGCGAATTTTGAAGAGTAGCCCTGCTGCGGTCTATAGCTGCTGTGATATGGGACACGGACTTTGCACCGCTGTGACATAAAGCGGTCATGTAAACGTCAATAGAGGCGATCATTGGGTCAAGCCCAAAATTTGCGGCTTGTTCACGTACGGCCTCGATATATGGCTCAATCTGTTCCTCTGATGCTTTGCGTTTCATCAGCGCAAAGACCTCCCGGCCCTCAGACGCAAATGGTGTGTCGTCTTTGTCGAATTTGAACGGAGGTACATCCTTGAATTTACCTTCACTCAACAAGGGATAATAGGCTTCTGGCAAAGTGTCTCGAATACGCTTGGCGAAACTCAATCGGACCTCCTTATCGATGGCAGCAATGATAAAGGCCTTCTTCGGTGTAATGTCACTGCGTTCAAGCTCATCGACCCTTTCCGCTTCAATCAGCTCGGGTCAATACATGTCATGACTTTTTGACTCACCACTCCGTCCACTTCCATCGGAATTCAAAGTTGCTCAGGTGGTGTGCAAACCAGTCAAGATAACGGTACAGCAATTCAAGATCCATGCAATCTATGTGTCGGAAGAGCCAGCGTATGCCACGGCCCAGGGTTGGCGCGACAGCGCTTGGCGCCAGCTTGCACGCCTCGAAGATGATGCTGTGGTAGTAAATAAGTTTCTGTTTCGGTTCTGGAAGTGTCATTAATTGCGAGAAGACAGCATCGATGAACATGTCTTCCGGCTTCCAGGTTGAACGATCTGCAGGATAGTTTCGAAGTTGATCGAGGGTGATGCCTCTTGTCGCAAAGGTGCCAGGAGTCCAGAAGTCATCGACTTTGGTCAGGAAATTGGCCACCGCCAAACGATTGTAGTGGAGGATGCTGATGGTGTCGGTCATCGCGTCGCGGATCAGGGACAAGGAGATGTCGTGCATGCTGGGAACAGTCTAGCCACACTCAGCTGAAATTCAAAACACATACAACTCCGACAGAGTAAAAATCTTACCTTAATATCTTGGTTGGCAAACATGGTGAAGTGCGTCTCGGGGAAAAGCGGCCGCTTGGTCGCATCGACAGGAGCTGGAATTGTTATAGCTGGAAGTGTATGCTTTGTCGGATCTTGAGCGACGCCATTTTCGCAATCTGTCTTGACTGCTTTGATAGGTACGTATAGACGAGGGATGCATTTAAATTCCCAGTTGCGATTTGCTTCCCCACGCAGCTGCTTCTGAAGCATCTCCACGACGCTCTGATAACCAAAAGGCCTGTCCTCAAATTCCGCGGGGAAGCCATCGACAAGTTCGGCGAGAGGATGATTTGCGGCTTCGCTGGCAACAATTTCAGTCTTGTCAAGGATGTCGTCTAGATATGCTTTCGAATCAGGGGACGCGACAATGACATATGGGATTGTGAGCAGTATGACTTTAGTAAGCTCTAGACCAAGAGCCTGGTAGTGGTGTCAGTGAATCGAGCTTTTGTAATCAGGGTTCACAACTCACATCATCCGCAGACGCGCTCTGCAGGTCTATAACCCAGTCAAAAATCTGGTTTAGGATTTGGAAGACACCGACACCCTCAAGGATGCCCTGTAAACATGCATGGAAGCGTAGTAAAAGTTTGAAATCCCTCCATTCGCTCGTTGCTAGTGCTGAGGCCATCTTCTTGCTCGCTCGTGCAATCAGTTCGCGGCCAACATCTGCGTTCAAATTATTCGCGTAAAGCGCCACGGCTGCTAAGAAGGGAATTTTGAGCGGCTGCTCGCATAGCATGTCCACGAGCGTGTCAAGCAGGGGGCCACGAACTTGATCGTCATCAAAATTGTTTGCTATGTCGCGACCAAAGCCTGCGCATTGATCTTGGACGCCGTTTGCAGAATCTTCACCAATGTATATAATGTCACGGCGAATGCGGGATGCGACAGGCTCCTCGTAGCGTGGACGTTGTTGTCTGCGATAGTCGCGGTGGTCGTCATCATCCTCTGGCACGAACGCCGTATCAGTCTCTCTGTGCCAAACATATATTCCATCCTCACTTACCTCGTCCACGCTTTCTGCCACCGCCACCAGCACCATAGCTGTGCCTACCTCCGCGTCGACCACCTCCGTCACGACGTCTCTCATTATACGATGATTCGTCCATGTTCACGTCGTAAACCGAAGACAACTCGTTGTCAAGCGAAGGATGGCGACTATCAGGTACGGAACAATATAGATTGGGCAGATAAAGAAATGCCTGAGATGTGGGTAACCGTAGCTCGGGCTTAGCGATGCTCAGCTTGCTCAATAGCTCAGTGAGTTCTTGCGCTGAATTTGATAGACAGCAACACTGTTCGGCTGGGCCTTCACGTCTATTATGCTTTGGCTGGGTGTAAGACCGAATGAGACCGCAGAACGATGGATTTTCGTTGCGTTGCCGGGGATTCTGCTTCTGTAGGGATTCGGAAAAGGCCACCTTACGACGCGGAATCTGTGACGAAGAAAAGGCAAGCTCTCTCGAACTAGCGTCGTAGCGATGCTCTTTGGCAGTCAGACGTTTCAACACCCTAAATAGATGCTCAATCTCAAACTCCTTTAAGACTTGCGTCAGCCTAGTCCCCATAAGCGACTCAATTCTGAAGAAGTGCACTAGATTGTGCAGGCTCCCAACACTCACTTGCTGATAGAACGAAGTCAGACAGCCTTTGTCGTTATTGGAAGGATGCGAGCGCGGTAGCCGATACTCGAAGAGTTGCTTCCAAATGTCCTCGATCTGAGACTGGTTCAGGTTGCTATCGTAACCTTCAAAAATTCGATGCTCTGGTGATGCTTCCTCCTCGCCGTATTGTCTGATCGGCCGCGTGTGACGTTCGTGCTGAAAACGATCGAAAAGGCCTCGATTAAAAGTCCCACTGGGATGCTAGAAGCACAGCGAAAGCCGAATTAGCTCTCGCCAACAGGGCATTGCGACGGCTTGTGAAAGCGGTGGGATACTCACCGGGCCAGTACCCTGGTTTGAGTTTGTGTTTAGACACTGTTGGTGCGGGTGCGATGGCGGCGAGCACGCAGGTTTCTCGTCGTATTCGAGGCCGTCAAAGCACTCCACGCCGGAGTTGTACGCAAAACTGTGTCTCGGATCGTCGTAGATGCCGTGTCCGATATGGTGCCGCTCTCGAGGCGGAAGACGATGAGCTCGTGAGCGAGATGTAAGAATGCGACGCGAGGAAAACGAGTTAGCGCGGTTTGATTTCAGAGCCAGGCCACCGCACGTCTGCGGAATGTTGGACCTCTCCGTCTTCTTATTGGCTAGTGAAGCTAACCGCTCAGCCTTCCCATCTTCTTCATTTATGTCCTCTGCGGTTGCAGAGTGCCAGCTCCTTGTTGACCCCTCGGGCATCTTGTGATAACTTCTTTTGTCTGACACGATCAAGATGTTACCACAGCTGCTCACCAACTGCCTGGTGTTTGCAATGATTGGGTGAGCAATCGTCACAAAACAACGTATGGGCTAGGACAATGCTGAAGGTTTCTGGCTAGGCTGATCAACCACGTAACAGTCACTGGCCTGATGTAACGCACAAATGACGGAAGGCAAGGGCGAGGCCGTATTGAACACGCCTCCAGCCGAGAGCTGAGCAAACGCCCTCCGCTATTTAACGTTATGAGAACGTGTCGCATGCAGGTCTAGAGGACTTTTGCATCTCGAAGCTCGTTCAATTCAATCCATTCAGCACGGTCACGTATCCTACGCCTTGAAAATCGATAATTTGTGATTCAGAGGATATCCTTAATCCGATTCATGAGGCTATCATATCAATTTTGAAGTACTACTAACCCAGACCGCCATCTGCAAGCGGAAATGCCTTTCCAGCAGCGACCCTCACATCATACGTCATAGCAATGATGAGAAGTATGCCCATGAAATCCCTGCTTGTCTTAGCCCTCGTGATCATGCACTCTTGTCAGTCCTACCGTCGGATGTAAACTATGCACCAGGAAGGCCACCAGGAGCAAAAGTTGGCCACAGCAGCAATGAGTACCCCTCATGTACAAACGTGTTCGATGCTTTGAAAGCCCGCCCATGCCATTCTTTTTTGGAGAATTGATGAAGAGTCCGCATCGGTGACGAGTTTGGATGGGATGGGCATGCAGACCTTGAGAAAAAAAAAATAGAGCGACAAAGTAGTGGGCTGTGAGAAAGAAATCGCGCAAAAGAGAAAAGTGAGTCGCAAAAATCTAAAGTGCTGTGGAAAAGGAGTAAGAAAAATTGAACAAGCAAGTGTGTAGAGCGCGAGGAGCTGCTGCCCGTAGCTCTAATATGCTTGTCGCTTCCGTGGAAAGATAAGGAAGCGTTCCGTCTACATATAGCTGGTTTCGATGAAAACCTGCTCTTGGAACAACAAGCCCGTGACCGTGCTCGAAACTCCATCCTGCAGAAAGAAATCCATCGCAGCCGTAGGGTTATTGAAAACAAGGGGATAATGGGTATCGCTCAAGTTCGCCCACTCAGGCGACAAGCCAAGATCCGTGAAGAGTTGCCGTGCATGAAAGCCCTGCGCCAATGACAGGCTCGTGTACCCATTCCATTCGTCGTAGTAACTGATGTAGCCCATGTTATGGAAGGTCTTAGACTTAACCCTCGCCTCATTGACAACTGAAATAATGGAGAACACGCATCCCAGACCCACAGCGCCTTACAGCTTGAAAGCGAGCCCGTTGGGTCGGTCGAAGACCTGCCTTCATTCAAACCACAACGGGAGGGTTGCGGCATACATGTGGGTGGTAGATATATCATTCGGTCATAAGACAAGCGTGACGCTCCTAGGGATACGAGTACTTAGAAAGCTGCCGCGTGATCAACGTCGCAGAACAGTGGCAGCCAAAAGCATATTGATCCACATCACTGGATGCAGCGGCTTAATCAAGCCTAGCTTGCATGTCCTCCTTATTCATAGGACGGAAGTTTGGTGAGTCAATGTCAAGGCCTTTCGCGCGGAGCGCCGCGCGAGCGTGCTGAGGTACGAGAGCTTGGTTAAGCTCTGGACAGATTGACAGCTCTGGCAAACTCTGTTAGCGACGTCATTTTCGAACGAACTGCGTAACGCGTGACTGACCGTGATGAGAAAAATCAAAGAGCGGTGGAAGATCTCTTGGACCGCCATTTTGGTGACGCGAATCGGGAAGACGAGTATTCGGATCGCGCAACTCGTCGAAGAAGGGGTGTACCATGGCTTCAATGGCCGATAAGCGCTGAGTTGGAGTGTATTCAAGAAGTTTTGAAATTAGGTCGATAGCATTATGATCAGCCTTGCGGAAAACCTGCTTGATATTGAGCGAGAGCGCTTTCTGATCGTCATGGTTGGTTATTACCTTGCTGAATGGATGGGGTTTGATTTGAGGAAACTTGTGTTCCATGTAGTTCGGATTCATTGTGCGAATCTGGTCTCGCGTCGGAGTGCCCAAGACTTTAATGATTTCGACAAGTTGGTCGATACCTGACTCTCCCGGGAACAGTGGCTGTCCAAGCATTAGCTCGGCCATGACACACCCTGTGGACCACACGTCTATTCAAAAAGTCAGTGATAGCCTGCAACAAAGACAATGAGAGTGAACATACCAATTTTCGTGGTATAGTTTGTGGCCCCAAAAATGAGCTCTGGAGCACGGTAGTAGCGGGAGCAAATGTAGGACACGTTTGGCTCGTTCTCCACGAGAATTTTTGCGCTGCCAAAGTCGCAGAGTTTCAAAACGCCGGTGGCAGGATCGAGCAACAGATTTTGAGGTTTGATATCTCTGTGACAGATACCTTGAGAGTGAATGTAGGCGAGAGAGCGGAAGAGCTGGTAGATGTAAAGCTTGACTTCGAGGATAGGCATGACCGTCTTCATCTTGTTGAAGTAGCGTGACGCGCGATAAACGGTCTCGGGAACAAACTCAAGAATCAGATTAAGGTAGACTTCGTCCCGCTGAGACAGGCGTGAGCAACTTGAAAACATTGGCGGGATACATTGCACTCACCCTTTCGCCATTGCTGTAGTAGAAGGCCTTGAGTTCGACAATATTTGGGTGACGCACAATACGCATGATTTGAAGTTCGCGGTTCTGCGCAGCGAAGAAAAAGAGAAAGATAATTAGTCATTTGAAAAAAAGCCATTTCAACGTGATGACGTAGACTTTTCGAACGGTAGATCGACCCGCTTACCTTGAAACGCTTGTCCTGCAGAACGCGCTTGATAGCCGCGTCCTCGCCGCTTGGGGAAAGTTTTGTGTGGAAGACGACGCCAAAAGAGCCGTTGCCGACTATTTTGCACTGCGTGTAGGCTAGATCTCTAGTTTCACCAGTGAGACCATCTTGGACTCGCTCACGAATGACTTCTACCGAGTCGAAGGGTTAGCGAGAGGCGGCAGTAAATAAAGTGCCCACATGGGGGAAGGGGGTATGAAAAAGAGGCGGCCAACATACCACCCATTCTGAGGCTGCTGAACGCAGTTGGCCGGCTCTGCGACATTACTCGGCGGGAGCAGGTCTGAGGGCGTCAAACCACCGCTCGTTATCGAGAATACGGAGGACTCTGGTTGAGCACCTGGTGGGCAGAGCGTGGTTTGCGTGCACAAGAAAGCGCGAAGAGCAGCGAGGGGTCCAGGATAGGCGACGGTAAGGCGTTCGCGGGTGCTGGAGAGCAGGATAGGAGGTGCAGGCGGCCAAGGCAAGGAGTGTGAGAGAGCGAGTTGTGGTGTTGCAGGTTGTAGGTGGAATGGGTGTCAAGGACGTTGGGTGGAAGCTTCAAGGGTTCAGCTATTGGTCAGAAATCTGTTAGCGAACTCGTGACGCAGCTTGGCGGGCTGAGTGAGTGCACTTGGAGGGGCAAGAGGCGTGTACCATGTCAGCACAGAGCATGCGCAGCGGAAGGAGGGAGACAGCAAGCAGGACAGAGAGAGTGTTAGAGAGCGATGATTGTGGGAGCGAAGGCGCGAGGAAGTCCGACGGCGAGAGCGTGAAGGTGGGCGGGAGTGGTCAGTGGAGGGCAAAAAGGGCGGCAGGTAAGGGTTTGATTGTGGGGGGAGGAGAGGAGAGGAGAGAAAAGGCAGACGAGGAATGACGGGCTGGAGCAGACGGGCAAGAGAGCGAGGAGAGGGGTGACACTGCAGGCGGCAGCACGGTTGACTGGTCCAGTGTGCTTACTTGGGAACGTAGGGTTCATGTGGAAAGCCTGCAGGCCTAGCAGCAACACCAAAAAGCGCCGGCCGTGGAGAAAAAAAAGATGCTTGCGCCGCTGGGGAACTGTTACCTACGAAAATGAAAAAATGGACCCAGACGCCGTCGTTGTGACGGTCGGCCTGTCAGACCGGCGCAAGGTTCGGAGGCCGGAAAGGCACAAGATGGGTCGCAGGCCTTGCTGTGCTGAGCGCGGAGGCTGATCACGCAGCCGAGAGACGGTGACTGTGGATGGGGATGGGGATGTGGACGTGGCTGTGGTGGTGGTGGTGGTGGTGGTGGTGATGATTGAGGTGGTGAGATTTCTTCATAACGTATTGGGAGGGGAGGAGAGACGTAAGGTTTTATTGTCGCTCCTAAACAACACGTCAGTCCGTAGTTGGGCGGCGGCAGCGGAGCATTACAAGCACCAAAGCACCAACACCAGCAATCCAGCTCCAGCTCCAGCTCCAGCTCCAGCTCCAGCACCGGCCGCAGAACATAGGCACCACCGTGGAAAAGAAAAAAAAATTGTCAGGCCTCAGCAGAGCAGGCACACGCGCACACGTCCACGTATATACACACACAATCTCTCCTTTCCCCCCTCTTCATCTGTCTCTTGCCTCTTCGCTCACCATCATTGTCAACATCCTCGTCACCATCTTTCTTATTCTTGCTCTTATTTCGGGCGTGGCTCGCTCAATGACCATCTCACCCACACACCTCTAGCACCTCCGCCGACTTCTTGACACACCCCATTCACGCCCAACATAGACAAACACACGTGTACCCACTCTCAGACACACACACACACACTCTCTCTCTCTCTCCCTCTCGCGCGCGCGCATGTTGGATTTACTCACACAATTCGCACACTCATCCTCACCCCCGGATCGGGCTGGCTGCAAGCAAGCTGGGAAAATTTGAAGGGGATGACTTCCGCCCGAATCCAATGCCAGCGTCATGATTGGCGTCTCAAAATAGCCCCAGCACATTCTCTGCTTTGTCCCAGATTTGCCTCACAGCTTACAACCTTCATCATTGGGTCATCATCCATCAAAAAGAAACAGTTTCTGCCACACTGCCGGACCCAGCCTGCCAGATCATGTGGAGCATCCGCCTGCCAGGCCCACGGCACTGCAACGAATCAAGAAGATGCTCGCCCGTCTTTGTCAGGATCTCAACGCACCCGCCCGTGTTCACCTGACGATGGCTGTCAAATTGCGTGGCGCCCATCGTTGGGGACGGGTTTATTGTGCTGTTCCCATAATGAAATCAAGCGCATGCGTGCGTGCATTGCGCGTGCGTGCACATCATCATCGCCGTTGCCATCCGAAATGAGCCTCATGCTTATCAAGAGTGTTTTGTCCTGGAAGAGCTAAAAAGTGAAGTTCAAAATATACTTCCCAGAAAAAGCGGAATCCTAAGAGAGCAAACGTCGCTTGAACAATGCCTGATTACGGAGTATAGCAGAGCCATAACCGTCTCCAGAACTTCACGTATCCAACCAACATGTGAATAAAAGACGCGTATGATAATGATAAAATAATGGTAGTGGTATTAGTTGAAAATAAAAAAAAAAGGAAAATTTTCATCACTCGGTCGCGGGTTCTACACTGCTTCGCTCCTCACCTTTCTTTGCTCTCCCCTCGCCAATAGCGAAGAGATGAATCCAAAGCGTTAGTGGGTCTAAGGTGCTAAGCAGCCAATATGTCATTTCATTGTCTCTTTCACGACGATATACCGCTCTCGCGCTCTGGAAACAATGAACGACAGGACGTTTGGTCATTTTGCCTACGAACACGTGCCAGAGACAGTCTGGGGGTGGGGCAAGCAGATTCAAGGGCAAGGTGTTTTTCACTTCCTTTCTTTCCCCCCTTCTTTTGATCCAAAGGGGGAAAGAAACGACTGAAAGGAAAGAAACCCCAGGCTCGTCACACGGTCCACTCGGTCTTCACTCTTGTTGCAAGAGATCAGTCTCGCCACTGTAGCCGTCATCATATCTCCGCCACCCAATCCCCGTGATTTTTCTGTCAGGTGTTTTTTTACGGGTGACGTTCCCTGGTTCAAGTGGAGTCTTTTTCGAGGTCACGCTGCCCTCTGCATGAGCTTGGCCGCTCAGAGGTCCAGTTACCGACCCGTTCGCATCAATCCTGGCCAGATGACGATGGTTTCGCGCTCGATCTGGCGGAGTGAATCACCTCTTTGGAGCCCTTTGGATTCAAGCGTTGCCATCTTGGCCTTCGTTTCATGAAGGCCCGTCACCCTGTTTCTTCCAAAACCCGCCCTCTCAAAGGACAGAAAAGGGCTTTGATGTCTTCAGGCGCAAAGGCACTTCGATCCTGTTCCTGCAGAAACTGAGAGACTCTCCCATGCCCGACAAACCCAGCAACTCGTGTCGCGTCCTGGCTGGCAATCGCCCGCTGGCTCGCATAACGTACCAGCAACTTTTGATCGCCCCCTTCTGCTTTGAGCCAGCTGCATTAACTCCACCGGCCTGGCGAATTGCATCGCATCCTGCCAGCCACCGTTTACGTTGCTCCGCATTACCAGGCCGCTTTGGCTGCCTTTTCGACGATGCTTCAATCCTTCATCACATCACGAGATGAGAATCACCAGCGGTAGTGTGCGCTTAAGACAAGCCGCCGTGCTTGTTATCCACTGAAGGGCCCAGTTTCTCGCTCATCGCTTACTCAGAAACCCTGCCGGACGCGTTCGGATCGTGTGCCCGCCTGCCTTGCACCGAGAAGATGGCTCGACGCACGCCGCATACCAGGCTGCTAAGACGGCGTACCAGCGCCGAACGTCCGGTCTCATTGTATCTTTGTTGCTGTGAGACGAATGATATCCTTTGGAAGTCCATGCAAGGCTGTCCTTGATCTAAAGCTCTATCTCACTGATCTTTTTAGATACGTTGTGTGACTCGAATTTTTAGCACCCCCGTACCGACTGACGACCCTCGCATTTCTACAAGCATCATGCCTCTCTCGTGCATCAACAGCTGCAGCTTTAAGTTGATGAAGACCTCAATACCTCGATACACCCTCAATCATCGAAAATGAGCTTGCAGACGGCAGGCAAAACTGCACCGCGGAAATCGCCTTTTGATCTTGCAGGTCTTGACACTCAAGATCGTTCACCGCTCGAGCGCCCTGTTGTTCCGTCGAACTTCGACACTGGAGCTTTAGTACCTGGTCTCAAGCTGGTGATTTGCCCACGCTAACGGGTCGACCTTGTGGCATGGCTATTGTTTTCCTCCAGGAAAGACCTGATTCGCCTCATCCATCTCAAACGTGCTAATCCGCCAAGTTCTTCGTGAAGCTCAACAAGGAAACTCAGCGTGATATATCATTTAAAGTCTATCTGTAGTAACGCAAAGTCTAGAGCTAGGATGTATGTCCAATATGCGTTTTTGCAGAAACCCCAATTCTGGAACAGCGTAGCCCAAGTCACCTAAAACGCTTGGACTCAAATCGTAAGTTAATCGCACAGACGTTTTGGAGACGCAGCCAACGACGCAGCCAACCTAACCCTCGGTCCTTCTTACAGCGCAGAACCAATAGCAAGCACCCAGGCCTCCAACGGCGAGGGCCTCGTGCAGCGAAGGATGTTCACATGTTGATCACTAAGGGGCTCGCAAAGAGTCAGGTTCCTGCGCAACATGCGTGTGCTCTTGCGCATTTTGCGACCTGTCATTCAGCTATCTGTTTGACATCTCAGTCGACAGCTAACACTAAATTCCACCCTATCCAACATGACGCCAAGAACGACAACTGGAGAGATGCTGATATGCGGCTAAGAGAAAAGATGTTCCGTTTCTTTGTTTGATGAATCTTTCTCGTGGCATAGTCAATACTACATTCTTACGTTGAAATCAAAAGTCGTATCACCAGCAAGTTCAACCGTAGAACGTGCTCATGCCTCTCCTGCACATTCGGTAGGGAACATCCAATGAGCCATTGCCAGACATCTTTCCCTTTCCAAAAGCTGCTCTTCATGATTTTCTGTTGGGATGCGGGCCGTCAGCCTTGCAGCCAATCACCAGAGTCAATTGCAAAGGGTATTGTGAACAAGACCTCAGCTGTAAAGTGCATAGCAAACAAAATTGTGTCACACAACATGTTAGCCCGAGCTGTCTTCTACCTCGATAATGCAGTGCTTTTTCGCGCCGTACAATCCCTGTCATGCCCCAGAATAAGACGTTGGCCGTAATTTTTTGGTGACTTTGAGGAAAATCGCCACTGTGCCTATGTTCGTTGCTTGATCACAAACTTATGTTGACAACTTCTTTGCCACTATACCGATTGCAAGGACAGTTTTGTCAGCAATTGCAGCTTACTTCCCATCTACATTTGGCGAAGGGAAGAGAAATCAGATTCGAGGATGACAGGTCACGCTCGGCAAGTCATTATGCATGGAATGTATTATCGGTCTTCTTCGTCTGGGATGTCCTCCAGCGTGCTGTGCCGCAGCGGGCTGTGACATATATCGGAACTTGGCGAGATCTCTTTTCCCACCCGGAGAGACGAGAGAATCTCCGCTGAAGTTGCCAATGGATTGCTGTCAGACTCTCCGCGTGTACGATCCCACTCCAGTGGCCGATTCTCCCTTGTGCCGCTCGGTGTTGCCGGTCCGCTTTGAGCTTCGCGAGCAATAGCTCTCGCGGCTTCTTCGGGGCTTAAGGTTGGACTCGCACTGCGGTCACCGTCGCCCTGTCCATGGATTGACGCTTCAGGGGTTGAGGGTTCGAAATGCAAATCAGGATTTGTGGTGACCTCATCTGGAGTTACAGTTCCAATGTCCTTTACGTCAATGCTTTTTTCCACAAGTGGGCTGTCCACATCGCTACTCTGTGAGACAGGATTTGGCTCCAAATCAGCACTTAAAAGCCTGTTCAGCTTTCGTAAACTACGTCGAAATTCTGGGCTGCTGGCTCGTGTAGATTCTGGACTGCCAGGAGGACTATCAAAATTTCCGTGACCTCCCAGACGAAGGACAGATTGAGATGTTTTCAGAGCTTGCTGCATGATCGGCATGTCCATATACTCCTTACCCTTCGAGGCAAAGACGAACAAGCCTAAAGATGCAAGCAACAGGATGGATTGCAGAACGTTCATCCTCTTGGCCCATACTAACTCATCCGCAAGCATAGTCAAACGCGCACTGAAAGCCATCATCTCCTTCTGTGATCTAGCCCGACTCTCCTCAAGCTCTATCACAGTGGATTGCCACAGCTGATCGTACTGCATCCGAAATCCTTTCAGCTCCGCCATGACGGTGTCGTTGAGGTGCCTTAAGAAGTTTTCCGTCTTCTTAAGTTGACGTTTCTCTGTTTGAACGAACGCATCGCGTAAAATACGAGACTGCTCTTCGATATACTGAATATTCAGAGAAGAGTTTGTCTCTAGCATAGTCAACCGTTTATTTGTCGCCTTGAAGAAACTATCTTGTGTCGACGGCTGAGGAGGCGGAGGTGGTTTAATAGTGTCTGCGACAACAGTCTTCGTTGCTCGCTCACTATTCAACGTGCTGGAGCTGTTGCTATTGAGTTTGGCCTCAGTGTGTTGATTTGCTGTCGCAGTAGAGTCGGTAGAATCCATGTTACTGAGAGTTTCTGTGGTATTTACAGACTCGATTGACTGCACCATTGATGATGTACTAGTGGATGTCGTGTTCGAGTTTTCCTCGGTGCTAGCCCGAGAGGTGTTATATGGTGACGGCATCTGGGCACTCTCTGATGCATTTCGAAGCTCTGCTGTTGTCCCTGTGTATGAAATGACTGGGTCTGTCCCTCCGACTGGTGCGGGCTCGATTACCTTTACTGTGGACACTATTGCCACACCTTGGCTGCAATTTTGAGTAGAGACGGATGTAGATCCTCTCATTTCTTCCGTTGTAGAATTATCTACCAATGTTGGAAGATCCATGGCCACTCCCGTGACATTTTCAGTTACGTCGCTTTCATGAGGCACATTGACTATGCTGGCCATACTAAAAGGTGTCCTAGTTTGACTTTCAACTTGTTCTGACCTCATGGTGCTGCTGGCTGTCACCGCGCTTGTTGTCTCGATGACTACAGGAGGCACTGGCTCAACATCAGGAACGAGCTCCTCGATATCTTCGTCCTCGTCCCTTGCAGCGTCCTCTTGATGTCTGAACTCTTCCATCATGGTCGTTCCATGTACCCTAATTAGACTGACAGGACAGTAGTACTCATTTCCATAATGCGTAAGAAATTCAATTCGCAGGTAACGCGCCCATATCTGCGGATTTTCAATTAGAAATGCTTGGATCTCCCTCGTGTTTCTGGCCTCGAAGGTGCCCAGGTCTTTCCACCTATCTGCTTTGGCCGGGTAACGGTCGCTTACGCTGACACGGAATGTTTTGAACATGCTGCTGAAGAACTCGAAGTTGGCAACAACGACGGTGTCCACAAGAATATGGTCGCAGAGCTCAATGATGATAAATTTATTGTCAATAGAGCATTCGTTCAACATGTAGCTATCCTTGTTTTCGACGAGAACGGAACTGGAGGATTTGCATTTTGGATTCGTTTTCATAACAGTAGCCGCGCAGTCGAACGAGGCGTAATTGAAGCGTTCCTTGCACGTCTTCCCAGCATCCTTGCTTCTGTGCCGTGCTGGACTTGCGTGTTCACTTTGTTCTGCCGAATTTTCACTCGCCTTTGATGCAATAGTCGTCTCCGCGTCTGGAGTATATCGGGATGTCCCTTGACCAAAACCACCAAAGTCCAGTTCTATCTCACCCTCTTCCCCTAATGTGTCCAGCGCATTAGTGATTGGTCTGCGTCTGCCCTCGTTGACTTGTGATCTCCCCTGCCCGACGTTATCCGGGGATTGTCCAACTTTTTCGAGATTTCTTTTTTTCCATTCTTCGAAGGATAGAAACTTCGATTTGTCTAGAGGTGAGTCGTGTTCATCCTCCAGACCCAGCTTCGGTGAATCCTCAAGTACTGCTTCTTGACTCTTATCTGCGGCTACATGGTTGTGGGATGCTTGGGTGTTCGCCGCTTCAGTTGTGTCGACCGCCTGCGGGATCACTTGCACAGCTCCTGATGGTGGAGCCGCACTATTGCTAGTAGCTGTGTCATTTGCCACTGCCGTGTCTGCCAAAGTCCCGTTTCCAGGCAGGCTTCTACTTGTTCGTAGGCATTGTTGTGGTAGCGAGTGAGTAATGTAGTTGATCGTTCTGCTCGGGCAGACGCTTAGGCTTGGTTCGGAAATGAAAGCTAGAGGGCTCTCCGGCGAGCTTTTCGAACTTGAGATTAAAGTAGATGCTGGGGCTGCAAGTGTCGACTGATGTGCATCTATGGCTTCGTTATGAGTCAGAGTATAGGTGGCAGTAGATGTTGCCTCATGTACGGAAGCCACAGAGGCTGTCGTGGCAGTCACATATGTGCAGAGCAAAAGGACCACAGCTATGATGCATGGCATCGCATAGGTGCATGTTCGGACCTGGATATTCTTCCACTGTCCAAAACGCTAGTATCTGGCGTTTAAAGTGCACGTCAAAATGTCGGATCGGATTAACACGTGTGGATATGCTATTTGTTAGAAATACGTTACGGTGGAGGGAAAAGGTGTGGCTGACCCGTGCCATGGATGATCCTGTCCGGAAGTAAGACGCCGATCTGATAAGATACATTGAAAACCGTTCAAACTGAAACCTTCGATCAATATCGTGAAACAGTAAAAAATCACTCTCTAGACGCGAATGTGTTTTCATGAGTTGTTAACGCAAACTTCTCTGCCGGTGCAATGAGTCTGTTGACGAGGAGCTCAAGTTTGCAAGCTCTGCTCCGTTCTACGGTGGGAATTGCACCTCTTTCAGACATGGGTCATGGACGAGACGAGAACGACTGTTGCAATCCAATCTATTTTGCAAAAGGCAAAGCATTCATTTCCACCCAGCTCTACATAATTCATATCTGCTTTGCTGCTCTAGCGATTGCATTTGTAGTCATGGTTGTGATCCAGAAGCCGCCACGAGCAACAGTATAAACGCCAAACAATGATGCCGCCAGTTACATGAAGCAGAAGTGACTTGCGTGATAAAGAAAAAATAACAGTAGGTAAGGATCTGGAGAGAAGGGTATCTGTCACCATCGGAAACCCGAACCTGTTCGTGCTTCTCGAAATAGAGGTCATGCCGCCGGTTTTCAGCGGCTAATCATGGCTCATTCGTAAAAGTCGTACAGTTTGCGCCTGTCCATCAGTTGTAGTGTTTATGACGCCTTGCACGGGTATTACCATTAATGTTCGGGAGAGAACTTAATAACCTTCCTCTCCTGCCTTGCAGACTTTGATCTCCTTGACCCACTCAGACTGCAAGATCTGCTTTGCGGTCAAGCGTCTGGACGGGTTCGGATCAAGGATAGAGTAGATAACGTTGCGACACCTCGCCTGCCTGATATTAGTTCTCGAACGGAATAGAGCTAAACGAATAGAACATACTCTTTTCAGAACCTCGATGGGCCGGAAGCCAGTCTCTTCCTTGCGGTCTTCGAGATACCGAGTGAAGAACTCGTCCTCTCCCTTCTTAGCAACACGCCATAGATGCCTACCAGTACGCATAGCCATGTAAATGATTCCACATGCCCAAACATCAACAGCACGAGGATCAAACTCTTTCTCTATATACTCCTCAGGTGCAATGTATGGAGCAGAGCCACAAAGACCAGCCGTCATGTGAGCTTCTCGCTCCCAGGCCATACGAAAGCATTCGCCGTTGCCAAAGTCGGTAATCTTGAGAGCTCCATGTTGCGTGAGGAGCAGATTCTCAGGCTTCAAGTCACGATGTGCGACGCCCATCTCATGCATGTATTCGACGCCGCGCATGAGTTGCTTGAAGTAGCAGTCGGCTTCGAGGACCTCTAGACTGCCAGCAGCAAGGATAAGGGTGTACAAATCGCCACCAGCGCAATATTCCATGACTTCGCAATAGTCGCCCTTATCGTCTTGGAGGAGATCAAGTGTATGGATCACATTTGGGTGCTGCATTGACGACGAGAGGCAAAACTCTGAGGTTAGACGCTTCTGGTACTTCTTTGCTGACTCGCCAGGTCGCTGACGAAATTCCTTAACAGCGAATAGTTGCTCGCGCCTTGGATCTTTGGCGTCGACCTTGTGGGAAACGCGGACAATTCCAAAAGCTCCGTGACCGACGATCTCCTGGCATTTCCCGTACTTCTCAACGAGCGAGCTAGATTGCCCGGGGCCGCCTTTGAGATCCGATGGTGCTTTTTCTTCGGTTCGCTTTTGGGCAATCCAATCTGCCATGAGAGTGAGGGGCTGTTCTTCGCTAGGCTTGCCCTTGTCGAACAAGCCCCGTAACATGTCCTTTAATTTTTGGTTCCGCTTGTTGACTTTGAGCTGATGCTCATGTAGGCCGTCAGGCGTTATCCAGAAACGCTTTGGCACGCCGTGCTCATCCACCTTCTTTGGAGGCTCAGAGCCTGCGCCAACCTTGGCTTTCGAGTCAGCGCTCATTCCGCCGGGCCGAGCGTTCTTGGTTGAATTTTGGCGGCTAGGAGGATCCGATGAGGGTGCGTTCCTGCCATTCTCGACAACTGCCAGGCGCTGGGCAGAATCCTCTGCAACGCTCATCTCCTTCAACTTCTCAGACAGGTTGGTCCTTGAGGCGTCACGAGACGAGTCGTCGCCCTTCGTCCTGAACATGCCGCTGATCCTCGATGTCATCGACGGCTTCTTGATGGGTTGTGGACGTTGCCGGGCATCACCGTTGACAGTCGTCTCTTTGACCAGTGTTACCTGGTTCTGGGCGGGAGTGGCGCTGTGAGTGCTGCCATCTTGTGAGTGGACAGAGGCGGATGACGTTGAGTTTGCGGAAGACGACGACGCGGCTGGCTGAGTGCTCGAAGCAGGTTGCGCAGACATGTCAGTGGCGCCCAGGTTGACGGAAGTTTCGAAACAAGGCGTCTGGAGGCGGGCAGGTACTGGGGTTCGATGAGGTGGTGAGGTCAGAGGCAGCTCTGGCCAGCGCAAGCGAGAAGCCCGAACGCAGGTGAAAATTGAGGCGACGTAGGGTAGAGTACAAGAGTCTCCGCTGGGCAAAGCCCAGTGACTCTCCGTGTGTTATTGTACTCGCAAAACGGCCAAGACGAAGTGCGTCAGGATTGTCTGGTAGACTCAAAGTTTTGGGAGGCGGTGCTGTTGGTTTATATTTGTAATGGGCTGCCAAGCCTGCGTTTTTGTCCCTGGAATCCGCGGATTGGAAGAATTATGGATCCTGAGCATTCGGTTGCCCTTGTACAGCACCTCCCACCTGACAAAAAGGCCGAATACGATGTCTGCTGCTGCGCTGACTTTTCGTGAATCGTGCAAGATGCAGAGGGACGGCTGTGAGCAATAAAACGTCAAATCAAAAGCTTTGATTCCGGCCCGTACTTCCAACCGGATGTTCGCGACGGGCCCAGCACTGCTGGCGTGGTCGCGCCGCCTATGACGAACGTCGTCCTTTGCCGCGTGAAACCGGAGGCTTTTTTTCTTGATTACCCTCTTGTCCTCTCGTCGTTTGCTTCTTCTAAGATCGACAAGTTCAGATGACAAGCTGGTGTGATTGGTTGCCGGGCAGGCGGCAAGTACGCGCACTCGAACGGGGGCTTCTCAACTGTTCTCCTGTGGAGTTGATGTGTTTGGCCTTGCAATCCGAGTCAGAGCATGTCGGTATGGTGAGCATTTTAATCTGGGATCTGAGCTGGTGGGAAAATCGCTCTGGCTGGCCCACTTGGGTCCAGGACTAAGTTAATTGTGAACACCACCGCACGCTGTACGTCGCCCGTCTCGACCACGCATTCCATGGCGGTCTAATGATCTAGACCGACAGACACCGTGGCTTCTGGATGAGACTGGCAACCGTCCCAAGGAAAAAAATCCACCTTCTCCGTCCATCCTGTCCCATATGTTGCGTGCACGCACGCGCGTACCTTCTAGCACAGCGTGATGCTGAACCATGTTCGGAGACCTTGCCGGACATTCCATCATCTAGTCGCTGTGCTTACCGTCGGCAGAGCTGCAGACAAGACGCGTACAACTACCCGTTTGATGGCCCTGCTCAAGCCGCCGCTTTGCGGGCAGCGTCCATGTCTTGACGAACGGCGACGCCAATTTTCCCCAGCATAAATCAGATATATACAGTGCTCACACACGACGCTCCATCCAAGCACACCGCACAATTATCCCGTGCCGTAGTAGCGAGTCCTCCAAAGGCATCAGATTTGCACGTGCTACTGCAACTCATCTGCATGACCACTCCAATGAAACAGCGAGTCGCCAGTGTCAACCAAGCTTTGCAGCTAGTCTTCTCAACTGTGCATCCTACCTTCGACGGAGGTCGAAAATTTCATCCTATAACGGCACTTCTCCGTCAAATTTACGAATTGTGCCCCGTCAATGCCGTTGAGATGCGCCATTCTGTCGGCAGGAGAGCTGGGAATTGCGAAGTGCAAGTTACCACTTTGAGGCATCCAAAGCTGCATAGTCTCCTTCGGAGCTCAAGCTGTCGCATGTACATGGGAACTCGGTTATGGACTGGTGCCAATTCGTCGGAGACAAAGCACTGAAGTACATTAATCTAACGATCATGAGCATGCGCTCCGACGCAATGCTCACTACGTCCATCAGAAAAATCCCTGCAGGTATCATTGGAACATCCTAGCCCCGCATATGCATCTACTTCCCCGCATGCATCGTACTTGTACAGCAGAACGAAACAAAAACCAGCTAGGTCTTCTTACTTCATGTCGGGATCTCACCAGCCGTTCGTCGTTCTCTCTGCATCCAATGCCGAAGCTCCATTTGACCCGGACAGGCGGTAACGGCGTGCTGCAGTGAGAGGCTAGAAATAAATACCGCACACGTGCTTGCGTTTTAGCAGATCATGAATGCTAGCCAGCCGGTATTCCTGCCGGCGATTCTCCTGCGACTTGTCGGCATATTGCATTTCGGGTAACTCATATATTCAAATACCACACTCCTTGGTTGCATCAGTCTTAGTATGGGAGTGATGCCTTTTCAGGGGTTCTAGTCAGCGACGACTATGTCCATACCCTCAGTAGCCGCCAATCTCCCTCTAACGCAGAAATTTCATGTTGGAAGAACGACAGAATGCCTCGCCGCGGTCGGATACGACCGGCCAGTACCTGTGAGGACTACTAAATACCTAATTGAGGACGCAGAGGTGACGGTAAATTTCGTGATATCTTGCTTGTTTCGCGCGATTTCCGGCTCCAAATTTGCTCGTGTGCCTTTCGCACTATAATTGTGGGAGCTTAATGCCCCGCTATTGTCTAGATCATCACGAGACACAGCTGCCTCCTCCAAATTGGACCGACCTCGTTTCCCGGTTTCAATTGCGTAATTACATGGGCTCTTCTATCGCGCTCTTGGTTGGCCTGGCGGCCTCAATTTGTTCTCGAGCCTTTCCGATTAGTTTGGTGAAACCAAACTTGGGCTTTGTAGGCTCCTCCTGTGATCCAGTTGAAGTTGCTGTCGAGAATTTGCTCGAGGCGGCCTCATAGTTCTCCTTGGCTTGCTCGATTATTTTCTTGAGGCCTCCACTTGGTGCGGGGTCAGCCTTGGGATCTGAGATCGTGGTTGCAGATGTAGCTATAGCTGTGGCGTATTCAACATTTGACTTGGCTTGCTCGACAAGCTTTTTGAATGCAACGTTAGCCGCTTCAGGGACCTTGGACTTTAGATGATCCACGATGTGTTCATTATTCCGCAAGTCTTTGATGTGTTCAACGCGTCTCGTGAGAAAGAGCGTAGGATGACTTGTCTTATCTTCTTGTTTACCGACAATGCGATCAACCTCTTCCTGGTAGGCTCTTTCGTAGACGTTGAATTCAGCAGCACTTGGCGATTCGCTCACTGCTGGAAATGGGCCTTCTTGCACTTGAGCATCTGCCCCAGTACCGATTCCAAGGTACAGAGTATCTTCAAGGGGGTCATGAGCTTGACCACGTCCAGTCTGCCTTGAAACAGGCGTGTGTATTGGGATTAGAAAACTCTTTGCTGCCAAATCTGGCTCTAGTTTAGTGCCAGCAAGCTCTAGGTCCGTAGAAGGTGTTCCCGAGCTGACAGAAGCAGTTTTGTTTAGATCTTCGGACGATTTCTTGACATTTTCTGTAACGTTGACCTCTCGATGTGTGCCATCGTCAAGAACAGGATATTCTGTCGATTTCTTGTCCTCAAAGTTGGCGCTGCGAGATCGCCACAAAGGATTAATGCTCAGCGGCGGTTGGACAAATTTGCTCGAGTTACCAAAAATACCTTCCATTAGGTCCGGTCGCTTTCTCGAAAGCAGTTGCTTAAAGCGCTTAGCCGCCTTGAGAACAACCAACAGTCGGCCCATATTGCCAGTAATAGCATTGTCAAGTTCCTCCTCCGTCGGTGGTTCAATCAGCGCAGCTATGTTCTCTTCCCGAGGTAACAGCGGATCTATACCGCCTCTTGTTACCCACGGATGCTCTCTTATTTCTTCTATACGGATACGTTTGTCGGCATCCTTCTCCAAAAGTCGTGTCATGAGGTCTCGAAAATCTTCGCCACAATTCGGATCAAGTTCGAAACTATCGTGCTTGATGCTTTCGTAAAGATCGAGCATGCCAGCTTTCTCGAAAGGAATGCGACCGTAGCGTAGGCAGTACAGCGTAACGCCCATTGACCAGATATCGCAAGCTCTGCCAGACACTTCCCCATGCTTAGCAATGCATAGTTCTGGAGGCATGAAAGCGGGTGAGCCTGCAGACTTGGCAGTATTCATGTCAGAGTCTTTCTCAAACATTTCTGAGACCCCAAAATCGACGAACTTTAGTGTATCGTCACTGGTTATCAAACAATTGTCTGGCTTAATGTCACGGTGTATGATCCCTTGGGCATGAACTGCCAAAATGAGTCAGACGAGAGCACGTTGCAAACAAAACATGCGACTTACGATACTCTAGACCCAACACCATATCTCGGAACCACAAACGACATTGCTCTTCATCATAGGGATCTGCCGTCTGGTCAAGTCCAACATGCATGACAACGCCCTTCTTGCACATTTCCATAACCATATACAGTGAATCCTCGTCAGGATCATCTAGTACTTCAATGAGGTTAACCACATTGGGATGGTTTAGTTTCTTCATTATAGCAATCTCTTCTCGAATAAGATCCAAGGAGTTCGTGGTCTTGCCTGGTTCTCGCCTGTGCAGAGGGGAGTTAAAGTTTTTCTTGGCTGTGTAATGACCAGGCACAGGCCTCGACTTCGCCGTTCGAAGTAGGTTTGATTGTGCTCGCTTCCGCAGCCGTGACTTCGAAAATTCTTTGACAGCCTACCCATCCATGAGTTTGAAGAATCGCAGGCAGTTAGTCTCTAATACATACATACTCATTCCCAAACTGGTCGACCGCAACGTGAACTGCGCCAAAGGAGCCTCTTCCAATCTCTTCTTTGATAAGGTATTGGTTGATTCGGTGCTCAGCAGTGCCATCGTCTCCGCTATTGCTATACTGCGAACGTGCATTGAGTGTTTCCTATCTCAACTCAGCTCCTTGGTTTATCTGAATTGGAATCATGGGTTAAACCAACTTTTACATGTCGTCTCGGCGTAGACGGTACTCGGGAATGGTGTCGAAGCGGGCTGTGATATGCGGGCGCGGAGCTAGACATATTGTTCAGATTACAGTTCTGCAATGGAGCGGCTCTCTGCGGATGCATATATAGCCGAAGGTCGTTTAATTGGAAACATACACATGCTTGGTTGGAATAGGACGATCGAGCTCAGTTTCCAACAGGCTATCAGGCGCTAAGTCTTCTAAAGGGGGAGGAGCAGAGCTGGACTTTTCCAGCTTATCGGCGCCTGTGGACGCCATAGTCACTGGAGGCGTTTAGTACGAGCGGAGACAAAGCAAGGATTTTGAGTGACGGAGCCAATTTTCCATCGTCGCCTTTGCTCGGACTTACAAAACGTCGAACAGATGCATCTCTAACCTGATGCCCCCGCTTGTTCTTAGCGCCCCACGTAAGGACAAAGAGCCAAGCAAAATGGCCGCCTCATCTCTGGACCCTGCGATTCTGCACACTCGCGAAAAAGTAACCACAAAGTCACTCTTTTGATCAGCCGATCTCAGCCGGCCTGTTTCTACACCTAGCGTAAAGGAATTGCATAATGGTTGTGTATTCATTCTATATCTTCGACCGTCATACGGAATGCATCTTCGCGAAGAAGTGGACACCAAGGCCAACACCAAAAGGTGCACGCCCCCAGTCTGACGCGAGCACGACTCTCAACGGCGAAGCAGGGCTGAAGCAGCTCTCAGCTGCAGATGACGCGAAACTTATCTTCGGTGTTATATTTTCTCTTCGCAACATGGTTAAGAAGATTGGTGGCGAGGACAACAAGTATATCTGTCAATGCTGTTGTATTGCACGAACTTCGTCGTTAATTCCGTTTTAGTTTCATCTCGTACCGCACTGGAGAGTACAAGTTACACTACTTGGAGACACCAACAAGACTGAAGTTCGTCATGCTTACTGACACAAAGACAAGCAACTTGCGGCTTCAGCTCCACCAGATTTGGTCGATGCTCTACGTTGAATATGTTGTCAAGAACCCTCTCTCGCCTGTTGAGCACCCTGGGGGACTCGGTGTTGTCAACGAATTGTTCGAGGCTTCTCTTGATCGTTTTGTGGTGAGTAAGCGAATGAGTAGCAATAAATATTGACTAAATAGAACAGATGGTATCGTTGATGGGCTAGTGGACATATGTATAGATGAGCATTTACCGTTGAGACACTCGTTTTTATCACACATGGATCCAGATCCGTGCTTGGACACTTAGTGTACGGCGCGGCGCTATTTGTCCTCCAGCTCAACCTCCAGATCGTTCCTGTTTTCGAAGAATTCCCATACGAGTTTGGCGATGTGAGTAGGGTTTAGCACTTTTGCCTCTGGAGACACCATTCCACCAACAAGCACTAGACCAACGTGGACACCTTGTGGATTATAGACTTGATGCAAGCTTTGAACAAGGTTGCGTTGGGCTGTCTTAACAAGGGAGAGCGTGAAAAATTCGGGGATTGGAGTCTTGTGCAGGAATCCGCCAGTCACGATTAAGGATGGGTTGGCATGTGGATATGCCTTTGCAAAGATTTGGAGCTTTGGAAGGACCCATTTGGCAACTGAGTAGAGCCCAACTGTGGTTGTCTGTTCTACGTCAGTTATGAAGCTTCGAATGCCTGCTGTGCCTACCTTAAAATCTGCCTCGATCTCCTGGACGGGAGTCTCGAATAGTGGCGTGGGAGAAACCCTGGCACCATTGTACAAGGCTACCTCAAGGTCCAGACCTAAACTGTCGATATGGTCGAAGGCGGCTTGAAGCGATGCCTGGCTTGACAAGTCTACCACAATAGTATAGATTGAAATGTCCAAGCTCCCAGCAGCAGACATAACAGCGACCTTGTTCTCTTGGAGTCTCTGCGCATTTCGTGACAGTAAGATAAGATGGCTGAAACCCTGGGACGCAAATTGTACAGCAACAGCGCGGCCGATCCCTGGACCTACCCCAAAGATAGCAATCGCGCGTGTCTTGGGGCTCATGATATGTATCTACAGCTGAAACTACGTCGAAGTCAGTGAAAGGAAGGATAATGCGGCGAAAGACTGAGAGGAAGGATTTTTTTGAGTCGAACATCTCGGCTTCTTTTTTTATGTCTAAGAGAGTAACCAGATCTAATTTCCAGAATCGGCAGCATTTTCTGTAATCGTACGCTATTGTCCCGGAAGGTTTTTGCTCAATGTAGCAACTGCCTAATACAGGTCTTGCTCGAACACGGCCAATGCTCTAGATCAGACCCAATTAAAGCAAATGATCAGCTTCTTAAGTTGGCTCATTCTTCATTACGTCCAACTTCCGACAAGAGACCCCAAGCTAAACTCTTGTTCACACGTCACTTCAATTCTTGGCGCTTACCTGTTAGTTGGTCCCTTCTTTTGCTTTTCGTTGTACGTACTGTGGCTTCAACCTCCGCGGAAGGTATCTGCCAAGCATCCCCGCACGGGAGCCGAAGTTCTAAGCTTTCACTAGTTCTCTTGGCCGTATGGATACTCCGCGTCGATCGGGAACAACTGAACTAACGCACTTGGTGGAGCCAATTGTGAGTTGAGGAACATGGTGATGGCAGGAGAGAGCCAAAAAAAGCGCAACGACGCCACGGCTACACCTAATTCTGCGAGATCGCAGATCTACTGACACGTTCAGCATCACTAGGACCTTGAAAGTCAACCAATCCGTCTGTGAGAAGTTGTGGCCCGCATCTTTTCAAACAATCAAACTTGCATATAATTGTTCATTTAGCCTACGTCGGACCGGATCTGAGCTTCGACCCTCGTTTGATGTGTTGAGTAAAACTAGCACTAGCTCGGAGGAGTAGAGGAGAGACATGCGTAGAAGAGTCTGCACATTTGCTGAGGTATACAATGGATATGTGAATTTACTAAGAAGGACCTGAAACTAAGACTAGTTATTTTCCGTCGTTATCAGCAACACCATTCGCCTGTCATACGATATCGCTAATTACGACAACGTCTCAAAAGGACTGCATGGGAACATTCAGCACTTGGAACATTTCTTCTCGCCAAAGGCCAATTCACTCAGCTTATCGACGAGGGTCTTCGTGCCCTTGCCGCTCGGGCAGCTCGAGTAGCTTGGTGGGATATCAAGAGCTGGGTTTCGCAGGAAGAAGTTTCGTGGACGCAAAAGGACAGTCATTGGCTCAGCCGGCATAACTGGGTAGTCCTCTGGAGCAGGGAAATGGGTGAGTCCGAAAGTGTGCCACAGTACAACGTCTGTGTTGACAAGTGATGCGGAAGGATTGGCTGCAATCCACGCCGGTAGACCTACTGATGGTTCACCCGACGTTTGCGGGACGTGACGACCGGCTGGGTGAATCTGCGAATCATCATCTGGGAGCACATCAGCCAAGTTGAACTAGACTCCGAGATATGATATAATTACAAGGGGTAACGTGCACAGCGTGGCGAGCAAAACCAGCGCGCTTCCAGACAAGGCCTCCCTCTTTAGGCAGAAGTGGTGGCACTTCACGGCTAACGAGCTTGTAAGTGGCTGGTTTTTTGCTGTACGGGTTGATCCTGTTTTCATTCGACATGTCCCAAGTTCGGCTAGTGTTGCCATTATAATCGCAGGCTGAAGTACCCGCAGTTTCTAGTCTCGTCTTCTTAGCGTAGAAAGCATTACCATACTTGTTCTCGACACTGCCGACCTCACCAGGGCCTTGTACAGCGTCAACTTGGAAGACCGTGTTGTTTGGTCCATCGATATTTGGATCAATGCGTAGGCAGAACAGATGCTGGTGGTTGTGAGCGTTCACACCTGGATAGACCTCTGTGCCCCAGCCCTTTGTATCTTCGCCTGGGAGCATGGCATAGGTGTTTAGAATACCAGTAAGCTTGATCTCAAGCTGAATCGTGCCATCTAGATGAAAGATCCAATACACGCAGTACTCGTAGTTTGCAGCGGTGAAGATGTGAGAGATGATGAGCTTGCGAGCACGAGTGACGGTGCACACTGACTCGTCTCTGAAGTCAGTGTGCTTGAACAGAATCCCGTTGTCTTCCTCGTGGATACAAATGGCGTTTTTGATTGTATATGGCTCTCCAGCACGGTTCACAAAATTCGCATCCATGTAATGGATTGAGCCCTTGCAATCGCAACCTAGCGCCAAGCTGTTGGTCATATAGCCTCCACCATATTCACCGAGATCAAATGCGTGCTTGCGCTGATGTGGATGTTCAGGATTACCGTACGGAACGACCATCTCAGCTAGCGATAACCTCCAGAAGATAGGCCGTTCTTCGCCCTTGTCGTTGAAAGTAATGTTGCTGAGAACAATGCCTTCGCGATAGTTGAAGCCAACATGAACCTTCCAGTTCACCCATTCGATCGTCCGGCCAGTGACCTTGAATGAGACGCCCTCAGGCTGTGTGATGTTGATTGGCTTCAAGTCAGTTCGGTAGCCACCCTCCTTTTCAATAGCTGCTGAATGGAAGTTGTTCGGTGGCGCCTTGTTGATGGGTCTCCTGACCGGTGGAACATCAATGTGGATGATTTCATGAGTGTCTGCATTGAAAATGGGGCAAAAGTCCAGCGGGTAGGTGTACTGGCTGTCGTCGATGTCGGGACGGTAGTACATGAGTGCCTGCTGTAATCTCACGTTGCTACCAAACCGCTCATCGTAGCCAATTGTCCATGCTGGTGCAGGAATTAGTGCTCCTATCAACGCCTAGGCGAAGGGCCTCTACTCACGGTCACAGTATACCTTGTGCATTTCTTCGGCTGGGATGCCGATCAAGCGGCATTGTTCGATGACCTTTGGGTCCTTTCGGACGACGGTCTCGACGATCTGAAGGTCCTCCATAGTGATTAAGGGTTGCACACCTTCGGTCAACTCCCACTGGACGATTTTGCCCTCGTTCAAGTCGACGAGGCCATCAAAGACCTTGCTGCCCCTTCCAATGCACACACAGTCCGCAACTCTATGAGGACGAGGCACATTTTTTGGATCCGCAAGCCACGCCTGCATTTCTTTCTTTCGGGGCTCCCATAGTGTCACTGCGTTGAAATGTAGATCAGGATACGTTTTCTTGATTATGCTGACGGCCTTCGCGATCTCCGACTCTGTAAGTGGGTCGAATGGGTGCGGCTCAACTTGGCCGGTCAGGTGAGATGCGACCTGTTTGACGCGGTCGACAATCTCCATCGTGAATTGAGTGACTGTCGAATTGTCAATCCTTGGGTCTCCGAGCCTATGCAAAACACTTTGAAGTTCGAAGGCGGGATAGAAGACTTCGTTGGTGCTCTACAGGATAAAAGATCAATCAAGGGAGGTTGACTCCTTATTATATCTTATTCAGACCAAGGCTATCGTTATCTTCATGGACCACTCCATTGCGCCGTCGCGTCTGCGAATTATCGAGCAGTGACCTTGTCAATCCCCTCCACCCCGCCATGAACTGCACGCCAACTGAAGGTGCGGATCCGTTATCAGTGGGAAATAATTACTTGATTGAGTATGGCGGCTCAGCCTGCGAAATCCATGTCCGCTTCTGGAGCTCCTTTCAGAGTCCGCGGTTGATATTCTTTCGTCGACAAGTTTGAAGGCAAGCAACAATAACGCTGTGGCACTCCCGAAGTTCCTCCCGGTGGAGTCGTTGTACGCGGTTTCATTTTGCATTGCTAATTCAAAGCCGAATCAGACGGGGCCCCGAAATCGGTGGCGAGGATCAACTAATCACGTGACAAGTTTCCGTTAGGAGTGCGTAAGTTTAACTTATTTCTTCCGTCACGCATGGCCATATTTTCTTCTTACCAATGCTGGTTTACACAAAAGCATGTCAAATATATGTCGCGACCGGTGCGGTACCTTGCTTACGATATTGCATGGGCAATTGCTCTGACAATGAGCTGAAGAAAGCCGCAAATGCAAAAAAAAAGGAAAGATTAATGCGGCTATCGGCGCCTTCGCCATTTTGACTGCAGAGTACGGATGACAATGACCGCTGGAATGTCATATTCCTCTGGGTTCCAACCAATTGATCCTATGGCCAAATGCGAGCGCAGCTTGATTGCCAATATTCTGGCGCTGATGATGCTACGACATGAAGACACGACAATGTAGTTGTCTACAGAAATTAAAGCACCGCCCAATTAGATTGAGCTCAAGACTAAATGTCTATATAGATACAATCGATACGATAACGTTGCCGTACAGTTTGCTATTTCCATCGGCTTACCATGGAATCCATTGAAAATCCCGCTAATCACGCTCATATGAAAGCACAAATGAACACAAGAAAAGCCATAAATCGCAAACAATGGAGGTTATCGTCGCTTCTGCCAATCAAAGTTTCGTGATCTCGTTCGTCTAGGACGCACGGTTTGTTTCGTTCGAAGTGAATGAGAGAATGATGCTGCAACCTGCGATTACCCTGATCCTGCGCTGCACAGATTGACATCCGAATCAGTTGCTAGTTGGTGCATTCTCGACTGAGTAACGAACGCCGATCTTGCCCTTCAGCTCCTGCCTCCTCTTTTGTGCCTGCCGTTGTCGCCAAAGATCGCGCATGCCGCTTACGCCAACGTACTGCACTTGCCAGTTGCGCGGATTCCACGCACGTTTCTTATGGCTGCTGGTAACACGATGCAAGCTCTCCACGCTGCGTTTCGCCAGCCGGACGGAGCGCAGACTCTCGGAAGCGATAGTGTGAATGGTGCTTTGGCTGCTACGCTTCATTACAACGCGGCCGCTCGTGCGCTGGCCTAGGCCGACAGGCAGTTGGATGACGGGTTTTCTCCTGTTCGTGCCCGCCCGCTCGATGCCAAGGCTATTGCCAATCAAAAAGTTGCCACCTTTGAGCCGCGCCCGGTCTAGTACCTTTGCAATTCCGCGTGGCTCGCCAAGTTCCGACGTGTCTCCGCCAGCAGGGAGGCGTCGCTCATGTTGAGATTCGCCAAAGTCCGAATCTGAGTCGCTGAACTCGTCCCAGAACCCGCGAGGCTGCCAGAACGGGTGCAGGCTATGCGACTCCGGCCTCGAATCGTGAGCAGATGGAGTTGGGGCGCCTTCTCGCCGGGCCCGTGAGCGACGGTAGTAGCTGCGCCTTAGGCTCGAAGTGCGTGTGATAATGGGTTTCATCACTTGGTCGGAGTACCGTCTAGCCTTCTGCTTGAATGATAATGAGCGTAGTGGAGGATCGGATTCGCCTTGCTCTGGCTTTTCGGTAAAGGATATCCTGTCCAGTTCGTGGTCCGGTGTTGCGGGGTGAATGCTGATTTTTGGAGGCACCGGATGAGGAGGCTGCGGTGGCCGACGTGGATTTTTGAGTGGAGAGTCGACATTCACCGGAGATGCACTAAAGACCTGAGGCGGCGTTGCTGGCGAGACCATTAAAGCAGGCCATCCTGATATGGCATCAGCAGCATCATTCTGTTTCTGTGCGCCAGATGGGCGCGCTACTTGTTGGACAACTAGTAATGATTTGTTGTTGTGTGGGTAAATGTTGATCGCGTTGGCTTCGCGAATCTCATGCTCGGATATTTGCGAGAAAGGAGTGCTCTGGGCGTAAAGATGTCGCGGATTCGCATGATCGGTATCTGCACGTGGAGTTGAACTTGCGTTGCTAACTCTGTGTATTTCATGTGCTGTTACCGTAGAATTGTCAAAGCTGACTCGGGGCATGCTATCAGCGGTCGACCGAGAATCTGGCTGCGCTAAGTCCACTGGTTGTGTTCGCCTTTTGATTATGCTTTGTGATGAAACCTCAGTAGTAGTGACTACAGCAGTCGTAGTCTCAACCGAAGTTGGGAACTCTATTGCGGGCGCTAGTTCCTTGACATGGTCATTGGGTGCTTCTCCAGCGTCTTTCATCTGAGCTCTTGCTGGCGCTTGTGTTGGACTTCTTGCTCCTGCATTGGTTGGCTCATTCGCTGGCTCTCTCATCGGTTCGACGACACGTTCCCTTCCCGGATTGTCAATTTCATCGTCGGGCGTCTCTGCCTCCAAGTTTGGTTCTCTCTCATGTAAAGAGTCTTGAATCGTTGGCCCCAAGCCAGACACCTGCCTATGCGGTTCCCTCAAGAACGAGCCAGGTCTCGCGTCGATTGTGCCGCCGGAGGAGTCAAGCCGTTGCAAGGCCCGTCTCGTGGCTGCTCTTGCCAACTGTTGAGCGACCAAGTCTGCGCTCGAGGGCGCAATCTGCCTAGCTGCAGTGTCGTGCTTAAGACGGAAAGGCTCTACGCCAGGCACGTACGAGAGTCTACCTGGGTGTTCGAGTCCGCTAAATGAACTGACCGAATAAGAGCCGGCGGAGACGGTTCGGTGGCGCGCTGGCGAGGTGGAGAACGATGGTTGTGCGCCATCTGAGGCCCGACGCGTGCCAGAGCTGCTCGAAGAAATGCTGGCCAACCGCAGCGACCTACTCTCTGGGTGATGGCGAAGCGGGACTGCTGGAACAACCGAGGGTAGGTCCGGGCTGGTGGCACCGTTCACAGAATTAAGACGGCTGTTGTGCTCCGCACGGAGTCTCTCATTGAGCTGGCTGAAAGATAGGTCATCAGACGCCAATGAGGGCGCATGGTTTGAGGAGCTCGGACGAGATGAGGACCCGTCATCACTTCGCAACGAGGCGTTCTTGCTCGTGTGACGCAGTGTCCGGTGCCGTCTTGGAGATGTGGGCACAACGTAAGCCTCCAAAATCGTGGATGCATGCGAGGAACCGGACAGTCTCTTGGCGTTATCTTCCGTACGCTGCATGCCAGGCATCGTCCGCGCAAAGTGGTCGAAATTGGGCGTCAGCGGCTCCGGTCCATCGTCATCCTCGGAGCTGCCGTTCACAAGCCGGGGCACAATCTCCCTGGCCGCCACGCGCTCCTCGTCCTCGAGGACGGGCCGCTTCTTGCGGCGCACGGTGACGTTGCGCATCAGATTCGTGTCCCACTCTCGGTCGGGAATGGCATTCACATCGAAGGTGAGCGGTAGCTTAGTGGGCTCCTTGTTGCGCACCGTCTGCTTCTGACGCAACTTTCTGGGTGTTGGTGTTGAATCGTCATCGCGCTCGAGACCCATACCAAACCCTGTATCGCAACTCGATCGGCGCAATGTTCTCACAGGCCCAGCGAGGCTGAACTCGTCGTTGAGGTCGTCCTCGCCGCCTTCGTCGGAAGACCACTGCTCTTCACGTGCGGTTCTGAATGAATCCGCGAGAGAGGACGGCGAGAATGCCGCCTGTGCGGGGGGAGCAGGTGTATCCAGGGAGGCCGTGGCAGGCGGTGTCTGGTCCGGCGTTGGAGGACTCCGGCCTCCAAGGGAGCCGTTGTGGCTTGTTGATCTGTGTGAAGACGTCAGCACGCCGTCCTGGCCCGGCGGGCGGACCGGCGACGAGAAGCTGCGGGCATGCTCATTCCCGTTTCTGGGTGGCGTGGGAGGGAGCGATGTGTCGAAAAAGCCGTTAAGAGGGAACGTGCCTGGTATGGAGGTGGAGGGAAGGGAGGCGCCATTGCTGTTGCCGTAGTTGTAGGTACGCCTAAGTGACTTTGGACTACCCGAGCTTGCGGTAGGTTTTCCGTTCGTCTGTGCAAAGATGATAGGATGTTCAGCGGTCGGTGGTAGGGGATGCGGAAGCGACTTCCTGGATGCGAAGCTGCCGCTGGTCAGCGAGTGGAAGTCGTCCGGTAAAGACGGCGCTTCAGCTGGCTGCTGGACCGCCATGGTGAATCCGTCGCAGACTAGTATATTCGAGCATGAAGGGCCGGCTCTTGATATGGATCTGGAGACTTCCGTCCCGCTGCGGCCCTGCCCGCGTGGTGTCCGCCGCAGTCGCAAATTGATCCAAATGCGCCAGACTCAAGCGTCGCAAGGCCGTCTTAGCTACGCCAGGTACGCATGACCCGCTCTTCAGTCTTGCGCTCAGCGAGCAGAGGCGACCGTATCTCTTTCTCAAATGTATATCTTCGCGGAAGGAGGGACTTCCCGAGGTCTGCAACGGCTCCTGAGATGCTCTTGCGTTGACCGGTGGTCTGAATCTGAGCAGGGAGCGCTTGGTCTGAAGAGGGGCCGAGCGGGAGCCAATGGAAGGGCGCGTATGCAGCGAGCCGAGCAGCAGCAGATGCGCGACGATTGTGCGATGGTTCGTGAGCGCGCGTGTAGAACAGGAGCAGACGAGGGCGATGAGGGACGATGGCTGAGAGAGATAACTGGACGACGATTACGATAGCGGAGCCACGGAGGGGGGGGACCGGGCAGGATTCTGGGCTGGGGAGGGAGCACGCGGGCGGAGGGTTCCAAGTTATGCACGACGAGACTGGACGCTCGCGCACATACGCAACGCACGCACAATGCAAGGCAGGGGGGCTTGCGAGGCGCCTCCAGCAGGAGCACGCCGTGGATGGCAAGGAGAGCGCAAGGGGACGCTTCGGCGGCTGCGGAGCTGTGCGCTTGTGTATGGGAGCTCCTGTGCATGAGTGCATGTAGGAACAAACGGCGGCCATTCTGCGTGGCCGGCTGCTGGCCATGCTGTGCGGCCGGACGACCGCCGCCGAGCGACTGATGATGCGATGACGGATGGCGCTGCTTGCCCAGCGAAATCGAGTGGCTGGGGCGACGGGCGCGGATCGATTGCGCCAGCGCGGATGGGGCGCTGCCGCTACCGTCCGCCCGTCTCCTCTCCTCGCCCATCAGAGATCCCGGCGCTCTCGTGCGATGAATCCTGCTGCCAGCAGCGCCATAGGTTCTACTGATCGGGCGCGCTCTGGTCCTTTCGAGTCATCCAGACGTCTCCTCCGCCCGCATTCTGCACACTCAGCTCGTCCTCGCCGTTGCCGTCTCCCGGCGCTCCCCGCATCCAGCCTGCGTGCGGGCAACTCTCACACGCAGCCGCATACGGCACGCGCTCAGAGCAGTCACAGAGGCCACGGCTACGGTCCTGCTTTTGATTCGCCAATGCCGTCGAGCTGCGCAGGCGAATCAACGAGCGGCACAACCTTCGCGCTGAACGCCATCATCACCTTCACCCCCGTGGCCGCCTGCACTCGTGGGAACGCACGTCCAGCTGAACGGCCAGTCTCTCACACCAGATCAACCAAAGCTAACCCTTGTGGCTGCATCTGACCGCGGGGCAGATCGTTGACTATGTTGAACACTGCCAGAAAGGACGTTGCGCAGAGGCCGCGCTGGCTAGCAGAGACAGCTAGGTTGGGCGGGAGTGGTCTACGGCGCGCTCCAGTGCTGTAATAAGTGGGAATGGTGCCTAGCGGCGGGCGATGCCCAGGATGACTTGGGGACGACGCCGTACGGAGGGGATCCTCTCTCACTCTGCTTCACCCGCCGTCGCTGGGCAAATCAAGGAGAGCTGACCCCACGACTCTTGCTCACTGGAAACCAGCGGGCGCCAGCGTGGGGCGCTACAGCACGGAGGAGAAGGCGCCAAACCGCCTGGTGCCGTGGCCCGTATCACCGGGGCCCCTCCCCGAGCGACCCCCTGGACGCTCGCGTGTCTCAGGGCGCCAGCGTCCCACGTCCATCCTCATCATCTTAATCGTCGTCATCTCGTTCGGCAGCCCGTCCCGCTTCTCGCTCCCGACACGCCGCCTGCGGACACGTCACCGTCTCCGCCGCTCAACCCCCGATTGCGCGTGCTTACACGACTTTATTTCGGCCTGCGCCCGCTGGCACGTGTCCTTTGGCTGTAGACACCTGTTGACTTTTGTTGGGGTTGCATCCAGCCTCAGCCTTATGCGGGCTGATCGCCAGACCGCCAGAACTGGCCTAGATCCGCTCAGCCAGGAGGGTCGCAAGCAGGCACGCTGGCATCTAACCTGACACCCTATTGCTACGTATATTCCCTGCAGCGTCCTCCTTCTCCGCCTCCTGCGATTCTTTCTCTCTTCCTCTCTCGCTCTCTCTCCCCTCCTCTTTCACAGACACATTGTGTCGACAGCTCACCCAACTCGACCCCACTGACGGACTGGCGTTTCGTCTCCTGCACCAGCCTTCTCCCTCGCTCGTTCACCTCATCGCCGTCTTCTTCAGCCCTCCGATGCACGAGCTTAAGCGCCGCCCCTCACTCGCTCCCGCCCCCACCGCACCGCACCCGCCCACAAAGCGCCCGTTATGAGTGAGGACAGTGCCGCTGTGGCCAAACGACACCATGGCGTCTCCAAATTCTTGAGCAAAGACCGGTGGCGCGAGAAGCTGGCCAACAACCTCACAGGGTCCAGCGCCTCACCCGAACCCCACGCACCCGGAGAATTCACCCTCAGTGACGATGTCAACGATTTTCTCCGGCCTTCGACGTCCAAAGCTAGGCCCGTCTCACCAAAAGCACCCCGCATTGGAATCGATGTCGCTGCAGCCCAGAGATGGGCCTCCGACGCCGCCTCTTCGGCTGCGGGCCACAGCCTGCCGACCCCGTCCATCATGCGAAAGAAAGACTACCCTCGCCGAGCGCTCAACCTCGTTGTTCAATTCTCGAACACAATGCCGGAAATAATAGGGGAGGGCGGCGACGACTCTGACGAGCCCGTCATCGAGATAGCAAAGAGGCTTGAGCAGAGCGGGCGGCGGAGACCCCGTCCTCTCCTGCCCCCACGCCCGATCACTGCACCGGATACAGCGCAACCTGTTGTCCACGAACTGCCCCGGACGCATGAGCTTGAAGTTCAGACGGCCGCACCTGAACTCGCGGCGAGACAGCTGCTCAGTGACTTGGATCATCTCCAAGAACCCGTGCACCTAAGCGAGCAGTCCAGGAATAATAGCTTCCCAACAGACGAGCCAGACTTCGTGCCCAAGCCAATCAAGCGGACGCAGACCCGATTCAGCGACCTGGGCGACGACGAAAACGGTAACGGCAGCAGCAGTGAGAATGCCCGTCCAAGCGTAGACAGCGGATCGGTACGTTCCACACGTTCCGGCAGCGAGCCCGGCCAAGTCGCGAGTCCAGCCTCCCGCAGTACGAGCTACCGGCAGCAAGCTCTACAATCTACGCTCGACGGTTCGCCGCTGCAGTTGCGGACTACCCGACTGGAGGACCTACATTTCGGCGGCAAGAGGAACTCTCTCTCGTCACCCACGTTTCAGGAGAAGATATCTAGGATGCGAGCTGAAGAAGGGCAGGCCTTGCATTCTGCCGTTGAGAAAGATCCCTTTCTGGATCAATTCGACACGTCAAACGAACCCGTCAGCGACCAGTCAGCCGCTGGCGAAACGACTACCCAAAGATCCATGTCTCAGGGTCGGCCCTCACTGCAGCTGGGTCAGAACCCCTCGTCTGCCGCGGCCACTCTGAACGTACAATCGCAGTTCTCACAAGTGCCTTCACCTTCGCTCTCGGTTGCCGAACCAACGCCTAGCGTACAGCCGCATACTACCATCCCTCCGCGCAAACCCATTGTGCCCTCGCCCGTCGACGTTCAGCTGCGGCCGGCACCGAGTGATCCGGACCAAGGTCCAGCGCCCCGTGTCTCACCTGCTTTGAATGTCACCATTCCAAACAGACTGGATTATTCTCAAACATCCAATTCGTCACCTCCATCAAGAGGCTCCGAAAGTGCCGTTGGCTACGTGCCGCTGGCTACCGCTGCCGCGACCTCGTCGTCTAGTACCCCGGGATCAATTACACCTAACACGGCCTCGTCGTTGAGGCCGCCGACTAATGCAACGCCCAACGCGGCACTCGGTCAGATCGCTTTGGACGACTTTGCGGATCGTTGCTCGCACATGAGTGGCATTTTTCGACTCCAGGCAGAGTTTGAGCGGCCCATGTACGAATTCACGCCTCTACAGTGGCTTCGTGCCGCAGTCTGGTGGTTCCTGCGCGGCCGTCTGGGTGTAGAATCGCTTGTAAGGAGCAAACCTCGCAGCATAGACGGACGAACGGACTTTGTACACGGTCAAGAGCTGCTTTCTCAACCGCACGTCGACCTTGCAAAAGCGTGGTGGATCTTGGTGGAACTCATACCGAGCCATCCCCAGTTGCCCGCTTCTGAGACCGCTGATTATGCCGAGCGATCCATGGAAGCTCGGAATGCGGCCGACTTGGCTACAGCAGAGCTATTTGAGTCGTGTGACGTGCTCATGTCAAATCTAAAGAGCGTGTTAGCTTCGATGAAGCGTAACGGCGTGATGCCACCCACTCATGCACTCATCCAAGGTCAGGACCAGACGATCTGGATCAAGTATCCAGAGCTTTCGGCAGCCTTACACCCTATCTTGTCCGGGTTGAACGGCCGTGCTCTGACAGAAGTAGTCAACATTCCAAAATTCAGCCCCCTCTCCGTCATGGCCGTTACAGACACTCGGCTGGACTTTAGTTACAACAGGTGCTTCGTCAACGCGATGCTAGGGACAGGTGATCCAGACATTGAGCGTATTCCGCTTCCAGCTGTGGTGTCGGTGATGAGGGAGCGCAACGACTGGCACCCGAAGCTTACCATCTGTACGCAGAGGGAACTCGTCACGATATGCATACAGGGCGACAGGAAGCGTGGACCGTCGTGGCAGGATGTCAAGTGGAGCGAGTCGAGTCGTTCACTGCACGTGGGCCTACCCCATGGTTACTCGCTGAGTGTGCAACTGAACGAACCGGACTTTAGACAGCTCTTCAACTTGTACAATCACACTTTCCGCGTCCAGAGCAGCTTGCTGCCCCTGGCCAACGAACGAATCGTGTACGAAACATCGCTCGTGGACTTCCAATATAAAGACTCGCGGCAACCGCCTGCCTTTCCGCCGGATCGTGTCAAGCGGTGCAGGATACGTATCTTCGCCAAGACAGAGACCAAGTACGAAGGCTCGGGAGAACGCAAAATCTATCGCGGCTTCCGCGTCCTGGCTGTCACAAGTCCAAAGAATCGTATCCTTGGCAGCGCGAGCCATGACGTTGGGTTGCGCTACCCCACCCTCGTCGCGGCCGTCAAGGACACTGCAAACCCAAGTCTGCCCGCCCAAACATTGTATGTGCAAGAGGACAGGCGGCAATGCAGCCTCCTCATGGTGTTTGGTAACGAGCAGGACTCGCGTATGTTGCTCGACACTCTTAATAGCTTCGTTCTGGTTCAGGGCGAAACGCAGGTTGCGGCAGTGAGGTTGAAGTCTCTCAACATCGAGTCTAGCGACCAAGCCGACGCATTCTCGGGAAGTTCTAAGAATCCTTTTGCCAAAATGCACTGGCGTGAGGTTCTGACGCTGAGCAAGAACCAAGAGACTCCTGGGAGCGGCTTCGAGAGTCTTGGTCCGTCGGATAGTCTGCGTGTCGTTGCCCAGGCTGGCGAGGGCACTCTAACGGACCGCGTCGACGTAGGACCAGGCGAGCTCAAACTGCGTCTCTCTCCGGACGGCAAACCCGACCTGACAATCCTGCGCGGCGCACAGGAGTCCTTGTCCATTACGCTCGATCCGTCGCAGGTGCCGCCTCAGCTACCCGTCGACCTGGCCGACATCCAGCGTACCGCTTTCATGCTCCCTACACTGCGGACCCTCTCTTTTTTCTCCCTTGAGGACTTGCATGCTTTCCAGGCATCCATCACCTCATTCCACGTAACATATGACGGTCTCGCACAGACGTTCACGATAGCACGTCGACGGCCCGTCACTGCGTTGTCACGGCACAAGAAGCTCGAGGCCGGGACTTCTAGGATTCAAGTCGTATCGCACGAGCGCCAACGCATCGTCCAGCTGCTCGCTTTTTTCGACGACATGCCACAGGCCGACTGCCTCAATTTCCAGCTCAAAGGAGTTGACCAGTTCGAACGTTACGAGGACAAGCACGCGAAGGGAAGGTATGGCGTCAAGCTGGTGGACGCGAAGTTCACGTTGCCCATCAAGGAGAAACCGGACAAAGAGGACAGGGGTAGCAGGAGTGACACTCCGGACAATGGTGGGACAAAGTTTGCGAATCTCGAGAAGAAGTTTGTTAGCTTGGATGCGTTGGAGCCTCCAGCGGAAAACGACGACATCTTTGTGGGATTTGAGAGCGAGCAAGGTACGGAAGTGGCCGACGTTCTATTTGTTTTTTGGAGGAATGTGCTAATCTAATCCCGAAATTAGAACGTGAGAGGTTTTTGCAAGCGCTTCCCGCTCCACCGCAGGCTCATAAAGGTTTGACCATTCGAAGACGGATATGAGATGGGTGCATGAAAGCCGAGGGAATCATTCCCACTTGTGCCTTTTTTTCGTTTGTTACAAGTTGACTGTCAGGACCGGTTGAAAACAGCGTGGAAGGTTCCCCTGGCGGTAGTATCTCCGATGAGCGTTCGCGTAGAGCATGTTTGGAGCTTGGAGCTAGTTTTACGGGTTGCTACTTGGATGGGCCGCATTTAGTCGACCTGGCTTGCATATGGGAGGGAGTAGCTGGATTGATTGAATCCAGAACTATAAAGATGTACTAACGACAAGTGGATATAGATCGCTGTCCTTCATTGTCCTTTGTGCAAATTTGCAAAAGGACGAGATATCTATCTCCCTTTGAATCAATTCATTACGAGGCGATCATCTCTAGAACACGTCCTTGTTGTTTTCTTTCGCGTGGAACGATGCTCTTTGCTGTCAGTGCACGTGCGTACTGCTCTTCTTAAGCTTCCAACAAGCAAGCCACAGATTTCCTATTTTGGCCTCGCGGTTCAGTTTTCTGCTCAACCTAAGAACCATCATACGGGCAACCTTCAGGAAGTAATACGAATGACACATTCGCGCCAAAGACAACACGCAATACAATCACAGCCATGCCAATGATGGCTCGCACCGAATACGAAGCGTGAAAGAGCGGTTGGCACTGGCGTTTGGAGATCAACTGCGCCAGCTCAGCAGGCAACAGGATTTTTGTATTGAACTTACCCTACGCTATCCGACTTTGTCTTTTTCCTTCATTTTTTAACAAGGTGAGAATACTTTCCTCTTTTTTCGAGGTGATCTCGACATCCATTGCTCGGCACCGTTCGCTCTGCTATTTCGGACTTCGGTTTTGTTCTCGCTTGCGTGCTTCTCCTTGTGTCATTCTGTCTTTTATCTCAAGAAGAGGAAGTAATTAAAAGGATTTTGCAATGAAGATCATCATCGTCGGCGGTGGTATATCGGGACTTTCGACCTACCTGTTCTTCCGGCAGAGCTTTGCTCAGAACGCGGAGAGGACGGAGATCAAAATATACGAGAAGTATCACCCGCGAGCTAAGGTGAGCTCCTCGAGCGGGGGAGCGCCTGATGCCGAGGAGCACGACCTGGAGGAGCTGTCGTCCAGCACGGCAATTGTGGGGGGCGGACTCGGCGTAGCAGCAAATGGAATGCGCATCCTGCGCGAGATATCGACGGAGCTCCACAACGCGGTCGCAGCGCAAGGCTTTCCTTGCGACAACTTTATCTTCAGGGCCAGCAGGGGGTGGAAACTGAACGAATCCACGACTTCGGACGACAAGGGGGAGGTCTGCATTGCGAGTTCGAGACACGGGTTGTGGAAATGCCTTAACGACGCCGTGGGAAGCGGCGTCGTGCAGTATAAAAAGGTGATCAGGGTGCTGGGCCGCGACGACACGAGCGGGCCGAAGGTCGTCTTTGACGATGATACCGAGGAGGCCGCCGATCTGATAGTAGGTGCGGACGGCGTGAAGAGTACGGTAAAGAATGCTATCTTTGGACCAGAGGAGTATAAGCCAATCTACGAGTATGGTTCTTCCTCACCCCTTCACTTTCTTCTTGCTGAGCCGCCGTTAACACTGACCGTCAGTAAGTTGATCGGCGTGGGAGGCTTCCTTCCCATCCCATGCTCCAAAGAATCTCTGGACAGGAGGGCCATGGTCTTCACGTTCGGCCCCAATGGTTTCTTCGGCTACTCCCCAATAGCGCAGAGGGAGTCCATGTGGTGGTCCACCATACACGCCGACGACCTGCCAAGCCAGTCGCGCATCGCGCTCTCTGATCTGCGCAAGCAACTGCAGGACCATCACGGGAACTGGAAGGATCCTTTCATCCAGAACATTATCCAAAAGGCCGACGTCTCACACGTCTATCCGACCTGGACCACCCCGCGGCTACCCTACTGGAGCAAAAACGGGCTCATCCTCGTCGGGGACGCCGCGCATGCCATGAATCCGACCTCGGGTCAAGGCTCATCCCAGGCTCTTGAAGACGTAAAGACGCTCTCAATCTGCTTGTCGCACTACCTGTCCCAGACGTCGCAGAATCTGCCCCTCGGGGACGCGATCGACCGGGCCGGCGAGCTCTACTACCGTGTGCGTTCCCCACGAGTTCACGCCATCGTTGCGCGGACGAACAAGATTGCCAACGCTAAGAGGGAATTGAGCTTCGTGGAGGAGATGATGACGTACGCATTCATCTGGTTGTTGGGCAGGTTCCCGTCCCTCGGAAAGCTGCTCATGGGCGACGTGAACAAGGAGCTGTACGGCTGGGACGTCTATGCGGAGATTCGCAAGGCGTTGAAGGTAAAGGGCGAAGGTGATCAAATAACTGGACCAGACGCTCCGTTGTCATGATGTATCTTACGCGGACCGTGGGTTCACCAAGGCAATGTTTGGGTCTTCTCCGCTCCCATGTCGTCTTCGCGAAGGACAAAGCTCAAAATTGCTATGTTTTGAGATCTCTTGTTTGTTTTCTTTTCCTATTTTTTTTTTTTAAAAAAAAAAAATCAGTTGAGCTAATCGCATGCTCGGGTATTTGTGACTTTCGTATCTTACAATCTCCAACTTGGGCTGGAAGCCGACAGTAGGATCCATCTAATATGCGGTTTTGCTAGCTTGTAAAATGAGTATGGCACAGCAACAAAAATGCTAGGCTACTTTCTTGATCAAATTCGGTCCAAAAAGATCATTGCCCTGTTTTTCGAACGCTTCCCTTTCCAGCTTTCTCTTTTTCACGGCTTGCTCGTCTACGCCGTCTGCCGCCCGTTTCTTGGCTTTGGCCTCAGCAGGATCCCTTGCATTAATCTTATTGCACTTTAGCATCTTCCTGTTCATCTTCTTGAGGTCGTTATCCTCCTTTGGAACTTGGGTCTCCTTTAGCATGGTGGCACACGCCGCAATTGCATCCATGATCTTGTGCTTCTCGCGTGCCGGCACAACGCCGCTCAGCTTTACGTCAAGCAAGTCGTTCACGAAATCCGGATCGTGGCACGACCAAGAGGCGAAAGCGATCTGCGAGGGTGAGTAGTGAAAGTAGGCGTCCGAGATCAACGCCTTGGTGGACAGGTACTCCTTCGCTTTCTCGTACGTAGACAAGACGCGCCTCTCGAACTCTTTGGGCGACACACTGCCATCTTTCAGAAGGCGATCTCGTATGTCATCCTCGCTCATCCTGGTCCAGCCAGCGGGTGCTTTGTGGCCCTGGCATATGTGGACGAGCTGGTGACCTTCGAGCACGATGCCTTTGAGAGCGCGGTACGGGTGGCGAACGTCGAAGTGAAAACGGAGGGCCTGCGTGAACAGGAACTCTGGACCTAGGATCGATTCTCTTGTCACCTCTTTCAGCCCGTCGATCTTGTGTGCGTCGCGCAAGAAATGATCGAGAGAGTGCATTTGGTTGTCCGTCTTGTTGGCCAGGAATAGGGCTGTGGGCATAATCCTTTTGGGAGCATAGTCCATTAGCGAGTGTGTTAGATAGAAGCGCTTCAGGAACTGGATCGCCGTCGCGGTGACGTGTACAGGGTACTTGAACTGATCGTTGCCGAGAGCGAGGACGTTGCTGCAGTAGTATTTGAGCAGTTCGATCTCTTCCTCCACAGTAAGCCGCTCGACTTCGCCATCGTCCTTCTTGCCATTGCTGCCGCCATTCTTAACGTCCGCGTCGCTCACCGATGGCGTGCCTTCCGCTGAAGATGGAACCGCAGAGGCAGCCTTCCGCCGCTTCACGAGGGCGTTGATGTGATCCGAGGCGAGCGCGTTCGATTTGGCGCGGAGATCTGCTAGCTTCTCCGGCGTGAAGCTCCAGAAACGATACTGTGACGATGACCTGTATATCGCATCTTCATTCATGGCGCGGGACAGGTGGTTGTGGTCGATGAACGTGTCTTAGTCGCGCTCGAACAACTTTAACGCCGTCATCGGCGTCGAGATTACGAACACGGGGGAGCGTCAGAAAGCCTCCTGGACGCACGGCTCCAAACGAGCGCCTCCTCCAGATGACCACTATGGTAAATGCTGTCGTATGGAGAGCATAAGATGGGGGATGCTTTATTGCCGAATAAAACCGAATAAGCATTGTCCTACGGCTTCTTAGTCTGCTCGTCTGTCCCGACTGCGCGGCTGCTGGTTAAAGATCGCCCGAGTACTCCACCATGATCAACACCAACCAGATGCTTCATGACGGTACCGCCGAAACAAAATCACCGAACCTGCAACTGCCGTGCATGTTCTCCGCAATGTTACCTATACAAGGATGTTTTTCCTTGGACGAGTGCTTACCCAAGACCAACTTCCTTTACTTCACAGCGCCTAAATGGATGAGAGTTTCCTTTCGCTCGGCCCAGTTTGCATTTTGGATCGAGGAAATCTCGCCTTTGAAGAGCTTTGAGCCGAAAGATTCGTGATGAATGAAAATTTACTGACACAAGAGGCTAATGACCCAGTGAAGGTCATGCTGGACAGCAAAGATGAGGACTACGACAAAGCCAAACATCTTGAAAAGGTCCAGTCTACTGTCACCGACATTGCGGCTGACTCCCGGGCTGAGCGGTACCTTAATCGAAAGTTTGACCGACACATATTGCCGTGGCTGTTCATTCTCTGGTTGCTTGCCTTCATCGACAGGTCAAACATTGGAAATGCTCGGATTGATGGCCTTGCAGCAGACCTTGCCCTCGATGGCAACAAGTTCAACGTTGCATTGGCAGTCTTTTATGTTCCCTACATCTGCGTCGATGTATTTCTTTCAGTTGCCGTCTTATTTCTTCATCTAATGATAGCCAGATCCCGAGTAATCTTGTTCTAAAGTACTTCAAAGCCGGCTTCTATATACCTGTCCGTTGCTCATTCTGTTCCAATCTGCTGCATCTATGCTGACTATCACCTAGTTCCTAGTCACTGTTTGGGGCATAGTATCACTGTGCACAGGGCTCGTCAAAACTTATGAGGGCCTACTTCTTGCACGATTCTTTCTGGGTCTTGCAGAGGGTGGACTTCTTGGGGGTATAATCATCTATCTAGGTACAGAAACGACAGCAAATTGTGGAGCAAAAACTGATCCAAATTCTGAAGCAATGTTCTACCGTCGTCATGACATGCTCTACCGAATAGGGCTCTTCTATTGCGCTGCTCCACTAAGCGGAGCATTTGGTGGCTTACTGGCGACCGGCCTGGCTGAGATAAAAACCTCTGGCTATAATGGCTGGCCGTTCATCTTTTTTATCGAAGGTACGTTAAAATTGCCATCTCTACTAATTCGCGCTGACCGTTCTATGCCACAGGTGCAATTACCGTTGTGGTTGGGGTCATATCCAGCTTCTTTCTTCCACACGACCCAACCCATGCGAGATTCATTTCCGATGAAGAGAAAGCGCAAGCCATTGCTCGGCTTAAGCTCGATAGTCAAGGTTCTTCTTCAGGAAATGCCAACTCAGAAAAATTCTCCTGGCATTGGGTCCGCATTGCTCTCCTTAATTGGAACACGCTGCTTCTGTCCCTCGATTTCTTCGCCATTATCACGCCAATTTACAGCTTTTCTCTGTTTCTACCTACCATCATCCGTACATTAGGTTATTCGTCTGTGAAAGCGCAGCTGATGACTGTACCGCCAAACTTCCTTGCATTTCTGACAGTACTGCTCGCTGCGCACTTTTCGGACAAGTTTAAGGTCCGAGGTCCTTTCATGTTGATTGGCTGCACAGTTGCTATTGGGGGTTATACTATGCTCATAGCTAGCTCAATGCCGGGCGTCCAGTATGGCGGTACATTTCTGGTCGCTGCAGGCGTTTTTCCAAGCTCACCTCTGGTCATGGGATGGTTGAGCAACAATGTTGCGCCACACTATGTCAGAGCCACTGCTACCGGCTTCCAGATTGGAGTGGCGAATATGGCTGCCTTTATTGCAACCTTTACTTATCTCCAGGCTGACGCGTGTGTCTTCTGCTCCCAATAATCTGGCATCATTTGCATTTTGGCTGACATTGTTGTGCACAGACCACGATATACGAAAGGGCATGCAATAAACATCGGCATGCTTGGATTGTCACTCATCACGACCACCGTACTGATCCTTTACAACAAGAGAGAGAATCGGCAGAGAGATATGGGGAAAAGGGATTACAGGCTCCAGAAAGAAAAGGAAGAGCTTTTAGGATATAGACACCCAAGTTTTAGATACACGATCTAGACCAATCGTCTACGCCACGAGACGTTCCATTGAATTTCCATTAGCCTATCTTCTCTATACCTGACTAAAAGCCTCGTTTTTGCATTTTGCCTAACCACGAAACACTACAAAGTGTACAGCAACTCACGGGACTCCGCTGATTTTAGTGCTCGCCTGTGGAGAGCGTTCTATTTCTGTAAAGGCTTAGGCGCTAAATGACCACTTCAATATCCGAGGCGGCTGAATTGCTACCTGTTCTCGTGGATTTTCCTGCATCATTCTATGGGGAACTGGACTCCGAAGATGTCACGCTATGTCTAAGCCAAGTACGTACAGCGAGGATGACATTGCATGATTGTGGAATGATCCAGACTAGAAAAATGAGGGGTCCCCACATCGAGGACAATAACTTTGATCACGTGACTCGTAGACGGAGATATTTAACCGAGCCATAAGCGTGGTAATAAGATAGACCCCACACCTCTGGAGAAGACTAGACGCCAACCTCCGCCAATCTGACCATTCAAACGAATCTGTGAGCAGCGAAGTGTCGAATCAGTCCGCGGGCACCCCAGATACCCTCATGAATCAGGTCGGCTGGAAAAGTAGCTTCCCGAGCTTCCCCTCGAGCTGTCCATGTCAGGATAATGCGAATCATCCACGAAAGTGCCGTGGACCCGACTTTAGTAAGAGCCAGTGTTGCGTCTGGTGGATATCTTCTAACGACTCATGTTCGCGTATCCGTGTGCTAGTGTTTGCAAGATAAATACTTCTTTACTGATCGCCCTGCATTCACTTCCTCTCTCTTGCTATTCCCTCTCTCTTTTCATATCATAAACCTCTCATCTATTTGTGCGGTTTTCTTCTGTTCGTGATACCCCATAATGGCTGACTTCGTTGTCCCCCACACCAAGCCAGTCACCGACGCAAAGTCGCGGCTGGAAGCCCCAATTCACGCAGAGAGACATGTTAAGGTCATTTGCATTGGTGCCGGAGCGTCCGGCCTGTTGATGGCCTACAAGATCCAAAAGCATTTCAACAACATGGAGTTGACCGTTTTTGAAAAGAACCCAGAGGTCTCAGGAACGTGGTACGAGAACAGATATCCGGGGTATGTCAACCCTGAGGCGATCCCCTAACCAAGGGGCGATCATTGCTTCACCATTCAACGTATTCTAACATCAAATTCAGATGTGCATGTGACGTGCCGGCGCACAACTACACATGGTCTTTCGAGCCAAAGCTGGACTGGTCTGCTGTCTATGCCAGTAGCAAGGAGATCTTCCAATACTTTGATGCCTTCGCCCGCAAATACCACCTCCACAAATACGTGCAAACATCGCATCAAGTCATCGGTGCCTACTGGAACAAGCAGAAAGGTGGCTATGACGTTAAGGTCAAGAACCTGAAAGACGGGTCTGAAAAGTCTGAGCACTGCGATATCTTGATCAACGGCAGCGGTATTCTCAACAATTGGAGATGGCCCGCCATTCCAGGTATTGAAAAATACAAAGGAATTCTTCTACACACTGCCAACTGGGATGAAAGTGTCAATCTCGAGGGTAAACACGTCGGTCTTATTGGCAATGGTTCTTCCGGAATCCAGGTGCTTCCCACAATTCAGCCCAAGGTTAGCAAGGTCACTACTTTCATTCGAGAGCCAACCTGGGTCTCGCCAGTACAAGGCCTTGAGCAACATGTCTTTAGCGATCAAGAGAAGTACGAGTTTGCCACAAAGCCCGGAAAACTGCTTGAGTACCGCAAGCTCGTGGAGCGAGGTTTGAACGGTCAATTCGGCATCTTCCTTAAAAACACACAGATCAATAACGAGACACATGAGTACATGAAAGCGCAAATGAAGGAGAAGCTGCAGAACCCGTATCTTGAGGAGCGTCTTATCCCAGAATGGTCGGTTGGATGTAGACGATTGACACCAGGTGTTGGCTATCTTGAGGCCCTTGGCAAACCAAATGTCAAAACTGTTTATGGAGAGATTTTGGAAATTACTGAAAAGGGATGCAAGTGCGACGATGGAAACGAGTATCCAGTCGATATCCTTATCTGTGCTACTGGATTTGACACTGGCTTCAAGCCACGCTTTCCAATCATCGGCCCAGACGGAAGGAATCTGCAGGACGTTTGGTCTGGCACTGCCGAGTCATATTTTGGTATCGCGGCTGCCGGATTCCCCAACTACCTGATCTTCCTTGGTCCCAACTGCCCTATTGGCAACGGACCGGTCCTATGTGCTATCGAGTGTCAGGCAGACTACATGTGCAAGATGATTGACCGTTATCAGACTCACAACATCAAGGAATTTGCGCCGAAGAAGGAGGCCGTGGATGATTTCGTCGCACACAAGGACTTCTTCATGCAGCGAACGGTCTGGAATGATCCGTGCCGATCGTGGTACAAGGCTGGAAGCATCGAGGGCAAGATCACTGCATTGTGGCCTGGCTCAACTTTGCACTACATGGAAGCAATGGAGGAGCTCAGATTGGAGGATTGGGACGTGAAATATGAAGGCAACAGATACGCCTACCTGGGCAATGGCTACAGCCAGACCGAAGTGGATCCAACTGCTGACTGGGCTTACTATATTCGTGAGCATGACGACGGCTTGCCACTGTCAACAGCTGGTAGGAGGAAGCTGCAGAACAAGAGCGGCACAGTAGAGAAGAACGAAGGAGTATCGTTCTCTGGCGCCAAGCTATGAGTATTTGACATATTAGACGGATACCTTGAGACGAGAAGAGGATTCACATGTTAAGGATTTGCATGTTAAATTATCCTGACGTTGTATTACATTAGTATGAACTCAATTTTGTCAATGAAAAGAAGTCTTCATAATGAGCCTACGTCGTGCGCGTACTCCTGACGCGTCAAAAGAAAAGGGAAAAAAAAGGGGGAAAAAAAACGACCTTCTTTGCTGAACTCGATATATGTAAAGTAGCAGTTTAGAGCAAAGTGCCAGTGAAATAGAGCAGCAAAAAATTGCAGCATCATCACGGAAGAGAGCCACAGAAGAGACACATTAGTCACTCCGTTTATCGCCATGATTAATTTTGAGTTTATGGTACTATCTTGAGACTAAGCGCAATAACCACCGTCGACCACGAGTCCTTGACCACACATGTAGCTGGCTAACGGACTTGATAAGAAAGTGATCGCATCTCCAATTTCTTCCATCATCGCCATACGGCCCATCGGAACTTTGGCGACTTCTCCGTCCATGACTCCGGCTTCTCGCGCCGCGAGAAGGAGCGGCGTTGCTACATAGCCAGGGCACATTGCGTTGATCCGGATGCGATACTCTGGTCTTCCGTAGAAGATTGCGTCGGCCTTTGTGAGACCCATGACACCATGCTTCGTTGCCGTGTAGTCGGTAGCAAACGTCGACGGCGCCGAAGCCTTCGTGCCAAGCATGGAGGCAACGTTGACGATCGAGCCACGACCCTCTCTGTCATTCTTCGGCCTGGAAATGATGTAAGCCATTGGGTCATTTCGCACACGCATCGAGAGAGAGAAAGAGAAGAGGGGGGGCGGCGGGCTTGACTCACTCCTGCTTCAGCATCTGTTGGATCTGCGCCTTTTGGCAGTACCATACGCCCGTCAGGTTCACATCGATCAAGCTCTGCCAGTCCTTGCTCTCGAGCTCGTGCGTGGGCTTGGCCGGTCCTCCACGGCCGGCATTGTTGACGGCGTAATCCAAGCTGCCAAATCTCTTGACGGTCTCCGCAACGCTGTCAAACACGGCCTTTTCGTTCGCGGTGTTGCACTCTATTGGCAGCACCTCCACGTCCGGGGCCTGCTTCTTCAGCTCGTCCACCGTCCTGTGGAGATTCTCGGGCTTGAAGTCGATGAGAGCCATGCGCTTCACACCGTGTCTTGCGAACGAAAACGCAGTGTGCTGGCCAATTCCCCTACGAGCCGAATTAGCATCTCCATTCTTGCGGTCTCGTTGTCGAATCCTGCCGGTGACATACGATCCAGCGCCGGTGATGTATGCAACGCCCCGAAGAAGCTGCGCCATTATGGTACTATGGTCTGAACGTTTACGTAGATCGGTTTGCCGACAGCAGAAAGCAGACACAGCATTCGCATGACGCGGCAGCTCCCCATGTAAACATGCTCTTGGTCGCGGATGTTCGGTCGCGAGACAGCCGGCTACCGCACCGTGATGGGGGGGTGGGGGCGCTGCTGGCCAGACTCGCTGGACTTTACCCTGCTCAGGGCCGCCGGACGGAAATGGTTTGCCCCTCGAAAACGCAGCCTAGAACGGGGTGGCTACACAATCTCCGCAGTTTCTGCGGCGTCGACGCGCGTGTGGGGGAAGCGGTTCGCTGCATGATTCGTGCGCGGCTGAATGACAAACTTTGAATGATTCGAGCAAGCCGTCACCTTTCACGTACCTGGCGCTTGAAGACCCGACTCCTCCGTTATACAACCGCAATGGCAACGCGCGCGTGCTTTCCGAACGAAAAAGCACTCCACGCGAGGAGACATGCGTGTACCCCTCGATTGCTGCTACGGATCGTCTGCTGAGGCCGTCTCGTGCGAACACGAGTCTCGATTCTGTATCCAACCGTCGGGGTTTTCGAAAGCATTTTTTTTTTTTGTTTTCAAATGTTTCACTCTGCACACCTCAGCCTAGGTGAATCGAGACTCCAGCAACAGTCGCCACGAACAAGCGTCGAGGGCCGCGTTAGGACGCCACGGCTCGCCGTGTCCTTCGCCAACGGGGCGTCCAAGACAAACCCTATCTGGGATCCTTCCAGGCGTTCTTTGGAGTGTCTTTCCTCCCCCCTCCCCCCCACATCCGCAACCTCCTACCTGCCTTTTACCGTCCGTCGCCAGCGCTGGCTGGGCCTCCTCAGGCTCAAAATCCCCAGTGGCGCGCCTTGCAATGCTGGATGGTTTCTGTGCGTCAAGCCGGGCGCGGGTCTCGTTGCCGGACGTGTCGCGTGGATGAATGATGACCTCGTGGAGAGCCCCTTCGATCGGCTCGCTTGAACGATAAGCAGTATTCTCTCATCTTGCGGCGAGTGGATCGAGTGAGACAATGTAAGCACCTGGCTGTTACGCGAACGTGAAGAGCGTGAAATTTCTTCCATCGAGAAGAGGACCGATGGCCATGACGGCGAGGAAGAAAACCGTCCGCATCGAAAAGGCAAAGAATCGCTTCTTTTTCTTTTCTTTGTTCCTTCTCCTTTACACTGACAGAAAGATTTGATTGTAGTATTACGGTGACTATATAATGTTGTCTCGATCCCAGGTTATATATCAAGGTACATGCGGCATAAAAGGGGCTCGCTTTTTTCAGTAAACCTTAAAAAAAAACTCCGCACCATGCATATAGATGTGTGTATATAAAGGAGAAACTTTCCCGGCAGCTTTCCTAGATCAGTGTGCCCCCTCCGAAGAAATAAAAAAGAGATTCGTCAAAGGCCCTTGTCGTCATAAATGGTGCATGCTGCTGAATATGAAAAAAAAAAGAAATGAACACAAGACACAAATGTGTACTCATCTACAAGAATTGAACTGATCCGGACCGTAAGCGCATGTTTCCACGCATTTTTCTTATTACCTCCTCATGCTGTTTTTCCTTTCTTCCTCCTCGACCAGCTCGGCCTCGCTACCGTGCGGCAACTCGCCACTGTACACGCCTTCCATTGCGAAATGGCGAACGACACGCCCCGTGCTCATAGGCCGCCGCTCGTCGTTTGGCGGACCGGCGGGGACATAGCTGGGGCCGGGCTGCGTGCCAAAGTGGCCGTCGTACGGATGGGAGTAAACAAATTCGTTGTTCTGGAACCTGCCCACCTGTCCAGTACGCGGCGTGCCTGATCTAGCGCGCTCTTGATCATGCATGTCTTGTTCGTCGTTCTCTGAAGCGGGATATAAGCTGGACGCCGCACTCGTGCGTCTGGAGCGCTCCTTGTTATCCGCTTCCACAGGATCGGCGCTCAGTGAGGTGAACGGAACGCGTGCCTCGGGATCGGTGTTTCCAGGTCCTCGAAACGATGCCATCCGAGCTAGCTCTTGCATCTTTGGAAATGTGGTCTCTCCCCTCGAATTCCGCTTTGAGCTTCGTCGCGGAACTGCTGGAATTGGTGGTCTTTGACTGTCCGTGGTGACTTGTGAAGCTGAGCGGGACGGGAGATGTATGCTTCCAACCCCTGATATAGGCGCCAACCTCGGCGGACCCTCTCTCGTCGACGCGTGTCGCATCGGAGAAAGAAGTTCGGACTCGCTTTGCGGCACATACGTGTCCTGCGATGGCCTGGGGCGGACGACATCGTGGCGACTCTCTTCTTCGTCAATAGCATGGGACGAACTTTCTGGCAAGTCGGCTATGACACTCTCTCGCTTCTCTTGTTCAACATCTTCAGGCTTGTCTGAATATGGCACCTGGGCATCGGTAACAGGTGGATCCTCATCTTGCTCTTGCAGCAGGTGGAGAGGTGTGCTCCTAACAACCTCAAACCCTTTCTTCTTGTCCTTGGTTTTGTTGCCGAATATGCTCCTGAACCATCCGGTTGCGGATGCAACCGGTCCCATCGGATCTGCTGGCCCAGTCTTCAGTCGCCTGGTAGGCCCACTGGAGAGCGCTTGGCCTCTGACTCCATAGTAGAAATCCGACTCTCTGGTAGAGTAGTCGGTGTTTCGCAGTCGAGAATCGCCAAGATCGCCAGGATCGCTGTGGTGTGCACGGAAGTATGCAGCACCGACGGATCCCCGCTCCGATCCGAGCACTGAAGGAGCTTCTGACAGATCAGAGTACATGGCATGCTGTAGCGGTTGCGAAGACCGCCGAGGGCGGCCTTCCCCGCCAGCGGACACATCTTCGGCAAGAAGCTCATTTGTCGGTCTTCGAGCTCTCGGTGGTCTGAAATAGGGGTCAGACGGTTCGAGCACCTTACTCGCCTTCCTGCCCTGCGCAGCACCGGCGGCGCCAGCAGGCAAGAAAGAGAATGGACTATGTCCGCCAGCTGGCGTGCTCGTTCCGGGACTGTTGCCTGTGACAGACTCGCCGGCCTGGCTGAAGTTCTCAAACCCGACGCTGGCGCGGTTGTTTGGAGTGCCGTCGTTCAGTATCATTGTCGAACTGGCCGACATTGCTCGGCTCATGCGGTTCATGGAAGACTTGGTCTCTGTCAACTGGGTCACCTGAGAGCCCATGCTTCCGCGTGGACCGGGACGTTTGACACGCTTGGACAGCTGTCGCATGCCGAAAACGGTGGTGAGACCTCCCCTGGCCTCCCTTCCAGCACCGGCGAGTCGAGCGAAGACCTCGACCAAGGTCTGGATTGCATTGAGGAAGAAGCCAAACACGAGAACAGCTGCGTGCAGGAGCAGCACAGCGTAGCCCACCCAGCCTTTAGTAGACTCCGAGACACCTAAAGAAGGTGCGAAGGCCACCATAAGCAGAGTGGTGACGAGCCTGACGACGGAGAAGAATGTGTGATACGCGTTCATGGAGGTGAGCGACTGGAAGGGCCGGAAGGCGTGCAAAGTAAGGATCAAGATGACCTCACAGATAGCGAGGATGACGAGCTGGGCAATGCCCGAAGGCTGAACGGCTCCCATGGCGATACCGCGCACGAAGGTGAGCAGGAATGGAATGAAGGCGTACGGCGCAGCCTCGTCCGAGTACGTGTTGTAAAGCGGACCGTATGCCAGAAGCAGAGGTAAATGGTCGAAAAGGTGTACTCGCGGCTTCGTGGTGAAGATCAGGCGGAAGATCCAGGCGGCGAAGAGGATGATGGCGACTATCAGGACGACGGCCAATGCGACCACGTAGGGCGGGGACCGGTCGGCGACGACTAGTTGGAACATCGACAGCGAGATGATGGGGAGGAGAAAGTAGTTGAACAAGATGCGGACCACGTTGCCAGAGGTGAATGGCAAGTTCTTGCTGCGCAGATCCTCCTCTGGTATGTCTGAAATAAGCCGGAAGAGGGTTCGAGCTGCGAAGGCGAGCTGGCAGAGAATGACCACGGAAGCGATGATGATGCAAAGCCACACGGCCATGCCCGCCCACACGTCTTCATCCTTTGTCATGCCTGCCAACTGGCTCAATCTCGTCAGACCGTAGGTGCCATTGGTCGCGTAGACGCCGTCCCGCAAGCTCTGATAGCCCTCGCCCTTGCTGATGAAGCTCTCGTTGAACATGAGAACAGACCAACTTGCGCGGCTGACAACCGGCTGGTAGAAGCCTGGATAGGCCAGACTCAAACTGCCCGCAAGCACGACGAACTGGATGTACTGCAAGCAGTCGCCGAAGCCGGGGGTGACCAGGCGCAGGATATCGTCGTCGCGGCCGTAGTTGCTGGTCCAGTGGAATGCGTCGGGCGAGCTCCAAGGGCTGAATCGAGCGGCGAGGATGGTGGCAAGTCCCACCAGGATCAGGATGGCCAGAGGTACGCATCGCAGAGCACTTGACAGCGAGCTCCCCAACGATGGCGCGATGCCTGCCTGAACGCAGGCCAAGTAGTCATTGTTGTTCGCAGCAGCACCGGATTGTACCCTCAACAATGTCGCGAACGAGGCGAAGGAATAGGCGCTGTCAAAGTCATGTGAGAGGGAGAAAGCGTGCAGCCGGTCCAGACTGTAGGGACTGACGTCAAAGAGGGGCTGCCAGGGACAGCCGCCATCGATGGTCTGGTTGCAAAATCGCATGGGCGAAGGGTGCCATGCCGTGTACGAAAGGACGTCGACGGTTGCGAACAGCGTGGTGTAGTTGTCTGGAGCATCGATGATGTTGAAGTGTGGATCGGAGGCGTTCCAATTGTTTGGACTTGGATAAGGGAGCGAAGGATCCGTGGTGCCGGTGACGTTTCCGTAGACGGTCACGTTGAACGTGTAGGTGCCGTTGCTGTCATCGTATCGTGCGTCGAGGAACAGAGGCTGGAACTGCAGGTCTTTGGAGCTAAGCACGGCGGGCGAGAGGCAGTTGTCGAACGAAACGAGAGCGGCCTCTGCCGCCGGCAGGCTCGAAGCGGCCAGCAAAACGAGGCATAGGGTGGTGAGCATGGCCCAGAGGGACGACGGCGACGTCGTGCAAAGTGTCGACGTTGATTGCGGTTGTGCGGTTGGGTCGAAGTCGATGTGGCGCCTCCGTGCCCTTCTCCGGGCCAGCAATGGCGACTGCGATGCCATGGCGAATTTCTTGGTAGGTAGCCCGACTTTTTCCACCACCGAATCACCTCGCTCCTCGAAGCTACTCCATGCGTGCGGCGACGGCGAGGTCGACGAGGTCGTTGAGGTCGATGAAGAAGTCGTCCCGGGGTCCATCCAAAACCCAGCGAGGGGGCCGGATTCTCGCCTGTTGGGGGGTGGTGTTCGATAGCGAGAGGGACGACGTTGAGGCTGGAATGCACAGAAGGAGGGTGAAGAGAGGAGAGCCAACAAGGCGATGACGAAGACCACTCGGTCCAAAGGGGACGACGAGCAGCTGTTACAGAAGCGAGGTTTTGGCTTCGACGTGGTCGCCGCCGGAGCCAACGGTCGCGCCGGGTCGCGCCCGTACTCAGAAACACCAATGGATAAAATTAGGCTAGCCTGTGGAGCGAGCGTGGCGTAAGCGATCGACGGGTTCGTGTCGCACAGAATCTCGACGCGCTCGCTGTCTGCAGGTCAGCTCACGGCGGGAAGCGCCAAAGGGGCGGGCGGAGAAATCAAGGACGCATGAGCGAGCAAAAGGCGAGGAGTCGACGATGGGGAAGACGGAAGAACACAGACACAGACACACACAGACACACGGCGCGCTCGTCAAGACACAGAGAGACGGGCAAGCACAGGATTTGCTGCGCAGATCGACAAGCCCGTATCGGTGCCAACACGGCATTTGCGCGAACATGGGGGGGTTTTCGGTTGCGCGAAAGAGACGGCGGCAGGGCGAGAGCGAGCGCAAGGCGGCGCGCCAATAATAGCACGGAAGCAACGAGCACGACCCGGTGCGCTGGGCATGCGCCTGGAGCACCCGGCCAACGGTCGACACACAATGCCTCGCTCGTACGCAGGAGGCAGAAGACGAAGAAGACGGAGAAGACGAAGAAGAGGAAGAAGCAAAGGCAGCCTCTCTGCACGTACTGTGGCTCGTCGGCGGCGGCAGCGCTGGCAGCCGGCCGACGCCGCAGGCTCTTTTGCTTGCGCTCGCCAGCCACGGGCGCGGCCGGCGACGGCCCGAGTTCCTGCTCGACTCACTCCGTGTCCTTCGCTGGGCGCGTCGGCCTGCGGTGGAGCGTCGCTAACGCCTCCACGATCCTGACTATCCCAATCCCAAACGGCGGGCAGCGTCTTTTCGTCGTCCTGAAGAGAGGGTGTCATCGCTCGATCGCAAACGCCGATCATCTGCTGCATTGGGTGGACGGTTCGAATCTACCGCAACAAGGTCTGATCGCGCGTTCGAGCCGCCCTCCCGCTCCCCCTGGCCCCTTTCCCGCCTCGAGCTCGCTGGGTGCAGAGCTGTATGTATGTGTGTATGTATGTATGTACTATGTATGTATGTGTGTACGTGTGAACGTGTACGTGGTGTCTGTATGTCGGCATGTACGAGTGTGCTCCCGAGACAGCCGTGACAGCAGCTCCGGCACGCATGACGATCATGCCCCTCTGAGACCGAGGGCGCAGAGCTCTGTCTAACCCATCGTTCCGCAGCGGTTTCAAGCGGCGGCACAGCACAGTACCAGCACAGCACTCACTGCTGCGCGGGCCCAGCTGGCTCCCGTCCCGACCGGTCAAACGAGACGTGGGCGAATCTCACACCCTCGTCGACCCGTTGGCACAGTTCTTCCTCGTGACGTCGGCGAGCTGCTTCTGGTCGTGCTGGGAGGTGGTGATGGCGGTCGTGCTGCTCGTGCGCTGCAAGCAACGCCATAGGCCCAGAAGCTTGAGCTCAAGCCGAGCGGGAAAAAACCCAAAGCGGGCCAGCCTGGAGACGAATCTCTGCTCACGGCTTGCACGTCCCCAACGCTTTTGGTAATGCTTGTGGAATCCATCGTGGCAGTGCAGGGGCAAGGGAGAGTCGTAGGGAGCAGAGGAAAAAAAACAAAAAAAAAAACAAAAAAAAGAGCCGAGGAGAGAAGAAGAGTCCGCCATGCGCACACACAATCACAGCTGAGAAAAACCTGCATCCACCAGGTCGTCTTTCTGTTCTGCAAAGGCAAACGTCCACACCAAAGCAGAAAGCAAAGCCTCTTGCAGCTTCGCGGCCATAAATAGCAAGGCCTGTAGCTAGGGCTTGCTCGTCGGCCTAACTTAGCTCGCCCACCTTTCCCACCGCCATTCGACCTCTTCCCACTGTTGCATCTGCAGTGGCACGAGTCCACACAACCCCGCGAGCGCCTACATGTTTCTTTCTGGGTTTGGCTCGCGCCGTTGCCACATGCTGAGTGACGAACGGGCCCGTCACGCCATGTTAGTGGCGACGCCTGTCAGGCCCGATTGTGCCGGAGAGAGGGGGTGTCAACTGATGCGAGCAGACCAGAGGAAACGGGGTTCGAGATCGTTTTACTAAGTGCTTTTCTTGATTGGAACAGCCGTCGTCTTGTAGAATCTTTCATCATCTCCCTCTCTCTCCTCTACTGTCCCCTGCCCGTGCCGTCCCCGCAGCACACGACTAGCTTTGCCAGGAAACCAACTCTTATTGGCGGGCTACTGGGATCTTCTTGAGGGGGGGAGAGACAGAGAAAAAAAAAACCAAAGACTGTAGCCAACCCTTTCCCCCACGTCACGCATGAATTCGTCACAAAAAGAAGTACATGGTGGGGCTTACTCTCGTGCTGTCGATGCTTGTGCCCGTCTCGTCTAGCCTTACGGTCTCTCTCGCACACCTGGGCCTTTGACGCGAGCTCCCGTTTGGGAAATGTCGCTCGTTTTCAGCCGCAGGTATGTTCCGTCTGAACACCAGATCGAGCAGTTGAGGGCCTCGCTGCTGCTGGGGCTTTCAAGTGAGGCCACCCGCACACTTAATTCATTCTGGGCCTCCTCGCGTGGAACGGTCAATGCGTGCTGCTGCATGCAGAACTCGACATATCGGCCCCCTAACTTGTGATTGCTTTGTTTTGTTTTGTTTTTTCTGGTCTCATAACGTACAACCTAACGTGTGGAAAAGCTTTCATCCAGGGTGGCTAGTCGCGTATTGACCGCCACTGTAATAGTTCATTGGCCACTGGTGGTTATTCTCTGCTATTTGCCCTGCAGCACTGCCTGCCGAGGATCTTGCGTCGCTCAAGGACATGAGTGTCGTCGCTGCGGAGGGTGTTATGTAGTCCGGTTGTGAATGTTGTATGAACGTGTTGAGATTCGCCTGACCCCAGCGCATCCAGTCATTAGCTGGCGACGTCGAAGGCGCAGCGGTACTCACATCGTGAGGAGGATAATACGTGATTCCACCAGGTGCCGAGTAGCCGATCGTCGATCCCATGGTGGCTACCTGTTTCGGCTGCCCAGCCCCCGTGTCATAGGAGGGCCCATTATAACTGATCTGGGCACCAGTATACACCCCTTGCGAACTGTCGAACGAGGGAGTGTAAGACCCTTGACCTGGGACGGCCGCGAATTGTCCGCTACCGGTGATGGTAGGCATAACGGCAGGAGAATATCCGCCGTGCTGTTCGTTCTTCATCTCGGGTACGGTCCGAATGTAGTGTGCGTCAATCGATGCTCCGGCCGCAGGCGTTGTTCTTCCCTCCAGACTCACTTTGAGCTTGTCTAGCACGTTCTTGGCTATGCGCTGGACCGAATTTTGTAGGCGAGAGCCCGATCCTATGTGAGCATCAGACACGTCGTCCGTCCGTCACTCGGCCCCTTTTTGACACTTACCGAGCATCGTCCCCACCGTCCCGAACAGATCTAGCCAAGTGCGCATATCAGATTCCAGTCGTTCGTAGCTCGCCGCCGTGAGTTCTGCGCCTCGCTGGTCGCCAATGAACAACTGTGTGAACGTCATCGCTAGAAGCAGAGTCGTTGTGTGCCACGGCACGTCCAGCGACCTCAATTCCCGAACTTGCCAGAGCACTTTGAGCGCGTCCGATATTGCCCCCTCACACAACTGCAGCGTTCGCTTGTACGACGTCGGCTGGTTCGACGGATGGAGCAGCGGGTGGTAAAGGAGGAACCGGAATTCTGCTTCGAAAAGGTCAAGGTACATTGCATACATGTTGAGTTCGCCCTGCACTCGTGTCGCATCAGAAATCTCTTGGGGCACGGCTGCACGCCATACCTCAAGATCGCTTTTGAATCGAGAGACTAGCTTCGAGTACTCTGCTGCCGACGGCTTGGATATCGTGTACAAAGTGCAATGCAGATCGCTGTAGAGGGCTAGCAACTTGGCAATGGCGATGCCCACTTGATACGAACACTTTTGGAACTCCGTCAGCGACGGCTCTTCGACATCCAAGTAATCATGCACCGGTAGAGGAAATTCGATGTCAATGTCGGCTAAACGAAGAGGAGGTGGACGACCGAGGCGTGTGCTATTATTGGTTGCCAGACCATACAGTGCCCAAAAGACTCGCTTTCGACTCTCAATCATGGCTGGAGTCATTTGCTGTCTTTCCGAAGCCGCAAGTGAGTCTGCTGAACGATGCAAACCACATTCGATGGCCAAGTTGACTGTGAGCTGGCCAAGTATCCAGCACGCCCCAGGTCTCTGGAGCCCTCTGAGCTGCAGTACAATCAAGCTCATCGCCTGGATGTCACGAAATGTGCGGGAGCGTAGCATATCCTGTATAAATCCCGCTGAGTATTTCAGGTGTGCTATGGCTTCTTCTACAAGCTCTGGATGATGATTGCGCTGGCCGTATTGATACTTGATGTAGGCGAACATCATATGAACCATCGTCTCTTCCGCAGCAGATCTGCCGGGACGAGGACCGGGCCGAGGATCGCTATAGACTTCCACCAGCTGTAGCAGCGATCAGCAAGACAGATACTCGAGGGTGGAAACGCTTCATGTACCAGTTTGTCCATTTCTCGTTTGTCGAGAATGGGAGTGTAAGCATTGAGAAATTTAAAAAACCAGCCAGCATATTCGCGGGCCTGCTTGAGGTTGGGAGGTAAAGGAGGTGGATGAAGGTGTTCTCTCGTGTTTGAGGCGTTTATGCAGTAAATAAATCCGCTGAACGTCTGCGGCGAGTCGATGTCGTTCAAGTCCTCTGCGAACTCTGCAAGATCAATCTGCATGCCAAAGAGCGACAGGGTGGTGCCCCTGAGCATGCTGAAGGCAGGATTGGATGACATTCCCCCAGTAAGGTTGTTCATATGCTTCTGCCAGATTGACATCTCTGCGCTGGAGGCAAACGAAGGCCTTCGATCGCCGTCAGACAGCGTCCCACTGCCCGCAAGGCTGTCATGATGCTGTTGAATGTCTTCTGAGCCGACCGCCTCGCCGTTGAACGCATCGGGCGACAGTGGGACACCAAATTCGGCAAGTTTCTGCTGCAGCTCGTGCAGTCTTGATTTCAGATTCGCATTTTCAGTCTCGAGTTGGTCAGCGTGGCCACGACGGAATGCTTTTCGCGTGATCCTGTCGGTCGTTTCACACGGCTCTGCAGCGGCGCGACAGCCTGCACAACCGTTTGGATCTGCATCACAGCGTATTTTGCGAAGCTATATGAACACCGTTAGTGATATACTCCACTTTTATTTGGTGTCGTAGTGTCGGCATGCCGAGAGTGCGTTCGGATATGTTCCGGAGCAGCAGTCGGGCCGTGGTCCCAAGGTGGTGGCCGGGGCCTTCGGCGTCTGACAGAGTTGATCGACAGGTACAAGGAGGCCGACCGAGGCCAACGTCGATAGACAGGCTGGTGAAGAACTTTACCGCGATGCTTACGCCCTGACATCGTCCATGTCCTCAAGCGAAGGAAGCTTCATCGATCAGGGTCTAGGGTGCGGAGAGCATCCGAGGCTGGTGGAGGCTTCACGCCCGCTGGCGCGACGATGAGGGCAGCGCTTCACGACAGAACAACGGCGGCCGACAGCGCGCTGACATCGCAGCAAAACTAGCGAGGGTGACAAGGTCGCCGAGAGGGGCCCGTCCTCGATGGAGACGCAAGAGGGTAGATGGGTAGATGAAGCAGTAGAAATTTCGCAACATACCTTGCACCGATCGCAAGCTTGACCAGTGCGCGTGCTGTTAGCTAGCTTCTTTCGCACTTGCGAAGAGTAATCTTTCTTGCGTGAGGAAGAATCCGCCATTTCGGTACGGCGCGTCGATTGAAGTGTTGAACCTCATGCGTTCGGAGGGGGAGCAGCATATAGGGAGGCCGAATGACATGTGCTGTGGGCGATGGCATGCGATGTGAATTCGATCGAGATAGAAGACAGCTCGAGCTTGGTCAAGGGCAGCGTTCTTGGGGGCAGACCGACGGCGCGATGCAAGCTGAAAGCAAAAAAAATTGCCTTGGCTCTCCTCACTCACAAGCATGTACGCCATTCGAATGAATATCTGCAAGCCACAACGGTTGCCAGCAAGTCGGCGAGCATGGCTCTGCCGTCACTACGCACTCGCCCACTCCAGGGACCCAACCAAGATCTAGAATCTGCGGCCTCAGAGCCACCAGAGGGAATCCCGGCTAAGGAGCTCCGCTACTTTGCTAGGCGATCCAGCGACAGGACGTGCTGAACATGCGGTGCACAGGATGATATCGAACCACGCCGTCGGGTGCGACGCAGCGTCAGGCTGAGGAACCTCTGGGGCGAGTCTGCCGTAGGGTCAAGCAACATGGCGATGATTGCCCTTGACCGTCTCCTTGGCGCACCAGCGCACCAGCTCTGACGCCTCCTGACTGACAGAGCAGCCTCTGCTGCCTCTTCCTCAATCCATCACTTTTCCAGGGGGCGGTGGAGAGGGTGGAGGCGGGGGGTGATGTCGTGCGGTACATGCCGTCATTGCGATGATCCACCAGAACATCAGTGGGCGTTCCCGCTGTCATTAAACCTCCTGGTCATGCTTTTGGGCCTTTGTTAATTTGCGCTCCTTTTCGTCATCGCGCTGTCCGTCCTCCTGGACTGACGTTCCGTACCATCGAGCGCAGCCTCTTCAGTCTTTGCGTACCTGCTGGTGCTGGTGCTGGTGCTGCTGGCGCCACTGCTCCAACTCCTCTCCCTCCTCCTGCTCCTGTCTCTGCCACGACTCGGGATCGGAGCACGCCATGGCCGCCTCGGAAGCGTTCAAGCCGGCCCTGATTGTCGTCGACTTCCAAGAGGACTTCTGCCCGCCTGTATTGCTCGTTCGATGCCGATCTGAAACAGAATCGACGTACTCACCCAAGCAGACAGGTTCACTTGCCGTCCAGGGCGGCAGGGATATTGCAAGTGTCGTCAACACCCTCGTCCAGCTTCCCTTTGCGCTCCGAGTTGCGACAAAGGACTGGCATCCGCAGGATCACATTTCGTTTGCCTCAAATCATGCACCGCCGGACAACGTCGCATTCTCCACGGAGATCACGATAGCCAATCCGAACGACCCCACGCAAACCGAGACCACGCGCTTGTGGCCCGACCATTGTGTGCAGGGCTCCAAGGGTGCGGAACTCGTCCCGGAACTCGACGTTAGCCGCATTGATCATGTGGTCGAGAAGGGCCAGGACAGCCGTGTTGAGATGTACTCTGCCTTCGCGGACCCGTTCGAGACGCACGTGACCCGGTCCGGCTTGGAGGACACCTTGAGGGCGGCCGGCATCACGCACGTCTTCTGCGTCGGCCTTGCCATGGACTACTGCGTCAAGTTCACGGCCCTGGATGCTGCGAAGGCCGGCTTCAAGACGTACGTGGTCGCCGAAGGAACGAGGGCCGTCAATCCGGCCGACTGGGACGCCGTCGCCGAGCTTCTGAAGCAGGCAGGTGTCGACGTGGTCGCGCTCTCTGGTGAAGAAGTAGAACGAGTACGGCGATTGCAAGCATGACCGCTTCGCACATATAAAGAAGAGTCAGTGCAGGCCTGGGCTGGCTCCCACACCGCTCCTACAGCGCTGTCCTCTACACGTACAACTCGCATTCTCGTCTTTTATCTAACAGTCCTCGATTGGACTTGGCTGTCAAGCTTCATCATTCACCTAGATCTATATCCTGCTGGCCTTCGTACCGCTTCCGCTCTTCAACGTTTTCGTACCGCCTCGGCCCCATTCGCGCCCAAAAGCCCGACCACTCAATGCTTCGATTGCCGCGTCGGCCATCCGCCAGTACGTAGAGTTTCCAAGCCCCTCCATGCCGATTCTCCAGATCCATCTTAGCACTTCGACATCCTTCCAGTATGCTATGCGCAGCCAATCGTCGCCCACTGTCTCTTCGAAAGCCGCCTTCAACTGCCTGTCCTCGTCCCTCACGGGTTCGTCTGCTGCCCCGATCCGTAGCTTCTCGTCTTCGAGCTCGCCCGTCTCGTACATTTCCATCTTCCATAACCAGCACGGTGCCTCGAATGCGACAAATGCGGGCGCGAATGCCGCAAGATCCCAGTCTATGATGCCGGTGATCTTGATTCTCCTCTGATCAACAACTTCGGCTAGGATGTTTCGCGGGTACAAGTCGCCGTGGCAGAAGTAATAGTTATCATCTGGGCCTAGCGTGTCGTCTTTGATGAGCTTTGCCAACTCAGCGTACGGGAAGTAGGGCTCGTGTCGGGCGTGGTTCTCAGTCCAGGCCGCAAGACGGTTCCGCAATAGCTCCGCTGGTTTCATGGGTTGCGCAAGTTCCGTCATGTTAGGTCGTACTGGATGACTTGGTAGCGGCGGAGCTAGTATTCTCGTAGGATCTCGAGGATCAATCTTGCCAGCCGCGGGAGCGGTGGTCGCTGCAAGTTCGCGCAATATCTTGCCAAGCAGCTTTGCTGCACACAGTCGCTGCTGTTGATTAAGCGTTTTCCACAGGTCGTCAAGCGGCTGCCCAGTCATACGCTCCTGAATTACATACGGGTTTCCGATCGAATTTTCCGAAACCAAACATACCTTCACCGTCTTTGGTACGGGAAATGTTAGGAGTTGCTCAGCAAACTCACAAGCAACGCGCTCATGGTGCAGAGTAAGTTCCTCCGGTGGATCTGGGAATCTCGGAATACGAAGGATGTAGTTGTCAAACCCGGTCTGATAGCGCGGTTGCTTTTCTTGTCCTCTTCTGCGGCATGAGCGGAGAAGTTTAAAAAGTATATGGAGTACCTGCTTGATTTTCCGCCAAATGCTGGTCGCCGTCTTGATGTCGATGGCTTCGGGAAGAACTTTAATTGCAACAATCCTGTGGCACGAGCCACCAGGTATTCGTTCGAGCTCGATACGTTTCGCGTCCGGCCATATACTCTCGCAGAGCTTCTTTGCCTTAGGCTCGAACTCCTCAAACGGCTCTCCGCAGTATTGTTCAGTCAACGTAAGGTTCAACGCAATGCTCGAAGATTTATCACTGTCCGCATCGGTGGAAGCGGGGCTGAGTGGTTCTGACATCTGTGAATAGGTCACAAAAAGTTGTGATCGGGGATCACATAATTGATTTATGGAAGAGCTCAAGAACAAGTCGGTGTGCAGTGCAATGCAATGGAGACAAAGAAGCAAGGAGGAAATAAAACCCTGATGCAACCCGTTTGCATCAGCGATGTGACTTCAACAAAATCCTGCTCTGTTCCTGCACACGATCCTGCTAACTTCGGTGGCTAGTGAGTCCTTTCATAACGAAACCAGAATGCGGGTCCATCTGTATGACTACGACCAAGGTCCCAACAGCGAGTAACCACAGCCCGTTGTTCATCGCCAAAGAGTCTCCAGTATTCACGAAACGGTGCGACAATGTCCACAGCAGCTCTAGCATGTTGCTGCAAGCATGTTAGAGTTCTCCATCGAGATGGTTTAAAAGACAGCGTAACGACTTGTTTGTGTCATATATCTACAGCATAGATCAAGATTCTCATATCTTTTATGGACTTTATACGCATATAACATCGTTTCATATTTGCAATATGCCATCAGCTCGTAAGGGAACTCGTACGCACCACTGCCCCAAAGGTTCGAAAGGCAATTGTCGTTTCCAGAAAGTTGTCCACGAGAACATCCACTGTAATTTCTGCACGAAGCATAACACAGCCTGCGTCACCCACCAGCAGATTCACCTCAAGGACGAAGAGTGCGTACAGTGTGCGCAAGCAGCCTACTACCATGCCACTGCAGACGGCCAACCCGCTAATACTCTACGAATCCTACATCGAGGAGGGAGCCGCTCCAGTACTCTTTATCCTGACGAGGGGTGAATTAACATACGCCCACACGCTCTGTGATGGTTTTGCTGACCTTTGTTATCACAGTGATCAGAACAACTGAGTGCAGATAATGAAATACAATGAAGTAGAGGGTGCATACGAGCATAACACAAAAAAAAAACAATAAAAAAATTTTGGGGACTGCGTACTGACGATGACGTCTGAATCAGGCACTACAAAAGTTGGGCTATCATACAGCAGGGAGATCCCGATGCTGGTTTCTCATTTCGTCCGTTTCAACCTAGGGATGGCGTTCCTAAAATTTTTGACGTCTTTCTTCGTTTCGTGCAAGGTCAAACATACGGGGTTTGGCTCCTCTCCTTTTTATTTGGCTCTCCCACCCCGGAAAAGATATACTTGCTCGCGAACATGTTGAGCGCATATTTGACGACCTCAATGAGAATATATACATATACAAAAAGTATCACGCTGTATTTCTTTCTACTTAGATCTGAGTTCAGTCGTTGAACGTGGGGACCTGAAGCTGTGACACACGCTGGCGAACCCAAGCCTGGCTTCCCGCCCAAGGCGTGTCAGATCCAACGCATAGGAGTGGTCGAGAGTAGAAACGGCCGTTTTGTTTCCCCCTCGTTTTCTAGTAAGGACGTGTGTTTCGATTTTGCCCGTGTCCTCTGCCACCATCTGGGGCAGTGCGCACAGTGGAATGCAAGAAAGAGCCAACGCAGATGGGCACGATTTAGGCAAAGGAACGGCCTCGACGTAGGAATGTCGCAGGCTCCCGACACGTCTGTTATCATCTCGCACGTCATATTCAAAAGCTGGCTGGGAAAATCACTCAATGGACGAGATAGATGCAACCACAAACGTCTTCCAATTCACTGCCTTAATATATATACATCTGCGAATCATAATTCATTGATTGATACAAGGGGGAGGGGGAGGAGGGGGGCACATTCGCCCAAGCTTCAACTTGCTTACTTTGTGCAAGTAGTCTGTGCCTTCTGAGCCACTTTCGAGAGTGTGGTGGGTGCTTTCCAGCCCTTCCAACCAGCCTTGCCTTTGCCAGTCACTTTCGCTGAAGCTGTCGATACGGTCGTAGCGTTTTGAGCCAACACGGAAGGAGTGGTCGGAGTCGCAGCCGTGGCGGCACTGGCAGCTGTAGCAGCACCTGCAGCAGCAGCTGTGGCAGCACTAGCGGCAGCACTTGGCGAGCCACATCCACCCATGGCAGCTGCAGCGTTGTTTCCTGAAGTTCCGGCTCCAGAGTTGGAACCAGAGCTGCTAGACTTACTGCTACCTGTCTTTCCTGTGCTTCCAGAATTGCTAGAGCCGGTGTTGCTAGAGCCAGAGTTGCTTGAACCAGTGTTGCTGGAGCCAGTTTTGCTGGAGCCGGAGTTGCTAGAACCGGTGTTGCCAGCTCCAGACTTGCCATTGCCACCGCCGCAAGACGATCCCGTAACCTGGAAAGAGTACGTCCAGATACCAAAACCGCTACCAGTGACAGAGAGGCCACCAATAGTGATGTTGTTTCCCGGAATGCAAGCCGGAGCGTTATAGACAAGTGAGCTGTATGAGCTTGAAGCGCTAACACCGGTCTGCTGAATCACGCCGCTAATTTGGCCCTGCGGGTTCTTTCCACAACCTGGGAACGGAACAAAGGGGCCACCGCTGGCATCGGTGAAGCTTCCCTGTCTGGTGCCGGTGCTGTCCTGGCCGTACAACAATGCGCCCTTGAGTTGGCTGTTGTCTTGGGTGCTGATAGTGATCTTGTTGGCCTGGCCAGCAACAATCGTGTTGCCGTTCTGTGGCTTGACGACAAGCGACTGTTGCTTCGTGTTGATGTTGTTGGGAGAGTCGTGAAGGGAAGCAAGAATGTAGGCAGAGTTGCCAATCTTTGAATTGCCTTGTTGCTGCAGAAGAGGAGCCTTCACGTTTTGACCAGCTGTTGGTTTTGTCAGCAAGGCTGAATCTATTACGAAATTTGACTTGTTTCATACCATTCTGGTTGAATGCCACTGTCGGGGTTTGCTCGCGTGTAAGCTGCAAAAGCTGCCTTTACCTAACATTTAGCCAATGTCCCCACGATCATCTTGTCGACTCACCCGAAGCTCTTTGGCATGCCATCGTTGACCGGGTTGCAAATATAAGCGGGGACCAGAGTTCCATTGGTGAAAGCAAGTGCAGGAGCGGCAGTGAAAACTGCTGCAAGAAAGAAAGATTGAACTTGCACCATGTTGATACTCTCAATGTCAGTTCTGTACCTTGATTTTCTTGAGTGTGGTATAGAATGATGATAAAGCAGCAACCGATAAAGTCTAAAAAGAATGAACGGTAACCAGTACCAGTAAGGAATGACTGAAGGAGATAGAAGCGAACGAAGAAAATGCGCCAGGCGTATGAGTACGAATGTAAGATCGGAAGCTGATGATGATAAGTATGATCTTATCTTGAGCAGAGAACTTGGCTGACTTTATAGTGCCGAGAAGAAGATCTAGCGATATGTCAAATCAGGGCGTCGGCATTTCAAACACGACCGAGCGTACACACGGCACAGGCGATGAAGGCTCTGACAGTTCAAACAACAAAACGCACCAGTATTGATAATCTTGGGTTAGTTCGCCGACAAAAGACGCCATATGCCAGAGCGGTGAATTGGAAATGGTCTGATTTGTGCACATCTCGCTACTTCAGGCCTTTCTGCCGTCCTCCTGGTGCGGCTCTAAGCGACGATATATTAGGATATGTTTCTACGGTGTGCCTAAGATAATCAGCGCGAAATGGGTGTGCTGCGACAGAAAGTCCCCCGCTAGGCTTTTGCAGTGGTGCTGATGGGCTCGTTAAGAGAGATAGAAACAAAAGCCTTGGCAAATACTACAGAGGCGTGTATTTCGAAACGTGAGGGTGTGCTCCTCAATCTTAAGCGCTTTCACCCACTCGTTGACAGCGTTTCGGTGCTGAAACAAACGGGATGAGACGATCCCTTTGAAACCGACCAGACCTAAGTCCTAGGCGACGAGGAGATGAGAAGAAGAGAAACTTGTCATGGAAGATGTTTGAAAGGGCGAAGAATCTTGTCCTAGAATAAGTCTGGTGCAAAATGCTTGACTTGTTTGTTACCAAGCATTCGTCCTGGCCGTGCTGAAAGCTTGTCTAGCGATATTGCACCACAGTCTACCCACTGTCACGACTTGGCGATTGGAACGATCGTTCGCGCCGTTTCTTGATCGAACTGTCCATGTTTATTCGTGTCTTTGCCCATCATTTCCCAGAGAAACACAATGTTGGAAGTGGTGAGGTGAGTGAGTGGAAAAATGAACGACTAGTAGTCGTGGAACGGGCTGCCTCATTGGGAGCGTGACCATGTGAAACTCCAGCGGAGGTTGGACCCTTTGTGGAGAGTTCCATCGTACCTCGGAACCTGAAGCTCTTACGTGAGGCCATCCACCTGTTAACCCAAGGTCCACGAATGACGATGATGAGCCCATACATGGCACCTGTCAACACGACCTCCTGTTTTGATCCTTTGTTGCCGTGCGGCTGATTTTCCTGGAGCGCAAAAAATGAAACCTTCTAGCGGAACAACGGGCTTCTTCCAACAAGCGCCTTCGCTCGAACATCCCTTTCAAGACGACTATGTTCTGCGCAGGATATTCGACCGTATGTGATTCCGTTGCCGCGCTAGAACTTGATGCTGAAGCAAGATACGATGGAAAGCATCTTTGATTGCTAAAGTGGACGTACGATTTCGTAAATCTATCTTCTGACGTCGGCGCAGTTCATTTACCTGCATCCATTCGCCGTGAAATCTCGAGCGACCTCGACGCTTTCGGATCATTGGTTGTTAGTCCTTACGTGTACAGCCTGGTAGCCGACGCTGAGCGTAACCCGCCTTCCATTTCTACACACACCACATTCGGGGTCCCAAAAAGCGAGTTGCACACCGGTCGAGGATGGCGGGAATTGCAAGCCCTAGGTATCAAAGAAGGCATCGTAGCCATCGGATACGAAGGGAAGCATGGCCAGTATAGCCGCGTGCACCAATTCTTAAAAAATCACATGTGGTCCCCGAGCGCTGCAATGGTAACTTGTCCGTGTATGTCTATGAAAACTAACTCATGTCAAATTTGTCTTCAATGACGCTAACACAGGCTCAAAACAGCGGCTATGACGGATGGAGCAGCAAGACTACTTAGCAAACACCTTGCTGGCAATAGCGTGCAGCAAGACGTATTTCGTAAAGCGTACGCGAATCTTACGAGCCGCGATCCTGCCAAAGCGTGGACCAGTGGACAATGGATGACTGAAAGAACAGGCGGCAGTGACGTTAGAGGTACAGAGACCGTGGCGACACTTTTAGAGAACGGCAATGACGGAGCTATGGATGCACACGGCTCGCCTCTCGGACCATACTCTATATCCGGATTCAAGTGGTTCAGCAGTGCGACCGATTCTAACATGACCGTCATGCTTGCCCAGACTGGCAAGGGCCTTGGAGTTTTCATGGCTCCAATGAGGAAGAGTTCGCCTGGGAAAGGCAGCGTTTTGAACGGGATCACGATTCAGCGCCTGAAGCCAAAAATGGGCACCAAGCCTGTACCTACTGCTGAGCTTGTCTTGGACGGCACCCGTGCGTGGATGATCGGTGCCGAAAACACGGGTGTACGTGAGATAGCGACTGTCTTGAACATCACGCGTGTGTACACTGGTCTCGGCAGTATCGGTTACTGGGGTCGAGGGTTAGCGATTGCTCGCGCGTTTGCTCGCGTGCGAAAGGTCGACGGTGGCAAGTCGCTGGCTGAGATGCCTGCACATCTAAACACGATGGCCAAAAACATGGTCAACTACGCAGCCATGATGCATCTTGGCTTCTTCGTGGTGTCCTTGCTGGGAATATCGGAAGAGCCAAAAGCATACACCTCGGGGAAATTCGGCAAGGCAAACAACTTGGTTTCTGATCTGCCTGAGGCTGTTGCTTTGCTACGGCTCTTAACTGCTGTTATGAAAGCTCAGTGCTCGAAGATGGCCATTCACGGATTGCAGGAGTGCATGGAAGCTCTTGGTGGTGTTGGGTATTTGGAAGATGAACAAGAGTATAACATCGCACGACTCTTCCGCGATTGCAACGTCAACTCCATCTGGGAAGGCACAACAGACGTAATGGCCTGGGATGTCGTTCGCGTCATGAAAGGTCGCGAGGGAGACAGAATTCGAGCTGTGTTGTTTGCCTGGGCTGAAAGACACGCGGACAGCTGGAAGGGTTCTGTCTGGAGCGACGCCGGCTTCCGACTCAAGAGCAGGGTCAACCTTCTGTGCGACGAATGGTCTACTCAGGATGGTGACGAGCTCAAGTTCCGAGGCCGCGACCTGCTTGAAGAGCTTGCTTGGATTGTTGCAACTGTGTCATTGGTATCTGATGCTTTGAGAGATGAGGATGAAGTGGCTGTGGAAATCGCAAAGCGCTGGGTCGGAGGCTCAAACGTTGACTCATTGAGTTTGTCTAGACCTGACTGGAAGGAAGTCTCAAAAATGAACAAGAAAATCGTGTTTGGCTCTGGACATCCGACAGGGCAAGCTCGTCTTTGAACTAGTAGAGCTGGTAATAGAGTAATGAATCGCACGTCGTAAGCAACGACAACTTTTCAACGGAACAAACCAGTCGGCGAGATTTCACGTCGCTAGTGACGGTCTCCTAGCAGCTCGCTGTAGGGTACTTTGCTGTCTCATGCATAGATCGTTGTGATCCCTGATTCTAAGACGTTGCAGACCCCGAGAACAGCTTTCCTAGCAACAAGCCAATCTGGTAGTTGGGCACGTGCAGGCTACGAAGCACAAAATGCGCTGTTCGCATAGACATAGCCAGCTGGGCTCGCAAGACAGTCTCTTTGCTGCGCTAGGCGTCTAGCAGAGTATTGGACGATAAAGCTGCATCAGCGTGACTCACGTTACGCTGCTCACACCGCGAACACGTCGACAAAGATATTGGGAGGGTCGTCGCAAATGCCATCTTTGACTTGCGCCAAAAAAAATCGCAAGAGTCCCATGCTTGGGAGGCATGAAAAAAACATGTGCTGAGGGGGCCCCCAGACAAGTGCGCAGCTCGATCGGACGGGCATTTCACAAGTCCTGAGTCTAAGGAAGCGTTCAACGTCTTGATGCCGCAGCAGTAGTCTGTTCTCTTTTCGGCTTCAGTCTTTGGCGACTTCAAGGCAAAAGAACCCGGTTGGACGGCGAGCGCCAACAAGTCAGCAGCTGGGGACACTTTTTTTTTTTTCTTTGCTTCGCTCTCGCGCGGGTGCGGGTTCCAGCGGACCATGCAAGGCACAGGGCGATGTCGATCCCGGTTTTTCGGTGGGCCGAAAGGAAGAACGTGTACGAATACTACTGCACATTCATCACGGCCCCCCCATCTCCGATGCAGGAGACAAAGCGCGGGAAGAAAGGAAAAAAAAATTAAAAAAAATATCGTTCCTTGCTTGAAGCCTTCGAGGAATGTAAGCCTCGAAACCGGGCTGCTGCGGTTTCTTTCTTTTGGGAGGGAGGAGACTCCTGTGACTGGAGTACAGATATCCTCACGGGTGCGAGCGCTCGATGTGAACGAATGGTAGGCATGGCCATGCCGGAGTAGCGCTCATCTCAAATAGTCCATGCATTGAAGTTCTATCGTTTCATGAAGGCTGTTTCCCGCTATGGGCGAAAAGATCGACAGTCTTCCATGATGGGATTTTCGCTCCAGCGCCACATGTCCGAACCTAAAACTGCTTGAAAAGGCAGCGCTAAAAACGGAATTCCTCGTGCCTTGCTGCGTGTGGTGTGTGGCGTTAGGAGCAACCAAGCGTTTTCTGTCACGCCAATCCTGCTTTTGGCCGATCCCGCGTCCGCTTTTGGCGCCGTCAGCAACCCGCCACCTTCATTCGTAATGTTCCTGCAAAGACCGAAAAGCGACGGCAAAGGTTTGCGTGTAAACTCTCGAGCCTTGGCAATTTGAGACGGCTCAATGTGATCATGCGGCCTGGGGCATCGCGGAGCCTCGGATGAGAGACCTGTACTTTGATCGCTCGACTGTCAAATTGGACGGATGCCCCCCTGGTCGTGAAGTATAATAAAGTTAAAAGGGGCGGCTCGGAGAGTACATTTCCATATCGGCCAATCGAAACTGTAAGGCTGATGAGGAAGGGGTAGAGATATCGAATGCATGGTCTCGATATCCGCGAGCATCCGTCTTACTGCTGCTGTCTACGCTCAGGGCTCATGCTGGCCTGTTCTCGAATCGGCGGAAATGATTCTAGGTGTACGGAGTAGAGAGCATCGGACTGGCGAACAAGTGATGTGATGGGGTTGTGCCATCCTCTGTTTTTATTAGAAGCGTAGTTTTCTGGGAGGTTGGAATACGGACACAAGCCTTGCGCTTACCAAAGCAACAAACCATCAAGGGAACGGAAGAAATGACAAGAACCGTGCCGAAATACAGCGACGATGACAATTATAGACGACCGAACATTGGGATGCCAAAAACCGCCGCGTCTAGGGGCTTGTGGTCGCAATTGGCTGAGGTTTGCTCGTGTGCCGTCCCTGAGGCTCCTTGCCATGCGCCTTCAAAACCTCAACTTGTGGATGACAGGCACGCGGCAAGTCCACAGGAAATGCTGCCATGCCAGAAATTATCGTGGTGTGCATGAATCTGGCGACTGCTCTTCGGCAGGGATCGTTACGGGTGTGATCTTCCATCGAAACAAAAACCCCAGCAGTAGTGCCATTCTTTGGGCGGTCAAAGGACCAGATCGAGACCGGGCGGACATGGGCACGATCAGGTTTACCTCCCCAGCCATCGCCACGCCTTCTTATGCAAAGCAGAGATCCTATCCAAAACCGTCGAGCATTCAAGCAGAGCCTTTAGACAAAGTAGGAAACAGCCGTTGGACAGCGTTTGCAGCCGTGACGCCGGTCTAGCGAGAGCGTAACGCAGTTCGCTGGTGTGGAGGCCGAGACAGAACACGCGAGGCTATTGTCATTGGACGTAAGATACGTTCTACTACCAAAGCAGAGTAAATTTGGTGCTGTCAAGCAAGAAGCGGCTAGCTGAAAGACAGCCAGCATCTCAGCAAACTGTGTCGAATGCCATTGACACGTTTGCGCCACCGATAAAGCATTGGCTTGGCCATGCAGAGCTCCTCGTGTACGACCACCCCGCAAGCGTTGTTTCGTCCAACGCCTCGTTCGTTCGTTCACGAAAGATGTCTGCAGTAGTCTTCGCCGAGAGGGGATGAGTGATGATGCAGGGAGCCATTGGCAGCCTAAAACCACACCCCAACCGACTCACTTTGTTGATCTATGATGGCGAATCAGACCCAGACAACGGTCTGTAAAAACACGCAAGCCAAAAAATTTTTCTCCCTCCTCTTTTTTTTTGCATATCAACCAGCGATCTTCGCCCGGGCTGTGAACGCCATACCCGTAGAACGTGGCAGATGTCAAAACGGAATGGCCGGGAGACTGAACGCGTACGTTACTTTTTCTATTTCACTGCGGGGACATGATGAGGCCAGAATGCCTAACGATGCAAGCGTAGATGCAAGTGCATGCAAGTTCACTAGTGTATGCTTGGGGAGTAGTAGCAGTCGTCGAGTATCTTCCCCGTGCGTTGATTGTGCGTGTCTACAGTGGAGCGGCGCAGTAAAGACTTCGCGTCCTTCAAGTGTTTATGCTTTCTTTTTGTTTTCCTCTTCACAAGAATCGGAGCGCCCGCGGGTGACGGAGGAAATGAGAGGTAGACTAAACGCTACCGTGGCGCTGGAGCCCCGAATCCTGCTAGTGTTGTTTTTATTGTAGGTAGGTATGAGGTATGCTAAGGAAAGATTTCTACCAGCAACGGACAGGCCCCGATCTTTGCTTGAGTCGAAACATTGGGCGTAGTCGGTGGAGCTGGAACTGGAGCAGCATGTGCAAAGCGCGTTCACGTACGTCAGAGGCGGGCCCCAGCCAACATGGCACCAGCATTATGGACATTGTAAGGTCAAATCCGAGCCCACAAGCGCGCATGAACGCTCGTTGCGAACTTTGTGAGACCACGCAGTTTCGAACAGAAACGTGAGTCGATGCTCGAACGCGAATTGAGCCAGTGTCTCATGTGAGAGGTGGTGGTTGTTTGTAGGAACATCTTACCTGTGTTAGGTAATCTCACAGACGCATGATAGTTGCAAGGTTCATCGGATACCCCGGTGCGAAGATAGCAATCATGCTCGAGGCCTTGAATGCTCCCCTTCCGGAAACAGGTCCTTACGTGGAGCAGGTTTCGAACAGGAGCTTGAGTCGACATGCCCACCGCTGGAGGCATAAGCGGCGGCAGCAACAGCAGCAGCGGCTTTTGTTGTAGAGTGCACGGCTGAGGGAAGCGAAAGAAGGGGAGGAGACAAGGGAACAAGTACGCAGCGTCAGCTTGCGTTGATCGGGCCGTCTACTTGCACACGGTGTGAACGGCGCGCGAACGGAATTCCAGACGGGAACGATCATTATCATCGCCCGAAAAACTTTCCTTTCCAACGAACGCGACTGCGCGTCCACGACGCATCGCATGTCAAAAGGTGGGCCACCCTGGCAAGCAAAGCGTCGTCGTTCAACTCCTGCGCCCAGTGATTGCGTGCGTGCTCCGCCCCAGGTTCATCTCGGGACTTTTTGCACTGTGCGAGAGCGCGATAACCCGTCGCGGCGGTACAGCACATTTGACGACGAAAGTTCTCACCACACACGGTTTCGGGCCAAAGCTTGGAGGTTCTCGTGTGGAGCCGCTCTGTGCGTCGGGAAAAGCGCACACGAGCGGGCGCATGTCTCATTTTCTGTCGAGGGTGGCGAAAACGTGTCTATTTGCAGAGGATCGCTTTTGTTTTAATTTTTTTTTTTTCGTGTGATCCTGCGGTGCCCGGCAATGGCTAGCGAGTAGTCGTGCTGCTGTGGTTGCAGTTAGCACGGCGGTGGTGGTGGTCGTAAGTGTGATATAACTAGCCATAATTAAACGGAACCAGCCTCAGACAAGGTCCCGTCTCTCGGGCCAGTGTTTCGTGCTGCACAAGCCGCCTCCGTCTATCTCTCTAATGGCGCGCTGGGCCAGCCCTTTGGCGCGTGTGGAGCGCAGTGCGTAGTGCGTGTGCATGGTTTGCGTGGTGGATGATGGCAGTGGTGATCCATAGCGCGTTCGAGTGGTGATGTGTGGCGGCTTCTCCCCTTGCCCTTCCCGTTCGTGGGCGAGCCTGACCGATGTGGCCCGGCGATAGAGCTAGCGGGTCTTTGGCGCACGAAGTCCGCAATCGTCGTGGCACCGTGGTTTGATGCGGTCGCAGCGGTCGTGGGAGGATGTCGGCGTGGTGGAAAGCTGGCCGCAAGTTGGCCGTGTCGCCCGTGAGGCCATGCCCATCGCCCAGCTCCAGCTCCCGCGGCCTGCGCGCTCCTGCCTGTCTGCGTGTCCGTCTCGCTGCCCGCCCGCCTGCCCAGCGCCCTCCCGCCCGCCCGCCTGCCTGCCTGCCTGCCAGTCTGTCCGCCCGCCTTAGCGACAGCTGCCAGCCGACCGAGCTGACTTCACATCACCACCAAAAATTCCCCTCGCTCAATCTCCAGTTCCATCCTGCTACCTCCTCCCTCTCCCTTTCACATCCGTCTCTCGTCTCCTCGTCTCCTCCTCGCCCTCCTCACCTTTCTTGTCGTGTTTCCTCGACGCACCTTTGGCCTGCAGTCTCCGCCGTCTCCAATTCCCGCTTATCGCCGTCGTTTCGTTCTCCGCTCGCTCTCATTTCCCGGCCTTGCTGGCCTGCTTATCACTCCTAATTGGTCTTGCGTCGCTAATCCCAATTCTCTGACCACCGCAGCGACCTCTCCAGCTTTGCATTCTGGCTTTGCCCCGAAGCACTCGCGCTGTCTACGACCGACAACCGATCACGACCATAACCACGACCCGACCGAAGCGTCGCTGCTCGTCGGCTTCGCTGTGACGACAGCACCCCAGCGTAATGGCGCCAACTACTCCACGCCTGCGGATACTGTCAGGTACGCCGCTTGCCCCCCTTCCTAGTCGATTATTTTACACGTTGGACCGCCCACCTGGTCTTGGGTGGATAACCGACTCTCCACTTTTTACTTCGTCTTGCCCAAAGGAGAGCCCGTCTCACCCCTTCGGCCCTGCTGCTCACCAACAAACCTCATACGCCTTATCACTGAGCTTGCACAATGCCCAAAGCTAACGTCTGCGTAGTTGGCGGGAATGCTGTGTCCGCCTTCCTGTCGTGGCGGCTGCAAGCGACCAACGCATGCGACGTTACTCTCGTGTGGAAGAACCAGTTCGAGTCGGTCGCTCAGTATGGCATATCGATGAAGTATGTCGCCTCCTTCAGCTCCGTCGGCTGTCCGATGTCCCATCGTCTGCTTTGACTGACACCTGTTCAGATCATCGATATTAGGCAATGAACGATTCAAGCCGTATCTAGGTGCGTGTCCTCGTGAATCCGCCGTCATCCGCGACTCTGAACTGATGATGCCGCAACAGTCGTCTCGGCTGCTGAAGATGCCTCGACAAATTCGAAGCACCCTTTTGACTATGTCGTGCTTTGCGTAAAAGCGTTACCAGATGTCTACGATCTTGCCAACATAATCCAATCTGTTGTATCCCCTCAACATACATGCATACTTCTTAATACGACGAACGCCCTTGGCATTGAAGATTACTTGTCGCAGAGATTCCCAACCAACGTAGTTCTCTCTCTAGTGTGCGGCGCAGATCTCACTCAGCTTGGTGCGAGCGAGTTCGAGCACCGTGGCAACTCTACCGACATCTGGGTCGGCTGGGCGAACAAGAACTCACGTATCCCCGAATCAATTCAAAAGGACATGGCCGAGGCCTTGGCCATGACGCTCACGACCGGCAATGTGAATTGCGTCGTGTCGAACAACATTCGACAGCAGCAATTTGACCGCATGATTGGGTATGCATGAGAAAAACAAGACTTCCCAACCACCCTCTACCCGCCGCTTCAACTCTGACTAAATTTTGCAGGCCCATCGCATTCCATCCAGCAAGCGTCCTGTTTGAAACCCCCAACCATGCGGAGCTTCTCGAACTTACCGGTGTCCGCGCCATGGTTATCAGTCTCATCGATGAACTAGTCGCGCTCGCTAAGGCTCACAACTGCACTTTCCCGGATGACTTCCGAGAATCAACAATGCGCACGATGATACAGCCTTCTGAGAGGAACAGTATTATGTATCAGGATTTTGTTGACAAGCGTCCAATGGAAGTCGAGACGTATCTTGGATCCCCCATCAAGCTGGCGAAGGAGGTTGGCATCTCTGTGCCACGTATTGAAACGCTGTACGCATTGTTGCATCACAAGAACGCGACCAATCTCAAGACGCCTGCCGCTCCCCCTGTGTCACCGAGTGCAAAGCCACCCCCTCCTCGCTCCTCTTCCTTCGCCGCGAACGGCGCTCCTCGACCAACAACGAATGGCGGTGGTCCTCCTAACGGTATGCCCAACGGAAGACGAATGCCTTCATTCAATGGCCCGGCAGGACCGATGCGACGTGGACCTCCGCCAAACGGATACCCCCCGAGGATGGGAAATGGGAATCCGAATGGCTATGCTCCCGATGGCCCTATGCAACGGCGATCATCGATTGACGAGGACCTGGGCGAGTTCAGTCACGTTATGCTCTACGATGCTGCCCCAGAGGGCGGCTTGCCTGATGGAGTTTATGGTGACGATGGCGTACATGGTGCATCTAGCGCAGATCTTGCACTACGCGAGCGAGAGCTCGCCCTAAGGCAGCGTGAGCTTGAGTTAAGAGAGAGGCAGCTGCGTATGGGTCGAGGACCCCCGCCAAGACGAGGGCCTCCCACTGTTAGTGGTTGGGCAGACGATGAAGGGGATGATGACTACTTTGATACCATGGGACAAAGCAGTGGTCCGTCACCTGTCGTTATGGATGATAACTTTGACATGATGAGCATCACGTCACGTCGCAATCGTAAAGCTCCGGTCAATCCCAGAGCGATGAGTGCAGGCATGGGCGCCCCACCACCGTCAAGAGGGCGTATGCTCTTTGGTAGAAGCAAGCCGAACCGGACGAGTGCACGACTAGTGGCAGAAATGCCGAATCTCACAGATTCTATCTTGGCCAATCCTCTCATGGGCTACTCGTCCAATAGGTACGGCAACGTTGACCGAGGAGAGATGGGCAAGGAGTCTAGACAAAACTCGCTTACCACGGAGAGACTCAATGAGCTTCAGAATGGCGGTATGCCATACGGCGCCTACCCGCCCTCTGTACAGCGCAGACAGAGCCAGTCGCCTGGAAACCCTCTTAGTCCACCCATGAAGCGACCTTCCCCTCCGAATGGATACCCCCCACCTAACGGAACTATGAACGGTCGACCTTCGCCACCGGGAGTACGACAGCCGGTGCCCAGATATCCACCGGGCCAGGGCAATGCGGTAGCGCCCTCTCAGGTGGAACAACACGCAGGGGTGAGCAACCCGTACCCGCAAAAGCCGAACCCTCAAGTTCGCAGTCTGACTGGAAGTGCGAGCGCTAGCGCAGCGAGTGGTGAAAGCAGCGGCGCCAGCGCTCATATAGATTCGTCTACTAGCAGCGAGAATAGCAGCCTAGGTTCCCGACCGATGGTTAAAACGGCGATTCGCGTCTGAGACGTAACACAGTAGCAAGCCGTGACTCGCTTCCCTATGCGAGCTGTGACACGACGATATCGATCTTTGCGGCTCTTCTCCTTTCCAGCTTGCACGTACAACTCACAACACGACCGCCGAACACCGAACCCCCCTTGTATCTGCGGTCTGCGTAGGATAAACATTTTCTACGTTCCTTTACGCATATCAACTGCCTCAGCAATGGCTAGATTCGTTCTGTTTGTAATCATAATTTTCCCAGCTACGGTCAGCACAACGACAGCGCACTCGGACGCGCTTGGAGTAGCAACCGCAGAGATATTTTCAATGGTGGACGCACTTAAGTGTACTGCTCTAACATGCTTACCCGCGTGTCATAGCACAGTACATTCTGCAAAGCTGCCGTCAAGGTTGCAAAAAAAGTGGAAGCTGGAAGCGGCAAGGCTGGCGGCAAGCAGCTATGGCGCTGCTTACGATTACTCGCTTTTTTTTTTTTTCTTCAAATCACGAAAAGCTTGGCAGTCGGTAATTCTTCATCTCTTTTATCTCACCCTGTGCATGACTGCCAGCTGGTTGGTTGGGATTTCGAACCTTCTGGTCTCTTTTGTCACTTCCTCTTTCCACCACCATCCTTTGCACAAGCAGCCATTCTGGCGTATATTCGGAGACAGCTGCAATTTTCCCTACTGGTAAAGCAACGAAGCATGGCATAGCAACACACGCACATTCACACCAGACATCTATATTTTAGTTTTTATCACCCGACCATTATAATCATCCGCGATGTCTGTTTCTTGCCGGAGTCCTGACGTCCCTGCTAAGGATTGGTGGATATCGTGGACAAAGGTTCGTGGCATTTGTATGATAGAATACACGTTTGTGGTCGTAAAATGAGAGTGATCGGCGGGAAGCAGGACAAACGAAGAGAGACTTGAGTGTTTCTGAAGAAGATCGGGCCGGGTGGCGGAGGCGATTCATTTCGAGCGGCGTCGGACGGTTACCAATTCGTTTGTATTTTCGAGATGAGATGGAGGGCTTGTCAGCATGTCGTGACAGCACGACGTGGACAGTCCGACATACGCACACAGCAAAGATTCGTACATAGATTGACGAGGGAATAATGATTAGAGCAAAGTTACTGCCAGGTGCACTTTTTTCGATTTCTTGTATGCCTCGTGCAATGCTTTGAGAACGCTCTATCCCTACTTGTGAGGCTGCGACTGGTCGAACTCCGTGCGCAGGAGGTGTTCCTTAGAGAGCCGATGAGCATTCCCGGTGGAGGAGGCATCATTTCTGGGCCGAGGCCGTGTATGGACAGACGTTGGGCTTTGGCATCTACGTGTCGTGAGGCTGAAACGAGCTCATGCACGGAAACGCGCTGACACATCGGCGTCGCAGAACGGGCACGGTTACGTTGTAGTAATCACTATGCATACAACGAACATGAAGCTCAACCAGAGCTACCTCCGTCTCTTAGGTGGCCGTCAGACGAATATCTCCCGCCGCCCAGAAGCGCACAAGAGCACTGGAATTCTTGCTGTGGGTGTGGAGATCGCTCGAGAGTGTGGAGCCAGCTGGGCCGCTGCATCGTGACGTCGCCGTTTCTGGCTTCGTTGCACTCCACAAGCGTCCGACTGCTCAGGAGATCTTTGAGCTCGCAATTGGACAACCACCAAGCCCAGATCATCGAGCATGCTGACCAGGTGATGATCAGCTAAGCGAAATCAACGACGTCCCATTCTCCCACCTCTTCCAGTTCGTGCTTACGGCGGCACAAAGTTGCAGGACACACGCAGTGGGTTCTCGTGCTCGATGTGACCCCGCCCTCGCGAAACTTTACTTCCCTTACGTGCATAGTCTCGAAAAAAACCTCGACTTACATTGAGACCCCACTCCCCACTTCAATGCTTTCGCCCTGGTGACGTGGGAATAGGTTGAAAAATAAATTAAGACGCTCTGACTACGGGGGGTCACACACATTGCGCACTTATTTTTTGCCTCTCTGCAGACTTGGCTTCCATCGCTTAATCCGGCACGTTGACGACCCCACTCCCGCAGCGGCGACGGCGAGCCACACTTCCCGCGCAAGCAGCTCGACCGGACGAACCGCTATATACAAGAGAGCAGGTGCAGAATCTGCTTGACTTCCGCCGCGACAAGCCCCCCATCTCATCCCGCTCAGCCTTTGGCTCCAGATCGACGACGAGTTGGGACAGCAGTGCAGTTTGGCCAACCGCAACCCAGTGGCTGAGCATTGCTATTCTCGTCATTGCTATCGTACTGCAGTTCTTGATCCCTGGTGTGCAGCGCGAGAAGGCGTACTACAATCACAGCGTGGGCGGCGTCTCCCCGTGGAGTCCCTTCCCTGACCATTGGACGTGTGCGGATCCAGAGCCAGCGCGACAGAAGAGGGAGGGCATATCCACGTTTCGGAACAAGGTTTCGGGTGTGAACATGGGCCTTGCAGATTCGGTCAAGAAGGTCGTCGACGAGTTCGAGTTCTCGGGCGAGGATGTGCGGAAGGCAGTCAAGGAGTTCCTTAGGGAGATGGACGAGGGCCTCCAGAAGGATGGCACGCATCTGAGTCAGATACCGACCTTCGTGACGGCCGTGCCGAACGGCACGGAGAAGGGTCTGTACATGGCTGTCGACCTCGGGGGCACAAATTTCCGCGTGTGCTCCATCATGTTGCACGGCAACACGACATTCTCACTTACGCAGAGCAAGACCAAGATCCCCAAGGAGCTCATGGTCGCGAAGACGTCCAAGGAGCTGTTCAGCTTCCTCGCAAAGCAGATCCAACTGTTCCTGCAGGAACATCACAACGAGCACTACGAGGGATACAAGCAAAAGAAGCAGTCTGGGGACAGCGTAGAGGAGGAGGAGATCTTCGACTTGGGCTTCACATTCAGTTTCCCGGTGAAGCAGACAGGGATCAACAGCGGGCTTCTTATGAGGTGGACGAAGGGATTTGATATTGCGGACGCAGTGGGAAAAGACGTTTGTGCGTTACTGCAGGCGGAGATTGATGCCCTGCATTTGCCCGTGCGAGTGGCTGCCCTGGTGAATGATACCGTGGGTACGCTCATGGCGCGGAGCTACACGTCTCCCGGCAAAACTGGCACTTTGCTTGGAGCCATCTTCGGCACGGGAACGAACGGAGCGTACGTCGAAAAGCTGGAGAAGTGCAAGAAGCTACTCAACAACAGCGAAGCCGCAGGGACCTACGACACATCCACAGGCGAGATGATTATCAACACGGAATGGGGCTCCTTCGACAACTCGCTGTCCGTGCTGCCAGATACGCCATACGACAGAGGCCTTGACAAGGACAGCGTCAACCCAGGCATCCAGATGTTCGAAAAGCGTGTCTCGGGCATGTTCTTGGGCGAGATCCTTCGTAGAGCCATCGTATCCCTGATCGAGGATTCACAGTGCGACCTGTTCAAGGATGACAATTCCAGCCGCAACGACCTGCACTCTACGACCAACGTCGACCGCAACTCACCGCTCTTCAAGGTCTGGGGCCTCGACTCCAGCTTTCTCAGCCTGGCTGTGGGAGACCATCAAGGTCTACACCTTACTCGTCAAGCCCTGGACAAGGACCTTGGTGTCTCAGCACCCTCGCATGAAGATGCAGAAGCCATCAAGATGCTCGCCGCCGCCGTGGGTCGCCGCGCCGCTCGTCTCTCCGCCGTGGCCATAGCAGCCATAGCCATCAACTCGGGGCGCCTGACTTCGGGAGACGACATCATCGACGTGGGCGTGGACGGCAGCCTTGTGGAGTTCTACCCTGGCTTTGAAGACCTGATCCGCGAGGCACTGAGGGAGGTGGAGGAGATTGGGGAGCAGGGGGAGAAGAGGATCAGGATCGGCATTGCAAAGGACGGAAGCGGCGTCGGTGCGGCGCTCATTGCGCTCGTGGCCGGCAAGACGAGAAGGGCAAGTACCGTCGCTTAGACGAAACCTCTTTTTGGCTGGGGAATCTAGGCTCCTTTTCTGGGTATACATGCACACACACACATATATATATATATATATATTTATACATTTATAGCTAGGTATATGCTATGACCTCTATTTTTGGTTCCTTCCTCTGCTAAGTTTTTGGTCTTTGCCATTTGGAAATCAAATTGCCGAGTTTGAGAGGTTTAAATTTCCTTGTATTCATTTCATACTTGGAACTCTTGAAGAATGCAAGGAAAGATTTGATTTGCCTTAATACCCCTTTCTCTTCTTTTTTTTTAAAAAAAATATTTTCCTAAAAGATGAAAACTTAAAAAAAGTTCGTGTCGAAAAGAGTGCATTCATTGTCTTCACGAGGTGCCTTCGGGTTTGAATATACGTTGACAAGTGGGGTTTTCTTGCGTGCGGGAAACTGTGTTGGGTGTGACGCCATTTCTTTTTTTTTCGTTTACCTTCTCCTTCTTTGCCGTGGTATGCCAAAGGATCCAAGCTCGTTCTTCCTCTAATTTCTTTCCCTCTTTCTCCCTCTTCTTCTTCTTCTTCTCGCCCCATGAGGTAGTGAACCTTGCTTCTCCCGACGGATTCACGACCTTTCTAACCATCTGTTCCCCTCCCCTCCCCCTCCGCCCGTTCTTTACTTGTCAAATGCACGCGTGAGAGAGACGGGTCTGCATCCTTTTTCTTATTCTTTTGGCGGGATGAGCGGTCGGACGGATGGAGGCAACGCCCTCGGAGTCGCGGTGTTTTGGGGGCTTTCGACCTTGCAGGCGGTAGCTGAAGTGAGGATCCGGCCTAAGGCGAGGTCAAGGTTTCTCTGCGCTCTCTTTCTCTCTTTCTCCTTTTCTCCCGCCTCATTTTTTTTTTCATTTTCTTTTATTTTCCATTTTTTCAATTCCATTTTTTTTTTCCTTCCTTGGATTGGGACAACGTACCTTTTTGCGTGATGGCGCGTTCGCTGCGCAGGGGACTTGAATCAAGGGAGAGAGGAAAACTTGCGTGAGGGCTTCGTCGTGTGTTTGTCTCGCCCCCGCTGGGTAAAGTCGCACGGGGGGAAGAATATCGACCGTGTTCGCTTTTCCTTGCTGGATGGATTCTTTGACAGGCGTGAACCTCTTCGTAGCGGCGACGGGGGAGGGAATTTTTGGGTCGTCCTTGGACTACGCCATGCTCGACGGTGTAAATTGCTGAGATGGTGCATCGATTTCTTGAGCCGATGGAGCAACAGAACTTCCCTCCTTTTGTTTGGACTGCTAATGGGGCATGCTGATGATGGACATCCGTGGCACCACGCGCAAGGCCGCCATGGAGGCGCTTTGAGTTGAGCGGCGCAAAGAGATTTTACTTGACGCGGGAATTGGATTTCCTCCATGCGGATCGCGGCACAGTTTAGAGCGTGCTGAAGCATCAGACCTTAAGTACGAGTCTCCCCTGAGATGTGATCGAGATGCACGGCGTCTAGCGTTGTGAAGAATTAGTCATCGTACAGAATTGAGGTGATATTCGACCGATTAACTCGACGCGAAGTTGAAATGATTGAGAGGATCATGGAGGGGTGCACTGGCTGCAACTTCACGAAGTGCGCAATCTGGCCTCATTATAATTGTCCCAGGATAAAACACATGTGTTGTTTGGTCCTTTTAACTGCTTACGACCAGGGTGTAAAGAACTTAGGCTGTCGCCTGTCTCGGCGTAACGAGTATGGAGTTGCCACGAGGAATATGCCATAAGACGGACCTTTCGTAAATTAGAGGAGGTCTGGCAACATGGAAGCACAGGATTAAGGCTGCGTGGTTCCTAGAGCAGCAGTTAGGACTACTGAGGGAGCGCACTTCTTCTCAAGGAACAACAGGCTACCCACAAGAAAGGACTCCCGCGTAAGTAAGGAATTGAATGATAACATCACATGGAAGAAGTGCGAAATCGCTGCAAGAGATCGTCCATCAACATCTCCGCAAGAATGAAGACGACGGTTAGGAGCAGTGCGGAAGGTTAGAAGGATATGCAGGGTCGATACTTTGCCATACGTTGTTGCGCTGTCATAAGCTAGAGGTGCACAATCCAATCGTCCTGGAAATCAGAACATCGACACGCCCGCCTGGACAACCTTACTGAACGGCATGAAATCCTAGACACATGGGGTTGGAAGCGTATTGCACTGTTAGAAACGCCAGCAGGGACTGCAACGTGAGAAGGCGAGCATGCGGCGCTTCTTTTTGGGGAAGCGTCCGCACAAATCCGACGATGGGACCATTGATATATATTCAAGAATGATGCTAAAAACTCCCACGTTCGGAGCGGGTGGTGTACACCTCAGTTGGCAATATCAGAAGCTAGCCGCCGCTAAGCATAAGCGTCCAACCTGAGCAGTCACCATGTCGAAACGGGATCAAGGCCGCCTCTCGCGCAAGGCTTAAAACGCATGTTCGAACCGAACCGAGTACAGAGACCGCCTGATCAGAAGTTGGGGACAACTTTTTTGCCTCCAGCTTGAGGCGCCAGCGGTGTTCCTTTTTGTTCTCTTTTCCATGTATTTTTTCGTTCTGTATTTTGGACCTCTTTTTGACTGCTCTCTTGCAAGGAACCTGTTGCCGCACGAATGGCACGTTGAGAATGCTATTTGACCTATGTAACCGCTGTCTTCCCCACGTTATTTACAGTGCATACATCCAACATATGTGTGCTGCCAAAGAAGGAACGATGGTGACCGTCTCTCTCTCCGTCACTCAGTCTCTTGTTGTCACAACTGTCTCCGAAAGCCATCCATCTTAGCGACGGGTGCCACACATTCATGAAACTCACAATTCGACTCATCCTGTACGGTATTTCCACACCTGCGTAGATAGAACTACGAACACAGAACTGTCGGACTGTCTCTGCTCCAGGCATTCCTGCAAGCGTTGCTTATCAACGCCCACCCCTTTCGCGAGCTCCCTTGGCTTACTCACTTCTTGCAGGATTGATTAGTAACAATTTCCATTTCGTGTCAAGGTTAGTGGAGGCTTGGGGAGATGTCGCATGAAGTTTGTCTCCGGCAGCACCTGACTGGAGGTGGCTGCGCTGGTGAGTGATATATTAACGTAGGATACTGCTGAGCAAGCCTCGCTCGCTGTTATGCTTGAATGGCTGCCCCCGATGGGTGTAGAGTCGAACTAAGCGGTGGGACTAGACGTGACGGGAATGATCTGCCAATAAGTGTACTCCGTCACCATAATCCTCGCAGGTGACGAAAACTCTTCTTCATCTTATGATCGAGGCAATACGATGCAATGAAAGAGCTATATAGAAATTAACAGAACCGACGTGCAACTTCTCCATGGTAAGAGAATCGCGGGTTCCGTCGTCCAAGTCTTGGACGTCGGTCAAGCCTGGGCTACTACCCAGCGAAGTACTGCAGGCAATTGGTGTGCAAGTATTATGTCTATGTTCTGATCGCTGAATTGGTCACAGTCGAGATCCTCCATGTACGATGCACTGCAGAAGCGACAATCTTGAACAGATTATCGATTTGGTTGATAACAAATAGGGCGGAAAACAGGCGTCACAGAAGGCAAACGGGGCGTGTACGCTGATGGTGGAGTAGGAGATGATGCCCGCGTCAGAGCCCTTGCAGGATTTACAACCGTCATGGGAAGCACAGGCTAGGCATATGTGGCGATCTATGCAGAGAGAGATGAAGCATTCAATATGATCGTTTGAACAGTTGCTAATCAATCCCAAGGTGCTGCAGAGTTCCATGTTAGCTCCTGTTGGGGCTTCTTGTGGTTAAATTGTGGTCGGAGTGCTAGACATCTGCACAACGCGAGGACTTGTCTAGTGTGCGACGCAATAAACTGCCTCACGCTTGACCATATGCATGGCTCTGCTGCTCTCGAGAAGTCCTGTCACGACGCTGCAGCACAGTAGCTGTTGCTACACATCCAACTGCACCTAGCGTTCAACTCCACCTCCCCAATGGACGCCTGCCCAACAAAGCTAGGGGTCGTTTAACGATGAACCGTTTTGTCACCGACAGAATCCGCATAAAAAGCACATATCGAAGTTATTGGACAGCGGACTGCATAGCTTGACGTAGCGAAAGCTGGTGCCTACTTGTTCCAAGAAGATGGCGAATCTGCACGGATCGTATTACATGAGATCACGCTATCGCTATCGCTATCCGAGGGCGCAAAGGTTCAACGGCAATAATGCCAAATTACAATGGCACGTCAAAGAAGTGCGGTAGCAAAGGTGTACCACTGACTTCTACGATTTGCGCGTGATTTGAACACCTGGAATCTAGCCTCCAAGAGAAAGGAGACAATGGGAAGCACCATTGACTAGCAAGCGTCATGGCTATCTAGTACGATGTTTTTAGGTTCTAAAGGCCTTCGTCAGCTGCTTTGTCCTTTCTCTTTGTAAAACTGTCATGTCCTCCGCACGGCTAACCTAGCGATTTGGACCTGAGTTAATGCAAAGAATAACCTCTATGTAACACTCTCGCTCTGCAATAATGATACTATTTTTTTTTCTGAGACCCTTTTTGTGAAAATGCATGTAAGAATCTTCCGAAGGACCATGCTGGCAAGTGCCATATCGCACCTTGCGCACACGCCTATGATAACAGCATGGCAGTGTGGGCGAGTTCACATCTGACCAAGTTCGGAGCTCTAGCATTGTTATTCTCGTGTCAAAAGGAGTTTTGCCCAGCGTACGTTTTGACGGCCAGATTGTGCGTTGAAGAGTCACCAAGATACCCAATATCTAGGAGCAGATGAACGTAACACAAGTCCACCGCAGCTCCGATGTTAAAACTGATCTCCAGCGTGACATTGTGCGAGGATGCAAAAAGCAGGCTAGCAGCCATGCGCGGATCCCAGCGCAGTCCAAGAAAGCCGGTGCAGTGGCCTGATGGGGAGGATCCCGGCCTTTGTCAAAGAAATCTTCCTAAGCAAATAGTGAGGCAACGTATGCGTACACTGATTTCGAGTTCAGAATTGCCGCCATGGTAAATCTTCGTGTGGACATTGACCGTCCGAACTGACTCATCTGTCAAACATTTTCTTTCCGCGCTGTTGCCGGTAGACAAGGCGCTTTTGACTGCACAAGACGCAGGAAACAAAAGATAGGCACCAACAACAACCACCAAAAAGAAAAAAAGAAAAAGAAAAAAAATCCGCGAGCATTGGAACCAGCATACTTTTTGTTTTCTTCCCTTGAATCAGCGCCGTTACCACCTCCGTCGGTGCGACAAACGGCTTACTTGTACAGCGGTGTGTCTTGAAGGTTTCGCGGACGTTTTCGACAAGCTTTGCTGGGGCAGAGTTTGCTCCGGAAGCCGTTGATGCCTTTCGTGTGTTTGTGTTTGTCCGCGATATTTACGTGTTAGCAAAGGCACGATAGGGGTGATCCAGGTATGCCTAACTCTGGCGCTGACTCTAGCTCTGGCTCTTGAACACTTGGGTGCTGGCATGGAGCCTAATAAAACGGGTGTCTTCCCAAGCAGCTCGCTTCGACGAGTTAACTGACCGTAGCAGTAGTAGTCCAGGCTAATGTAGTTCGTGAGACACACGGGGCTCCACTCCCGCGTGTTTGCCAAACCTTGCTTTTTGCGGACGTTATTCATGTGCGATGATCTGCGACCTGCTTGAATAAGACACCGGATTCTAGCACAATCGTCCCGCCACCTCGGTTCGCGGTCTTCCGCCCAATCATTGTGCTGCGTCGATCTGCGTTCCGTCGAAGAGGTTCCTTACCGCCACCTCTGGGAATGCTACTTCGCCTGGAGTGAGTCAACCGACTTCCCGAATGCAATGCGCCGTCAGGTTGTGGGGAAATCTCTTCCGTGCTCTGCGTGTCTCTTGATTTGCGCGTTGGCTTTTTCTCGTGCACGTTCTCTAGACGTAGCAGACTGCTAGTGCTGAGAGAAATCGCGGCCGGAAAGTTTGGTGGAGAACGAGCCGAAGTGTGCACACACACAAACGTCACCGGGAGCTCCACCACCAGCGATTGGCACCTGCAGGGCTCCGAACGAGTCTACGCTCGTACCCATCGTCAACAAGGCCGTGCTTAGACTTCGTTTTCTCCAATTCACCATCGGCACAACAATCCCTTCTTCTCGCATCTGTGCTGCCCAACTTTGCTCTTCTTGATTCCACGCCGGGAGCGGGGGCACATTCACCGACCTCGACTTCCCGCGCTGCACGGCAAAGACTGACAACCAACCTCTTCACACGCTGCTGGAGCCTTCAATTCCTTCTCCATGTGCCACTGGATCTTGTAGGAACGCTGGGGGAGGAAGACAATGTTCGGGGTCTGCAGCGGGCCCATATGGAGGGTGGATGACTTCTCGACGTGCTTCCAGGATGAGTATGTCTCCCCGCTCGACTGTTTCTGGTGGCGAAAACAGCACACAAGAGGTTAACGACGATGGCACAGCTACCTCGAAACACTGTTTCCCCTATCCGTCTGCGGCATTTCACTCGCATATCTCAGCGTACAGGTAGTGTCCGCGATCCGAGCCTCGGAGTACTGGCGAGGGCACAAAGCACTAAACAGCTCGAACCATGCGTGGGATATCCGCACGCCGTACATGGAAGCAGGCTCTTCGCCAGACATGGACGATGACACAGACGAGGATGCCGAGTTCGAGGCAAATGGCGAAATGCCGACTCTGACCAAGTCGAAGACGCACGAGTCGATCATTGACGTGAACAAACCAAGAGGCGAACTGCTGCTCGTCGCAATTGAGGAGGCGGCTGTCCTGGGCCAAGTTGCAGCGCATCTGCTTGTCCTGATGTATGGCGCATGGGGAAAGAGGGGAAGAACGGCTGCCATTGCTGAGCTTGCGACTTGGGCGTATGTTGCCGTTCTAGCTTCACTGAGGCTGCTCTTCTCGAGCACGTCGAAATTGTCGTTTCCGAGGCTATGGTATCATACTGCATTCATCTACTGTGCCTTGTGGATCTCCAGCGCGTTGGTTTTTCGCTCTGCCATCATTCGTCCACGCTCGAAGCTCGCACACGTTCTAGCTATTGTGGATTTCAGCCTCACGAGTCTGTTGGCCATCATCGCGCTGACATCGCGAAAGGGCAATAAAGCCGTCAAGTTGGAGTATGAGGGTGATCTCCAGCCGTCGAAGGAGCAGACCGCAAGTGTGTTGTCTTTAGCTACTTTCGCGTGGGTTGACAAGATCGTCTGGCAAGGCTACAAGAAAGCGTACGAGATGAGTGATGTTTGGAATCTGGCTCCGAGGGACAAGGCGCAAAATCTGCTGCAAGAGTATCGGCAGGTCAAGAAAACGCATATTCTTGCCTGGCACTTGTTGAGCCACTTTAAACGGAGTCTGCTCATTCAGGGTTTGTGGGCAGCGCTCTCTGGTGTGCTCACGTTCGCGCCGACGATGCTGCTGAAGGCCATCCTGCAGTACGTCGAGCGTCCTGACCAGACGCCCAAGAACGCAGCGTGGTTTTTCGTCATCTTGCTCTTTGTTTCGGGGTGTCTCTCTGCACTGGCCGATGGCCAGGCATTGTGGATAGGACGCAAGATATGTATCCGTCTGCGTGCCATCATCATCGGTGAGATCTATGCCAAAGCACTAAAACGAAAGGCATCAGCCACGGCAGAAAAAGTGCTTGGTGAGACCGAAGATGGAAGTAAGAAGTCGAATCAAGGGCTATGGCAAAAGATCAAATCCCTTCTGCGCGGAGATAATAAGAAGAGCCAGGGCAAGACGAAGGAAAACGGAGAGCAAGTCGAAAACAAGGATGAACAGGTGACATCGGGAACAATTATCAACCTTATGGCTGTCGATTCATTCAAAGTAAGCGAGATCGCAGCTTACTTGCATTTCTTGTGGGCTGCGACGCCGGTGCAATTCGTTGTGGCCATCGTGCTTCTCTATCAGATCATGGGATACAGTTCCATCGCCGGTATAGGTATGATGCTTGCGCTCCTGCCAGTCAACATGGTGATTTCCAAAATGTTCTCCCGCATCCAGAAGCAGATTCTAGCGGCGACCGACTCTCGTATCCACATTACGAATGAAGTTCTGGGTAACGTTCGCATTATCAAATTCTTCGCGTGGCAACAGCGCTTCATGCATGCCGTCAACGAGAAGAGAAGTCTCGAGTTGAAGCATCTACGAAGGCGGTATGTGGTTTGGGCTGTCGCTGCAACTGTCTGGTCTGGAGCCCCTGTTCTGATCACCTTTCTGTCCTTCTTCATCTACACAAAGGTCGAAAAGAAGGACCTTGTGCCGTCCGTTGCTTTCACTGCATTGTCGCTCTTCCAGATTCTGCGCATCCCGCTTGACCAGCTAGCAGATATGGTGGCACACGTGCAGGAATCAAAAGTCTCGGTTGATCGTATCGAGGAGTTCTTGAATCAGCCGGAGACGGATAAATATGCGCAACTGCACCATGCTGGACAAGATCCGAGAGGACATCCACTGATTGGTTTCGAGAACGGAACATTCACTTGGGGCAGCAAGGATGAGGATGACGAGGCTTTCAAACTTCGTGATCTGAACCTAGAATTTCGACCGGACCAGTTAAACGTGATTGTCGGGCCTACTGGCTCTGGCAAGACATCACTACTTCTGGCACTTCTCGGCGAGATGACTGCGGTAGAAGGCAATGTATATCTTCCGGGATGGCGAAGCCGTGAGGACCTCAAGCCAGATCCAGAGACTGGCTTGACCGAAAGCGTTGCCTACTGCGCCCAACAAGCGTGGCTGGTGAACGCCACCATCAAGGAGAACATTGTGTTCGCAAGCCCATGGGACCCAAAACGTTACAAAGATGTCATTGTCGCGTGCTCACTGGCTAGAGACCTCGAGATTCTCGACAATGGTGACCAAACTCTCGTTGGCGAGAAAGGAGTTACGCTATCTGGAGGTCAGAAGCAGCGAATATCCTTAGCAAGAGCATTGTATAGTCGTGCACGCCATGTTCTGCTTGACGATGTCTTCAGCGCGGTTGATTCACATACCGCGAAGTGGATCTTTGATCAGGCGCTACTTGGTCCTCTCATGTACAACAGAACTTGCATCCTGGTCACGCATAACATGGCTCTGTGCTTGCCACATTCAGAATTTGCCGTAGTTATGGATAATGGCAAGGTCGCTGTTAGTGGTACTCCGCTTGAAGTCATTGACTCTGGTAAGCTGAGCGAGGATCTCTCCAAATCCAGGCCTGTATCTCGTGGCCCTTCGAGAGTCGCATCACGCGTTCCATCAAATATTCTGAATGAGGAGCCAGATGCCCCCAATGGTCACGCTGAAGTGAACGTCACGCTCAACGGCAAAGCAGATGACCATGCGCCGGTCAAGACGGAGCTGGAAGAGACAAAGGCTGTGGGCGCTGTCAAGCTGAGCATCATACTCCTGTACTTACGCGCTATGGGATCTGGATGGTACTGGATCTTGGCAGCCTTGACGTTTGCTCTGCAGCAAATCTCCTCCGTTTCAACCAATATCTGGATTCGAGAGTGGGCCAACGCCTATGCTCGAAAGGACTTTTCAATCGCCTCCTCCGATCCGCACCACGCCTCGCCTGTGAGTCACATTGGCACATTTAGTGGACTCGGTACATGTTTGAGGAGCGGTACTTGCAACTGGGCGTGGCCGAGAAATGATGTCAACAGCTCACCATCAATGACGTACTCAATCTATGGAGCAGACAACGCAGTGGATTCGACATACTATTTAGGAGTATATGCAATCCTCGGCATAGCATTCATGTTCGTCACCCTTCTCCGAGAAGGTGTCCTTTTCGGTGGTTCCATCGCGGCTTCGCGCAGGATGCACCAAGAGCTCATGGAGAAGATAATGCACGCCAAATTCAGATTCTTTGACTCGACTCCCCTAGGCCAAATCATGAACCGCTTCTCCAAGGATATTGAAGCCGTCGATCAGGAAATTGCTCCGGTCGCAGTCGGCGTTATTCACTGTCTCGCTTCTATCTTGACAATCGTGGTTTTGATCTCTGTTATCACTCCTGGATTCCTTATTGCAGGTGTCTTCATCACTCTCTTATATTTCGCGATTGGATACTTCTATATCAATTCCTCACGAGATCTGAAGAGGCTGGAGTCATTGCAGAGAAGCCCGTTATACCAGCAATTTGGCGAAACCTTGACCGGTATGACCACAATTCGCGCATACGGCGACGAGCGGCGATTCATTCGTGAGAATATCACAAAAATAAACACCCATAATCGGCCTTTCATCTATCTCTGGGCGGCTAACAGATGGCTCGCATTTCGTGTGGACGTCGTTGGAGCTCTAGTTGCGTTCTTCACCGGTGCATTCATCATCCTCAGCGTTGGGCGCATTGACGCCGGCGCCGCAGGTCTCGCGCTGTCATACGCCGTTACGTTCACTGAGAATGTGCTTTGGTTCGTACGCCTGTACGCTGCGAACGAGCAGAACATGAATTCGGTTGAGCGTATCAAGGAATATCTTGACGTAGAACAGGAAGCAGATGACATTATACCTGGAAACAGGCCACCAAGCAACTGGCCCACGAAAGGCGCTGTCGAGTTCGTCGGATACAGTACGAGATATAGGAAGGACTTTGACCTCGTTCTCAAGAAGCTTACATTTCGCATCTTACCTGGAGAGAAGGTCGGCGTCGTAGGTAGGACGGGCGCTGGTAAGAGCTCGATGGCTTTAGCCTTGTTCAGGGCTCTCGAGGCTGAAGAAGGTACTATCCTGATCGACGATGTTGACATCGGATCGATCGGTCTTCAAGATCTGCGTGAGAACATTGTCATGGTGCCTCAAGACCCAACTCTGTTTACGGGCACCATACGCAGCAATCTTGACCCCTTCGGCCTCTTCACAGACGAAGAAATTTTCACGGCTCTTCGAAGGGTGCAGCTGATCGGCTCTCCTGGGCCGTCGAGCACTGCAACACCTTCAAGACCGGGGACACCGATTGTAAAGAATGCATCACTTAGCTCGACCGAAAATTCACCGAACGGCATGATGAATTCGATAGCACCGTCTAGCGACAATACACTGGTTGAGGATAGTTCGCCTACTCAGACGACGAGCGCCGAAAACAAGAACATCTTTCTCAATCTCAACTACAATATTGCGGAGTCTGGTTCCAACCTCTCTCAGGGCCAAAGACAGCTTCTTTGCCTCGCTCGTGCCTTACTCAAGAACCCGAAGGTGCTGCTTATGGACGAAGCTACTGCATCCATCGACTATGCGACAGATGCAAAAATTCAAGAGACAATCCGCGAGATCAAAAACACCACTATTACAATCGCACACCGTCTGCAAACCATCATAGATTACGACAAAGTTCTCGTTCTAGACAAGGGCGAGGTTATAGAATTTGGCGCACCTTATGATCTCATCAAGAACGAGAAAGGTACCTTCAGAGGGATGTGCGACATGACCGGCGAGGGCGAGCAATTGCGCGCGCTGGCGAAGCAGGCTGCGGACAAGAAGAAGCTTGTTGATGACGAGTAGTTCGTATTGCAAAGCAAAAAAAAAAAAAAAAAAAACTCCCTTGATACTTATCCAGAGAAAATTTGCTAATTCACCAGTGTACATACTAGTCACTGCAAGGGTTTGGCGTCACGCTCGGGCGGCTCTTTGTGTACTTAAGCCTTTTCAGGCTTTCTTTTCTTGAGTTCTATTTCTGGTGGCAACATTGTATTATTGATCACGCTGTGTTCGTTGTTCAACTGGGGAAGAGGGGAATTGCATCGTCAGGATGTAGATAGAAACATGCAGGCTGAGAACGAAACATGTAGAATGATGGGAAAAAAATTAGTTCTGTTGCAGCTTGATACGCAATTCTTTAAATTCGTATTCCTGTAAAGATCTCGCGGTTAAACCCTCATTTCAATTGATGACGGAATGATCACGAGTCGAAAACAGAGAAGATTCTACTTGGCATAGGGCAGAGATATACGAGGTTAACGCAATTCTCAAGCCAGATGATTTTCCATACTCCAACGCTAGAGAGGATAGCGAACCCCCGTCTGAGAAAGGACTCGCGATTATCCGTCTTTATTGTCATTTGTCTTATGGCTCTATGTTTAGATTCAAGATAGTGAGCCCAAGTTTCGTCATGAGGGTAGAATTAATTGCTCGAAGTGCCTTGTTTCTAGTATAGAGGGCGGCGCTCACGGGGGGACAAAATAATTTTTCAAGAGCTTGGCCATGTAACTGGCGGTTCGAACAACGTTAGAATGATTTGCGCACCATTAACTTGCTTAGCATCCACACACTCAAGTCACAACATGCATGACCTTTATTCCGACTCAAATAAAGGGCTGTCTTTTGCAATAGCTGCAGGTTAATGCAGTTTTAATTGTGACGCATCAAGAAGACTTGAGGGCTGCTACCACTTTTTTCAACGTCGCGGCATCGGCTCCCCGCACCCTGTCGACTCGTCCGTCGTCGCTGAGCACAATAGATGAGCTACCTTTGATTCCCTCGACCGCCACCGGTTCGGGCTTCCCGTAGGAGAAAAAGACGAACGTAGGCATGGCCGTTATCCCATAACGGCCGGCGACGTCTTTGACGTGGTCCACGTTCACTTTTGCGAAGGCTAGCTTGCCTTTCGTCGCGTTCTCGTCGGCCAGTTTGGAGAAGACAGGCGCGATCGCCCGGCACGGCGGGCACCAGTCGGCGTAGAAGTCGACGACGACGCTTTTGTTGGACGCCAGCACGGTGTCGAGCTCCTTGGGATCGGCAATCTTGTGAACGTGACCAGAAGTTTCCGGGATGGGAGACCGGTCCTGGAGCAAAACCTTTATTTTTTCGCGCGCAAGGCTCGCGTCAGCTGCTCGGAACGATCAATGTGGGCTTTGGTCCGGAGGACGGCAGCGGATGTCTCATCCATCCAGTGCTGTGATTGGAGTCCGGGGAGTACGAGTTAAAGAGACCAGCTGATACTTACCGAAAGGACAAGGACAGCAACGCCCGCAAGGATGTACCACCACATTGCACCTTCGATTCTGATACAAAGAAAGCTAGCGAGTTTGAATGACTTCTTGGAAATATAAATGGGTGCGGAGTTGGGGCTGTTCGGTAGAAGTCATGCGATTGCTTGTCAAGTATGAAATAGCAGTGATGTTGGCCAATGCAAGAGAGCTGTTTGGTTGCCAGGTTTGGTACCTGAGGCTCCAATTACTTTTTTATACTGGTGATAAGAAAGCCTCCAAACGTCACCGCTTTGCAAAAACCCGCATTCGAGCCAGATATAAGCAGCGGATGACTACCATATATAGAGTCGCGATGAAGTTTAAATGAATGGTACATAAAAGAAGATCCGCAGTTTTCCTCTGATGAGAGTGTTGAACTGTCCCTATTCTAAGCGCTCCTTTCCTCTACCTCATACGTGGGGAGCTGCCAATTGTCGACCTTCTCACGCAGGAACCAGCCTCCAACCACATTCAGCCTGAGAGCTGCAGCGAGTCTTGCCAGATGGTTTACAATCCAAATTCCAAATGAGCTTGTTGGCCAATATGCCCAACCGCCCTCAGACAGACCCCTTTGAACCTGATCCATGAACGGACGATATGTTTTCTCGTACGCCTGTAGCGCATCAACAAGATCTTGATGCGTGCTAACCTTGGTCGGGGCACAACGCTTACCAATCTCGCCAGCCAGAATGTAAGCGCCCACAATGGCCGACGTGGTCCCCATTCCCGTCATGACACTCGGGCAGTAGGCAGCATCTCCGACCAGGGCGATTCTGCCCTGGGACCACGGACTCAATCTCACGAAACTGACCCGTTCGCAATAGAAGTCGTCGGTGGCTTCTAACACCTCGAGATACTCGTCTACCTTCCACCCTGCGTTCGCAAAAACCTTTCGGTATGCCTTCTTCTCTTCTGAGATTCCCCTCCGGTATGATTTGTCGATCTCATCGGCCCTACTGGTGCAAATGAGGTACACCTGCATCTCGCGATCGTTATGTCTGCGTGTCATCACAAAGCGGGAGTTGGTAGCCAGGTACCATTTCGCCCTGAAATCCTCTCCTGGCTGCATATCTTTTGGGATACGGAAATAAGCAACGTAACCACCGAGTGGCGTCAAGGCCTTCGATTCCGCATCCTCTCCTATCATCATTTTGCGCAAACGTGAGCCCTGGCCCTCTGCGCCGACAACAAGGTCGAATTCATCCTCCCGTCCGTCCGTGAAGCGGACGTGTACAGCATCCGTATTGTTTTCAACCTCTTCAATCGATGTACCGAACATGTATTTCGCGACATCTTTGGTCTCGTTGTATATCATGCGACACAAATCGCCTCGCATGATTTCCCACTCGGTGGTGAAATCTTGTACACCCTTTCCGCTCGTATTTGCAGGGAAAAATGCCTGACATTTTCCATTCTTATCAACGATCTCGAAACCTTGCTCAGGGGCTTTTACTGATCGGAAAGCCTGCTCAAGACCCATCCGCTTCATGACCTCAACACCGTGTCCACGAAGATCGAGCTGTAAGCCGGTTATCCTGAGGCAGGAAAACCATTCTACAACGGTGACGTTGTGCCCCAATCTGGATAACCAGAAGGCAAGCGTGTTGCCGGAAATGCCTCCACCGCTGATGAGGATTTTCAATGGTGCCATGGCTTGCTCTGGATGGGGTTCTTGACAGAATGTTGATTTTGGCGAACGTATCGAACGGAAGTGGTAAGAAGCAAGTCAAAAGCTGAGAGGTTACTAATTTTGACTACGAATTTGCTTAACATGGACCGGAACAGAAATGCTGCTCGTTCGATACCCCGTATTTATGTTTGAGCTCCCAGTGTGTCCGTTATGTCCGCGTCGGCCGATATTTATCTCCCATCCAGAACCAAGGGCACAGCCGCATCATTTTAGCAAAATAGAAAATCAATCAAGAAAAATCTAAAATGGACTCGTATTATCAAAGAAAAACTCTAAGCCAAAGTCCATGTCGGTACCTAGCCCTTGGGTACTGGTCGTGAAGACATCTGGACCATTGCATTCTGCGGGAGGCAGCGATGCAATTCGTGCCTTCAGCAACTCAAGACAAAATTCCAAGCTCTCCGTCGCCGCACGGGTCACGCTGGGTTCGCAAGGAACATCATCATCCACTGCTCTGGCGTGTGCTAAAATCATGCTGATGAAAAGATGCATCTTTACATTTGTCTCGCCTTGTCTAATTCGCTCTGTCGACAAAGACAGAATGGTCTGGAGATATTTTCTCAGCACCTCTAGGTTCTCTGAACAGCGTTTCAACGTGCCGTCCAGTTTCAGGGCGTTCAATTTTCTGATGAACTCCAGACTCAGCACGGTGCCGGCGCACCTTACTCCTTCTTTGAACATGCCGCCACCAAGAGCCATTAGATGTGAGTAATCAGCGTCTGGCTCTGGCGAAAGAATGGCCATGGCGGATTGAACGCTCACTTGCAGGGAGTAGCAATACTCTGGATGAGTCTTTGACTTGATCAAGAACGGGCAGTGCAAAGGCATGACAAAGCGTCTGACGAGGAACTCCAGAAGGTTTCTATGGAAAGCGGTAATTTTGGGAGTGTTGTAATTTCGGAAGGATTTTTGCAGTGATTGACAAGCTTGCAATATCTCTGAACTCAAGACCAGCGCGTCGGAATATGAAAGCTCGGTATGCAAGCCGTTAAGAAGGTTGACGATCCGAAGGCGTGTAGGAAGAGAGGCGAGAAGCATTTTCTGAATGGAGGTTGATGTGAATGCCCCCAAAGGATACGCAGGCGCCGTTGGAACCTCTGTTGTCGAATCGTCTATCCAATGATCTTCAATATCAACCGGAGCCGCCGTGTCAAAATCACTCAGTGAGATCCGGGGTGGCAAGGCCGAATCCAATGACGACTGGACCAACATCTCCAGGATTGTAGCCCAAAGACGTCGACGAAGCTCAGCCTGAAGGGTCGACATGGGGGGAAGATGTTTTGGATCACGGTGCAGACCCATCTGCATGGCTCTGTTGACGAGTGAGCCCATCGACATCCACACGAGGTCGCCGCCGATCGAAAAGATTTCCCTGGCCAGAATTGCCAAGCAATAAATTTGCAGGCTACTGAAGGTAAGCTTTTCTTTCTCCAGCGGTCCGCTAAGCCATGACTGTGCCGCATACACCCAGCTGTAAACGGAGTTTCGAAGTTCTGCATCTGGGGATTCTGTTTGATGAAGGCTCGATCCGATCGCAACTACTAGAAGTATCTGCAGTTGAGTCTCAACAGTTGCTGCTTGCGGCTGTAACCAAAAGCTCTGGTAATCCCTCCAAAAAGTGGGTATATGTAAGATTCTGTACGTGGATTCAAAGGAGTTGAAATAGTTTGTGGCCATTTGATCAGCAACTTCCTTGGAGGGCAGGATTAGATTGAATTCTTGTGATACAGCTCGGGCATTGGAACAACGCAGTTTGATGATCCTGGCGACACGTTTACACTGCAAAAGTAATTCTGTAATTTGGTTGACTCGAGCGTCGGTTACGGTGGTGCGGGAGCGAGGTTGACCATCATGGCCAAATGCCTTGGAGTAGGCGTCGAATACTTCTCTAAACTTGAGATTCATTAATCATACTTGATACAATCCACAATGTGAAATATCGTACTTCTGGTGCAGTTCCCATCAATATACTCCATCTCATTATCCTTGTCTTGTTGAGGGTCACTGTCGACGTAGTTCCGTAGGAATGCGAATGTTCTTCGGAACTAGCGACAGGCAATTGTGCGGGACTATTGCCGTCAGAATATGGCCTTTCGAGCCTCTCCGTTCCCTGGTAGCGATTTCTCTCGCTTATCGCAACGTTTGATGTGGAAGTGATTGTCTTGCGCAGTTCTTGCGCCGTAGACGTGCTGGAGGCATCAGACCGATATGGAGATAATGGCACTGGCGCATAGCTTTGTGGTACCTCTCTTGAGTTCAGCGTAGAATCCACGGTCTGGCTGCTGATTGAACTGTGATATGTCCGGAATATACACTGAACTCCAATTGCGACGCAATGCGAGCATGGGTTGGCTCTGTCGCACTTGGTCTTACGGCGACGGCACTCGGTGCAGGACAGGGCAGGCCTGCGTCGCCGTCTTATTTCTCTTCCCATACTTCTTCATTTGTATTTTTCATTCGATCGTACGACTTGCAGCAACATGTTCAATAGAGTCTATATTGACAGCTTCCATCACACGCGCTGGCATGAAGACGACCGGAAATACTTGGAGATTTAACACCGTTGCACGGACGTCGGACTTAATGAATACGATTAAAACTAATAATACATCCGCGCACGGATTTAAACGTCATCTGTTTGTTGCAAAAGGAAACGAAAGTGGATTCTCTGCTCCCCTTGTTTCTACACATCAGATCATCGCGTCGACTTGCACATTATGACCGCATCAGCCAAGATGGCGGGCCGCATTTTCGGGATAGACGAAACCAAAAAAAGCGGAGGAAAATTCGAGATAGGACAACAGTAATTCGCACTGACGCACGCTTTGAGAGCTAGAATTCAAAGCGAAAGCCATGGATGAATGATAAACAATTTCCACCAGCTGATGCCGCTGATCCGATAACGGGGGTATCAATATCTATGCTGTTGCCTGTCCATCACATTGCCCAGCCCATACTCATAATTGACGCCCTAAATCACTTAGGTATCACCGTACCCTCATGATCTCATGCAACCGAAATGCAGAAAAACAAGATACAATAGACGAAAGTTGCGCAGAGAAAATTGTATGGACCGGGAAAACTCCATCGCAATGCAAATATCACAAATGACCGTGATGAACCGTTGCGGCGCGTGCTAGCTCGCTTGGTTAGCAGAGCAAAGCTAACCTGACATCTGCCGCCCATGAAAAATATGTACATGGAGAATTGGTGATTAAGGATCACCAGTGATGATGGAAACGCAGCGGCCACGACTGCGATACGATCCAAGTCCCAGGACAGCTATCGACGGAACTTTGCAGAGCGCCTCTTGAGTACACCAGTTGGTGAATTGTCGTAGACAGTGGTGGTGGAGACTGCTATCCTGGTCCTAGTAACGTAGACAACGCCGGGGACCGAAGCTACTGTGCTTCTAGCCGTTGTCGTAGAGGGTAACGTTTGCAGAGTGTTAAGACTATTTGAAGCAGGTTGCTGAGCATGGCCAGTCTGTGCAGGTACATCGCTCTGAGTCCCAGTACTGGCTACAGAGGACAGCGAGGCACCTCCCGAACTGAAGGAGGAGCCAGGGCTGTAGTAAATGGGGTCGTTCGGGAACGTAGTGTTGGCGAGGCGCTGACGGAAATTTTTGAGCGCCGGTGTATTGTCTTCGAAGGCGCCCAACGATGTGCCACCAATCGCGTTTTTTAATACGCCACTGTTCTTCACAATGGTCATATCCATACACGACGTATAAATTTCGTCCTTGCCGTCCGGCAGTCCTGGGTCCACATTGGCTTGGGTGGGCCATTGCCAGATCCAGTACATGGTCAGCGTACCCGTTGCATCTTCCGGGATCTTGACGTTGCTTTGGCACCAGAGCTCGTGATTGACGCCCGGTTGGCCTTGGATGGGGTTAGGAAACTCAGCTTGGCGCTGAACTGAGATCGGTACATTGGAGACTTGGTAGCAACGGCCGTCATCGAACGGGTTTATATTGAGCAGTCTTCCTTGGTCCAGGGTACTGTTTGTGCCCCATTGAAGCACGTCAACAAGCTTCGTATTGGGATTAGGATTTGTCGTCGCATATATATATACGAGGCCACCACTCGCGGGCTTGCCAGGTTGGATGTACGGCTGAGTCACATGGCCATTTTCGAGATATCGAAGAGCTACGGTGTTGCCCGGCAGAGTCTTTAGTGGGTGGAACTGCTTGCTGGCGACAGCTTGGCGTTGGTTTGGATGGCAAAGAAAGTCCGAACCGTTGATTCGCAAACGCGAGCCGCCTGGGGGATTCTGTGGCGAGAGCCATGTGAGATCCGAGTCAGCAAAATTCGGATTGTCGCGGCTAACATAACTGCGTATGTAGCCTGGAGCACCGTAGTAGGAGCCGTTGTTGTCGACGTTCATCAACTGCTCGACCCATGTGTGGCCTGACACAACGGATAAGAAGCTGGCGATTGAGCCTAGCAGTAATGAAGATCGCATGTCGATGTTTCTGTCTATATATGTCGATGTTTAGGTCTGCGCGAGCGCTGACTGAGGCTCTATTGAAGGACTGTAAGGAGCTTAATACTAGAGAAGCACTCGCTCAGCAAGCGCTATTTGATTGCCCGTCAAAGAATGTGAATCAGAGCGGCACAGTCACGGACCGAGATCTGAACTGTGATAGTTGGTCGATTGTTTCTTGTGTGGTTCACCTGATAAGTCACGAAGACTGGAGATGTTTCCTATGTTTGGTGTAGAGAAAACGTTCACGGTGCTGGTTGGGTATTGAAGTGAACAAGTAAGGAATGTGGAATGCCGCCCAGTTAGTGAAAGTCGGATCACAAGCGTTGTGACCGGCTCCAGGCAACGATCCTGAAGGTATTGCCTTTTTATTTTCGTTTTTTTTTTCCTTCTATTCAGAATCGGCGAGCGGAAGAGGCGAAGAGGAGTAACTTGATAGCGTCCAGCGCGCGCGACTATTCCTCCTTGGGCACATAGAAATCAGCATTTGCAAACGCTGCGACGGCAATGAGCGTGAAGGCGACCACCTGGACAGGTACGATGATGCGATGACCCCGTTTTACGCCACAGGGAATTCATAATTTATATCGCGATTCCGCAAGGACTGTGGGCGACTGGGACTAAGAAGTACGAAACTCCAACGATACCTTCAGAGATTAGACCCACCCTGCAAAGGATACCATGCGCGTCCAATCATCCGGTGCTCGATGCACAACGGCCGAAACACATTATTCAAAAAGCTTGATTTTAGGCGTCGCAAGCAGGCGGATTCCAGAACCTGCAAAGACTTTGTGCGCACGAGACCGAACAGCCGCTCTGGCGCAACGGTGTGTTACGCGCCCACGATCTGGCCACCAGCCTGTGGAGCACCGACAATTCGCTGCTCCGGCGATACACAAACTTGACCGTGTCTCTAAATTTACGGAGCGTAGCGTCTATTCCGAGCAGTGCAACGGGCTGCGCCTGATGTTCTACCTTGGTGAGAGTTCAAGCCCCTATGCGATATCCAATCCATGCAGGATATCCAACTCCAACTAGCGTTCGCTGCAACACCATGCAGGCTTGCTCCTACACGCAAGATATCGCACATGGGCATTCCGTTTCCTACGGAGTGCATCGGTCCAGGGTGTCCCGTAGTCGCAGACATTCGAGGACGTCTGCGTTCGCTGGTGGACTGCTTGTCTGCCTTCGTGGAGCTCCACTTGCGCGTGCGCGGAATAGCATCGGATGCTTCATCAGCGTGCGGTCGAGGTGGAACTGACTTGCTAAGACGTCGCGAAAGTGCCTGACTCTGAAGACACTGGCTGGGCTCTGCTTTGCGACGGTTGGAGGCTGTCAAAATGGCAAGGAGACGCGTGAGGTTTCAGAAGGCTCTATCGCAAGCCTGTCATTGGTGTACAGCGTCTGCAGCCATTTTCCCAGACCAGACCAGCATCTGATCCTGGCACTCGGAGATATTCTAGGAATCTTTCTGGACCGCAATTCTCGGGATGCCGTTGTGACTTGCGCGTTCTTTATTTCCATCGTAATGCCGCGAGCGGGATCCATTTGTGCGCTGAATCGCGCTGGATGTCGCACTACCAGACATCATGAAAAAGGAACCACCGCGATCGAGCCGCAGTTCCGTGCGCGAACTTGCCCAGACGTCTCGCTTACAGAGTGAAGGTTTGAGCTACGAACCAAGAAGACTGAAGGAAACAGAAACGCTCTGAGAAGCCCACACTCGCTTTTCCCTTGCCCCGTCTCCCGCCCAAGGATGTTTAACGGAGGGGAGAAACAGCACCGCAGAAATTGCTCCACGCCCGATTTCCCCGTCCATTGCCTCAGCAGAACGGGGCCGATAGTACGACTGAGGGCAAACGATCTCCACGCCTGCCGACTCAGCCAGGAAAATCGTGTCAATATGACCAGTTCTCATTGAATAACCGATTGTGACACTTGGAGGCTCTGACAGTTATTTTTCTCAGTGCTTTGGTCGCGAGGAACAGTTGAGAAAACCACTATTGACCACGCAAAGTGCTTCCCGCCATGAGAGAACCCCGGTCCTCGCTTGTTCAGACGGAACACTTTATTCTTTACGTTCAGCCTATGACCGCTCACTAGCTTTGGCTCTTAGCGTTCAATCTGTCACGCACTGGAGAGGTGGAGCAAATTGTCAAGGGCTACCACTCTGCTAACACAAGCCCCACATCCTGGTTCATTTGCTATATGTGCCTGGTGATATCACATGGAGCGTGGGCAACACCTCCTTAACCCCCATCTTCTTTGCTTAGATCTAGCTCATGGCAAACATCGTGCGGCAAAATGCGCGTCTGTCCAGGCCATACCTGCCGACTCCTAAAATCCCACGGCCAACCAAGGTAAGGGTGGCACACGTAACCATCACCTCCTTCTCATATCAAATGCTTGCGAAATTGTTCACATACTTTCGCTGCCGAACTTTCTATCACAGACTACGCTGTTTGATTGCCAGCGCTGCCAGCAAGGCGAACAAAGAACACGCCAGGGATACAGCATGGGTGTGCTCCAACGCTTTCAAATAGCATACTACAACGATATCATGTAGTCTTCCCGTCAGAGTCATCACGTATGATATGTCCGATATAGCCTTTTCGATGATCTGGAGAATAAATCAGTTGAAGGCTTTGCCAATTTCGCGAAGGGAACAAGACTCACTTCTTTTTTCTCCGAGTACTGATCCAGTCGACTTTGTAGCTGATCTTGCAAGGTTCGCTGTAAGACTGAACTTGAGATGGCTAGTCCAGTGATTGCACCGACATTCGCCGCCTGGAATAAGCCGGACAAAGCTACGGCTTGCATGGATTTGTCGACCGCGGACGAGAGTGAAATAAACGCGGCCGACTCAACCATGCCTGTACCAAATCCTCTGTAAATTCTTAGCTTATCTTTGACCTTGTTGCGATTCACAATCAGGCGCGCTTGAGCCCTGCTTACCCCGGGAAGATTTCCAAAGACTCCCATATATTTATGTTTCCACGCCAGCGGAAAATCAATAGGGTGTAACATAGAGCCGCTGATATCGTTGCGAAAACCGCCAGCATCTTGTATTGTCCATATCTGTGCTCTTTAGGTTATTTCCTTTACCTACATCATGAACCAATACTGCCATACCTGTGTATAATCCAACCAGATAGTAGAGCCCCAAGAGTGTTTCCAGCCACAGCAGGAAACAAATGTGCTCCAGCGACTGAAGAGGGAGCATTCTCAGTTACCTCAAAATATAGGGGAATCTTATGGCCAGTCAGCGTAACTCGTGCAAAAACTTACAAGGCAAACAATGGTTGATAGCACTGTCGGTGATCCTCATTTAGGAATCCGGTTATCAAATTCTTTTGCAGGTTGTGTTGTATGTGGCGAGACTCACACAATACATCAGGCTAAACTGTGCTGATATCTGTAACCCGAACAGGAGATATGTGATGACAACATCTTTGTTGCGAAGCAAATGAAGAGGGAAAATTGGCTCTACTGCCCAGAATATCTCAGTGAATAGGAACAGTAGGCCGGTTGTTGCCGAAGCCGTGATTAGGCTAATAATGAGAGTGTCATTCCAGGAGACTTTTCTCCCAGTGAGCTCTAATACGAGCATAAAAGTAGTCACACTCGCAGCAAGAAGACTGGAGCCCAGGAAGTCTATTCGACGTAGTCTTGACACAAACGTTGACTTGGAAGTTAGTTGCCCAGGAATAAGAGGAAAGGCGACAGCGCCAGCGAGCAACAGCAGAGGACTCTGAACGACAAAACTCGCTCGCCAACCAATTGTATCTGTCATTGTGCCTCCGATCGGTCCACCGAGACTTCTCCCAAGCGTAGTTGCGATGTTCAGGTAGCCCCGCAACTTAGCAACTTCACGAAGAGGCACGAGGTCAAGAATTATCAAGGACACGAGAGGTCCAATACCAGCGCCACCCACGCCAGCAATAACTCTACCGACAACAACACCGGGCAGAGACCCAGCAGCGCCGCTTTTGCAGCTCATTAGCTTCCATCGCAGGTGCGCGATAGGCCAAAACTTACCAGACGACACTGGAGCCTGATTAGCTTGTGCACGTTTTTCGAACAACAACTAGCCTACATACCTGCCAGCGGCAAACAGTAAATACGCAGCCATAAGAGTTGTCTTTCTGCCGAAGACGTCGCTGACCTTTCCGAACTGCTTCTTGTGAATGATTTTCCCTGGCCAGTTTGCCTAGATTCGACTTACAGCTGGCTGACATGCACACATCGCCAAAGTATAGCTTGCGATAATCCAACTTGAGTTTGACAATTCACCAAACTCCGACGCGATTTTGGAATGAGTTGCAAGTACAAAGCTTGTGTCTAGCTGAGCGACGAAGGAGCCTGTCAAATCGTGATTGTCAACCTCTGCTGTGAGGTCCTCGTGTTTGCATCCTTTACAATACCTACCAACGGCGAGGACCAACACCACGGTTGTGGGTGATACATGTGTTGCGAAAGACTTTCTCCTTTCGTCTGCAGCGGACGCTGCTGTTGCGGAAGAAACACCGTTCTCCTCATCGCACGGTTTCCTTGTTGCGCCTCGCCCTACAGCTGCGGACGAAAGTAAGGGAGTCGTCTCCTCTTCGGGCGCATCGATGGCGAGAACGTCGTTTCCAGTTTCCACAGCCATCGCGAAGGCCAACAGACAATAAGCAGATCCAGAGTTGCCAAGGCCGGGTAACAGGCTTGGCCGTTGAACTTACAAGAGACGAATAGCAGGAAGAGAAGTAGTTTCGCTCAGCGAGGAGAGAGCGTCTTCCTGTCAAACTCGCCCCCCCCCCCCCCCCCCTTCGGATTTTCTTTCTTCGATATGTGTGTCATGTGCTCAGCGCTCTCCTCCGGGGGCTTCTACCTCACCTAACAACCGAAACTGATCCTGGCTGCAGGCGTGCTAGTTCTACTTGCGTCAGTTTGCGTGACCGCTTCGGCCGATAACGACGCGAGAACCGCCAAAACTTCGCAGCTCGTTCCCCACATGCGGCGCAGACACTATCCTTCCCAAGTGAATACAGCGCTGATTGCACTATTTAGGATCCCGACTCGATGTCAAGGCGCTTTAAAAAACGGTGCCGTGATCGGCGACGAGTGTTACATGGAATTTACGCGATTACTTGCCGGCACGACCCTAACAGTTGCATTCACATATGCCGTTCTAAAAAGGGATCAATCATTTGATTGACGGTCAGACGGCTCATATTTATTATCGAAACGGTACTTTTTATCCTCCCATGAGCGAATCTTGCCGAGTTATATACATTCAGTTCAAAAGATTCAATTTTCTTCTCGGGTGGCACGCTTCTTCAGTTGCGTTCGACAGTTTTCAACTCATCATTCAGACCCAGTCGCTCCACTTGTTTCCCTCTCGATACACAAGCCCGTCAAGTTCAAACTGAGGGCCCTCGGCGTCGATGATATAACCTTGCTCACACCGGTTGTACTTGATTCTGACCTGCTCCTCCTCATAAAAGGAATCATACTTTCCATTCAATGCTTCTCTGAGAGTATGCACATCACCCTGCGGATGGAGCGCTTTCCACGGATCCCTGCACACATCACCTTTGCAGCTCTTCAGCACGAAGAGCAAAGAGTCCAATCTAGAAACAACCTTGGCAATTGGCAGACCCAGGATCTTACGCGCGAGGCCAGATTCTTGTCTGTGTTTCGACGTAGCAAGAAGATTGTCGATCTCGTGGGGATCGCTTTTGAGATCGTATAGCTCATGCTCATCGTTGCACCACACAGAGTAATACAGGTTGTAGCCGTTCCCGATGACGCGAAGGGCTTTGTACGTGTTGTTGAAATGAGGATAGTTTCCTCCGTAGCGGCCTTCGGAGATGGCAATGCCCCAGTATTCAACGTTGACGTGCTCGTGCCAATTCTTCTCTTCCGACGCAGAAACAAGCTCGTCGTTGTGGATCGGAATCGGCGTGCCGTCGAGCTCATGGTCCAGGCTGGCACCGATCAGCGACAGAAAGGTAGGGGCGAGATCCGTGTGCGTCGTGGGTATGCTGGAAATCTTGCCCTCAGCGACACCTGGTCCGCGGACCAGCAAGGGGATATTGATATCCTCTTCGAAACCGGACTCTTTGCCAGGCTGCCGCCGATGCTGGCCGATCGTGAAACCGTTGTCGGAGGAGTAGAAGATGTAGGTATTGTCGAGCAAGTCGTATTTTTGCAGGCGCTCGAAGAGCCCGTCGACCAGCTCATCGACTGCCTGCAGGGCTCGCAGCCGCTGGCGAAAGAAGTGATCATTGTACGCGATGTTCTCTTCGCTCTGGATTGGTAGCTCAGCCACCCAATTAACCCCAGATGGCTGCGTCGAGATTCAGCATCGAACGGTGGCGTATCACATCGACCAAGTCTCTCACCTCATTAGGGTTGAAGTTTGCGGTCCTGGGGACTTTCAAATTTTTGAAAAGATGCTTGTGCCTTTCAGCAGCTACTGGAGCGCCAAAGCGAATCGATTTATCATCTACTGACAAGCTGTTATCAACGTACACGTTGCTGTGGGGAGCGTTCGGGGCTACGACTAGGAAGAAAGGCTTGTCAGCTTCCACGGCATCGTCAAGGAAGCCGTTCGCTTTCTGTGCAAGTATGTCTGTGGAGTATTCGCCAGGATAGTACTTGGGAGGATCATGATTCCGCTGAAAACTGCTATTCAAGTATTGGTCTGGAGAGTCGCGTCAGCTGGGTGAATCTTTCGATCCTACGACTGTAGAAAGTATCTTACAGGTGTAGGGGTCCAAGAGGAAGTCAGAGCCGTTGAAGCCAGACACGTGCGGCTTATCGTAATTGGACGTGGTGTGGGCGTTGAACAGCTTCCCAACATAGTACGTATTGTAGCCCTCGGATTGAATCCACAGCGGCAACCAGTCGTCGTTGTACCCGCGTTCGACGAACTTTGGATATCCGCCATACGGAGGCGACACATCCGTCACATTCTAAGTTTACCAGTCGCATCAGCGTCCATTTCTCCACACACTCCATACGTCGGGAGCGGATAAATAAAATAACCGCATACCGTATTGTGCGCCGCCTTGCCTGTCCACAGGCTCACCCGCGACGGACAGCACAGGGCAATGGTGCAATAATGCCTTTTGAATAGCGTCCCCTTCTCCACAAGGCGCTTTCTCGTGAACGGCATGTAGTCTAATGAATTCATGTGCAGGTCCTGATCGTCCGTCAAGACAAACAGGATGTTTGGTCGTCTTTCAGCCTTGCTGGCACCGCTGACCAATGGTTGTTGAAGCTGGGCAGCCGTGAGGCTGACCAGGAGTGTGAGAGTTTGCAGGACCCGCATGCTTGAAAGTTGCGCGAAAATCCCTTTGCCATCCACGCAAAGACGCCGTTAGACCATGGAAAAAAGTCTGCAAAAGGGTGGTGGGGGCTCTTTGTAGTCCCTAAGGTTTGCGATTGCTATCGTCTGTACAAGTTTTGAGTGTAAGAGCCACCCCCGGTCTCGGTACGTAGGGGTAGGTACATCATAACGCACCAGTCTTGCGTGCTCGCTCAAATTACTGCATACGATCGAGCCATTTGACAGCAGCGCCAAAAACGAGGCATCCATGCTCCACAGTAATTGCTATGCTTCCGTAGACCGAAAGCCATGTCGAACGTAATGTCGAGTATGTCAACGTTTCTCACTCTTGCCGAAATGTCCGGTAAAAGTTTTACCGAGAAGTAATAGGCCACATTGCTAACCTATAAGTTGAAAATCTCGTTTCGCATGCGTATAAATGATTTGTCATTAGCAGGTAAAAGTAATTTTGTCTGCATACGCCGGCAGGCCGTGCTTCCAAGGTCTCGTAAGACACAGGGGATTTACCAAGACGCCTATAACTCCCCAGATTTCCTTCATACATGGGATCGGACTCTCCTAAGATGGTACAGTTAACCTGTCCCCTCATGTCATTAAAAAAAAAAGGTATACAGCATTGAATAGCTTGTACTCATTAGGGTATTGGAAAAGACTTGAATCCTTGCGCACGTTCAAAAGCAGTCAAGGCCTGCGATTTCGTGAGGAGATCCGAGTCCTCCTCCCATTCTTTGAATCTTCCACACCTCACCTGTGCTCACAAAGCTTCGGCTGGTGGCAAGTACGAGCCTTGACGATCGGAAGTCCCGGCTAGGCAGCTATGTTGCATTATCGGGTGGGAATCTCGCCGTTCGCTCGTCGTCTCGTTCAGGCCGGAAAGCCTCGAACGTGCTCATCGCATCTTCAAGCGGGTCTCCTATGAACGCCCAGTTGCGTGAGTGGAATGTTCGAAAAAGAGAAGACGACTCAACTCCTCAATTCGCTGCACCTCCTGTAGATTCTCCAATCCCATTCAACGCGCCTCCAAACGTTCCACTCGACAGCCCGTTTGCATCCGGCGCGCCCCCAAGACCACCCCCGTTCACCGATCCACCGATCCCACTCGTAGACGAAAAGCCTGTAGGGCCTTCATACCTTCCGCTGTCGTCTTCTTCGCCCATGCCGTCGACATCGGGCCAGAAGCGTTCTTGTAGCCAACAGATCTGCTGGAAAACCTGCTCACAGCGGGTCATCTCCTCCTTACCGTTCGCATTGGTGCTTGAGTTTGCAAGGTCATCTACGAGGGAGCGACAGGCATCGACAAACTTGGAGAAGGCAGGGGAGGTCCAGTTAGGGATGAGCGATTGGTGGAGGGCGGCGATGTGGTTCTCATTGCTGGGACCGGAGAGGGTGGAGGTGAAGGATGAGGCGTACATCCAGGCTGTACGATAGCACTGTACAATACCTAGTTAGAATATGAGCGAGAAACTGGGGTTGAAATGCATACGTGTTCGGTGGCCCATAGCACGACCATGCCTTCAAGCAATGTTGCGCTGGGACTTGAGACACTATTGAACAAATCCATATATGCCCTCGTGATGTGGGTTGGAGGGTCTGAACTGAGCTGTATCCCGTACTTAGTCGCCGTGATCTCGAAAAACGACATCTCGCGTCGGATGTTGTTCAGCGCAGAAATCAGCAGATCCAGAGTGCGGTACATAGGGTGGAACTGCGAATTTGCAACTTCCGGCAGCCGTATCTTGCTAATCATCGCACCAAGGAACTGAATGTAGCTCTTGGTGTAGTGGCCATCCTGGACCATCCATTGTGCGAGAGGTCCCACAGAGAGGGTGCCGCACCCAGCGTGAGACAGGAAAGGCTGCTGCGTCGCGGAACTGAATGCAGCCTGACACTGAGTGAGCAGGTGATTTGTGAGCGACGGCTGAAATTGCGAGGCAGGAGCACTGCGAGGCTGCGGAGAGGGCCCAGGTGCCAGCATGCTCTCGCGACTCCGCTTGTTCTGGTTCGGGCCGCGACGATGGACTTGCAGATTGGGATTGGGATGTGTGCCATTCAGCATGGCACGTTGTGAGTCTGCGTCGATGGCGCCGTGGTCTGACTGCATGTGCTGTTGCGCATCGGGAGACGCGAGGTATTGCTGGCATGTCTGTAGATGTTCGATCTGGCGCGTCGTCTGCCAAGCGGGTCAGTCCAGCGGCAAGGTGAGAAGAAGGCGGCAGGAGAACGAGAGGAGAGCATACGTTTTTCGCTCTGGTATAGCCGCAGTGAAGACAGCGGACCTTCAGACACTGCGCGGTATGGATTAGCTCATGTAAAGTACGCGCGGTATTGTCACAACAGCGTACTTTTGACGGCGAATCGGTATCTTCGAATTCGCTGAAGGCGCGTCGGATATCTGGATTTGCGTGTCCTGGAGAAGGAATGAGTACGTTGGCTGCCTGTGAAAGCGCAGCGGAAGCACTTACGACCCATGGATGACGATGATCGGCGCGGATGGAGTTCTTTACGCTACCGTCGGGATGAGAAGTGTAATGGAGTCGTAAAGAAAGCGGGCGGATACGAATACCGTGCTTCCTGCTGCGCTAGTCCCGATACGGCCATCCCATTCAGAACCTGCCTGACCCGTCGTTGTGTGCTTTTTTACATCACACCACCGTCGAATGACCGTACGTACACCAGCAGCTCCGCAAGCACTGTGCCAGTCGAACGAAGTATCTCTGCACCGTCTTTTGCAGCGCGCTTTGTCGAGCCCGGTCTGCGATGTGCGCCCGCAACCCGGAACCAGACCGTTACGTGTATTCACAAATGCGCAAGCCCTCGCGACCACATTCCTTGAGCGTCCTGGTGACAGGCACTATGCAAGACATTCGATACGCTTGAAATACCAAAGGCTGATTATGTACACGCTAGCCTCCGACCTTTGGGACCGTCTCTCGAGCATGGTCCATTGTTTCATGCAGGCTTTGTTTTACCTGTATATTATTCATTATTAACTGAATACCCGATATCGCTCGCTTGCCTGTTTCAGCGTGATCTTCGCTCGCTGACTGCGCATCTTTCACAGAAAATTACAACTCTCATGCTGGCCCGTCACCCAATTTTTCCTCTCCATCCAAATAAGTGCAAAGGTCGGTTTGCGATCAGATGAATCTATCTGGCCAGAATTTCAGGGGTGAAGCCTCGCATTTATCACGGAATTCTGGCCTTCAATCTCCCTCATCTTGCACAACGTCCGACTTTTGGAACAGCAACGCGCACGGAAATGTACATTTTGGCCTTCTCCGCCATGTATTTTTGACTTCGTAGCCAGCTCGAGAACAAGAACACTTCACCGTTGGCAGGTCAAGCACGACCCAAGCTTCACCAAAGATTTCGAACCGCAAGTCCCACGCCTACCGCCGTCTCGTCAACTATCTTTTTAGCATGCTCCATACGGAGCAGCTCAAAATGTGTTCTTCGCGGTCATGCCGCTGCTCGTCAGCACAGATGGTACCGCAGGCCTCCGTGAATCGTCCGAACCGCATTTTCTTTATCGATAGTGTCAATGACAAAATGCCGGACGGGTAACCCCTCAAAAACGTGTCAAACCGCGAATGAGGCTGTTTATTTCTTTGTTTTCCCCACATGGTGGACGGGGTTAACCATGGAGATGATTTTTTGCCGGGGTTCGCCGCGTCGAGTATCTCGACGGAGAACCAAAAAAAGTCAAGGCTCATGCACAGCACCTTTTATCCACCTGTCAACAAATCCACCTCCAAAGGTACAGATCGAAGCATATCTTTTCTTTTCTCTTCATGGTAGTCCCCTGGATCCGTCTTAGGTGGAGTCTGAGCAACTCGAACAGCCACTAAACTGGTTACCATCCAACCTTCGCCTGTAACGCGAAACTTTTGATCGCACCCTTAAGCACTTTCTTTCCCGTTCATACGCACTTTGCTTGTTCAGCTATGGCGGCCGAACCTCAATTCAAGGGATTTGTAGCTAGATCTGCAGTCCCACCAGGCCATCTGGAATGGGCACCACTTAAAGTGAAACCTTTCGGCCCGTCAGATATCGACATTGAGATCTCGCACTGCGGAATCTGTGGCTCTGACCTGCACACCTTGCGTGGCGGCTGGAAGAATACACACTATCCAGTGTGCGTAGGTCACGAAATCGTCGGACGTGCCATCCGTGTCGGCGACGCGGCGTCAAAGTTGGGCCGCATAAAGGTCGGCGATCGTGTCGGCGTGGGTGCCCAAGCACTGTCGTGCTTGAACTGCGAAGAGTGCAAGGCTGGGATGGAAAGTTATTGCTCAAGGGGCAATGTCGGCACGTATAACAGCAGGTATCCAGATGGAAACTACAGCATGGGCGGATATGCTACGCACACGAGGGTACATGAGCATTTCGTGGTGAGAATCCCCGATGGACTGAGCAGTGCGGATGCAGCACCCATGCTGTGTGGTGGAATTACCGTGTACAGTCCTCTCAAGAAGTGGGGCTGTGGCCCAGGAAAGAAGGTCGGCATTGTTGGGGTGGGTGGTTTGGGCCACTTCGGAGTGCTGTTTGCGAAGGCGTTGGGCGCCGACAAAGTCGTCGCCATCTCGCGATCGGCGAGCAAGAGGGCAGATGCGTTGGCCATGGGCGCAGACATGTACATTGCAACGGCTGAAGAGGACAAGTGGAGCCGCAAGCATGCGCGAACACTGGATCTGATCATCTGCACAGTTTCTGGCGCGAACATGCCGCTGGCTCAGTATCTCTCCTTACTGCGAACGGACGGCACGTTTGTCCAGGTCGGCGCCCCGGAGGACAGACTCCCCGCGCTTAATGCATTCCATTTCATTTCCAAGGGTGTCAAGATGACGGGAAGCAGCATTGGCGCTCCCGCAGAGATAGAGGAGATGTTGGAATTTGCGGCAGAGAAGAGCATCAAGCCGTGGATCGAAGTTCGCCCAATGAAGGAGGCCGATCAGGCGGTCAGGGATCTCGAGGACGGAAAGGCGAAATACAGATATGTGCTGGAAAATCAGGATAAGGCGAATCTGTAAAGATACCTTTGTCGATATATGTCACCATTTTTTTCTCCGAGGGCTAGTCATGTATCGAGCAGTGTGTTGACGAGTGGAGCGGGCGTTGGAAACAAACTACGAATGGGATATACGCAAATGATTTATCACTCTAAACCGCAATACTCGATTTTGCCGACGATATGGAGAGTCTTCCGAGCGTGATCTATCTACCATAGCAAGCAACGCCGATTTCCACTTCTTTCCTGGAGTAGCATCATGTAATCGAGGCCCTTTTCTTCGGCCCGACGTTACGATCATACATATGCGCCCCCTAGTTCTCGATCAGCTAGCAATAGCTTTGCGCTGGACTTGCCCAACACTAAGTCTGGAGTATCTTTGACTCCTTACACTCCCTGCAAAGTCCTGGTTTTGAGGGTTGAGTTGTTGGCGTCGCACACGTCACGCTACGCTCGGAAGTGGCGAACATTTTGTGTAATTATCTTGAAAAAGGATGTAGCCATGAGACGATGAAAACAAACAGGCACGTAATAGACAACATCTACAAAGGCCAAAAGCCGTGCCTGTTGGCTACACTGCCTTCTCTAGCACTGGCCTAGCTTAGAACCTCAACACAGCGGAGTCTCGAAATATTCAAACCGGCTATTTTCCGGATAGAGTCCAGATCATTTCTGGGTCCGCCTCCTGAATATCTCTATCGTCAGCCTCACCCTCACGATCATTGCACGATGATGTTCAACTTTCTATCTCGCACACCTTTGAATCGAATGCTTGGTCCCTTTAGAAAGCTGTTACTACGAATGTCTATTTTTCTTTGTAGCTGCAACATCAGCGTGGCTCCTAGTTTCGACGTTCGAGCGCAGCGTACGCTTTTGTAGATGTCGTGCAGAGATACAAAAACTTTGCACAAGATCGGACAGGAACAATTCTTCTGACGTCCTCGTGTCTATTGCAGACCACACGATGTCAGCTTCATTGACCTGGGAGGCAGTGAAAATGCAGTTCTCGATTGAACATGTCAGTGAATGGTAAGTACACGACTTGTCGAAGCACCGTGCAGGGAGATTCGAAGAAATTTTGCCACGGGCTCAGTAAAAGCTGCATAGTTTCTTGCGGCACCTAGTCGCCAGGATTACCATCTACAGGAAATTTCAAAAGCGAAATATTCGAGACGTACCTCTCGCATCGGCAGGGAAGATCCAATTTTGGCGACGAGACCTCGTCGTGTTCTGTCCTTGTCAAAGTCCAGAGCAACGACAAGAAAATACATTCCGCCCACTCAAACACCACGACGACAACATTTACTCGCGCCGTAGCCCTTCGTGTCAGGAACAAGCAAGGTCGCATTCTCCTCTCCTCCCGGGGATCCGCAGAAACCGCCAATGCATCATCAAAACCACGTGCTCTCCAGAGCAGTCACGAACGGCGACGAGGCCAGGCTCTGGAAAGCTCTTTTCCCCCCAGGGCCTCCCGAACGTCCATCAAACTCCGCAGAGGACCTCTCGCAGACGTCAGTCGTCCGCCTATAAACCAGGCCCGCGGTCGGCCGGGTCCTTGCACACGCTCACACGGGTCTTCGGACTGCTTCGTTCCGCTGTCCGGAGTGGCCCTTCGCCGATCGAGACGAGGACCAAAGGAGGGCGTGAAGACAGCGAGCCGCTTCCCGAGGCGCTCCTCGCGTCGGGCCCCCTCGCGCGACGTGCGCACAACCACAAGGCCGCCGCCTGATGTCGTGTTCGTATGTCGGCTTCTCTCACTCCTGGAACGGCGCACGACGTTGTAAGTTGGCTTCCAAAATACCGACTGCTAGTGCGGATCGACCTGCGAGAGCCCCACGCGCATGCACATCTTCGAAGATTGAAATGGTGGGGGGTATCGTTTGTTAGCGTGCTAAGCATTAGAGGAATGAGGAGTTTAAAAACCCCGAGGAATGATATAGAAACTTGTTAGGCGGATGAGGACCGTCAGATGAACGTTTCGAATCTCATACTTGAATTCAGCGGAATCATTTGATGCACTCATTTTAAGATTTGGTAAAATTGCATGAACCTCGTCCACCAGTCTGCTTTGTTGTTACATTACAATACACTCTTCCTGTTTCTTTGGATCGCTTCTAGAGATCCTCTCTTTATTCTTCATGCCCTTCTGCCCACCTCTTGTGAGCTCTTCAAGGCGCTCCCTCGCCTTCGGGTATCGATGGCCTAGGCTCCGTTGTTAGCGTGCTCTGATTTTTGATCTTCGAGATAAAGTGACACTTGCCTGCTGCCCGCCCGTACCACCTCTTCGCATCCTCGAAGCTCTTGGGGCATCCGATTCCCGTTTCACTAAAATAACCCATTGCAAATTCAGCCTTTGGGTGCTCTGCTAAAGCCGCCTTTCGCGCCCACAGATAAGCCTCTTGGTCGCTCTGTTCCAGGATACCGGGACTGCCGGTGAGATACCATCCAGACAGCGCGAGCTCGGCATCGTGATCTTCCTGTGCCGCTGCTTTCGAGTACCAGTATATACTCAACTTCTGGTCAATCACACAACCAAGCTGGCCATACTCGTACACGGTACCTAAGCGCGACTGAGAATTTCTGTATCCGAATTTGGCCGCTTTGGTGTAGAGCTCCAGAGCATAGGCCTCGTCACGGATAACCTTGCCACCAGGAGGTGCGTTCTCGTAAATTCCTGCTAGTTCGTGCAGGGCATGCGGATTTTCTGCGTCCGCCGCGTCGCTTGCACGCTGAAGCCAGATCATCGCCTCGCCAAGGTTTGCTTGCGTACCCATGAGCCCTTTCAGCAGGATCATGCCCAGTTTGTACATAGCAGGAACATCTCCTAATGCTGCGCCGCGGCGATACCACTGTACTGCTTTCAACGGATCCTTTCGCGTTCCACCGCCATTTTCTTGACCCATTTCGCAACAAACAGCAGTTCGATACGCAGATTGGCCATGCCCAAGTTTGGCAGCCGATTGATACAGAACAAATGCTTCTTTCGGATCGATTGACACGCCCAATTCACCAGTGCCATGGCAATCCGCAAGATAGAACATAGCCTCAGGATAGTTTGCTGCAACTAGCTTCTTGACAAGCTTGTAAGCCTCGTTGACGTAGTTCTCGCGGTTACGCTGCGTCGTTCTCGCATCGGCCGCTCCATTTTCATCTGCCAGTACCACCGCTGCCTCGACAAGCTTTTTGGCTAAATGTAGAGCCTGTGCTTGATTTTGAGGTTGGGATTTAACGGCTTCCCGAAGCTTGAACAATTCTTGGACAGTCACAGGGCCGGACATCGCTCTCCCCGTGGAAGGTTGCTCCGCAGACATTCGGCTTGCTTGTTGCTGTCGAATATCTGCGGCCCCCATTCTAGTGTTACTCAAGCCCGGTCTGACCGGCGTTGGGTGAGGAGGGAGAGCGTCCGGATTGACAGGTTTCACAGGGGCTCCAGTTCGGACGCTATTTGGCGTACCAGTTCGACCAGGTCCAGGATCTGACCACCCGCTGTCTGTGGTTCCCGCTCTCACAATGGGAGGCGCACCGGGTCGGTGAAATTGTCGGGGGCTATTCGGACCCGCTATAGGAGGAGCTTGTGGTCGCGACATCTGTGCAGGGTCCGTCAATAGCATTCTTGGGGCCTCCCTTCGCTGATTGCCATAACCTCCTGTGTCAATGGGTGGCATTTCTGGCACGGGCTCTTGAGGATAGCTATTGGGTCCGTAACCATTTGCTTGACTTCTCAAATTGGGCTGGGACCTTGCCTTCTGCAAATCGTGTGATGAATTCTGGAGAGGTTTACTTGCCTCTGGCGCCGCGTCCAGAGGCAGACCAATCGCATCCTGAAGCGGTCGAGTCTGTGCCGGCGCAGAATCGAAATCGGGCATATATGCGTCAATCTGTGCTTCTTTAGACATTGGAGCTCTTTGCATTGGCCCTGGGCCGTCACGGTAACCCTGACTTGTGCCGGGCCGTTGCATCGGCCCTGGGCCATCGCGATATCCTTGACTTGTTCCTGGACGATTTGGCATGAAATTTCGAGATGGTGGTGCTTGGTCGTACGAGTTAAAGGAAGGATTATTGCGTGGACCGACGAAGCCGTTTCCTTGTGGCCGTGTACCCGTTGCAGTCGAAGGTCGATCAGGCGGTCGTGCAGGTCCTCGCATGTCCCCTACACTAGTTGTTGAGCGCTCTGGCGGTGGTTGCCGACCATAGAGCCCTCCATCATTGTATTCTCGCGGTGGAATAGCATTTGAGTTCTGACTCATGGATCGGTTGCTGCCAGGTTCCCCAAAGTTTTGTGGCATGGTCATAGATCTCTGGGGCGGAGCAAATGTTGGATCTGGACGATAACCTTCGTTGGATGTTCGTGGCGGAGCACCCGTGCGAGGATCAACTGGCTGCCCTCTAGAATTTACACCCATTGAGTTTTGGCTACTGGAGGTAGGAGGTCGCCGGCTTTCCAAGCTTGTTCGTTCGTTCAGATCTATACCTGCCATAGCTCTTTCTGCAATTTCGGCATCGTTCATGGGCTTAGACGCCTGGCCGGAGGGAAATGTTGGGAACGGATTATCGAAGGGTACAGATTTCGGGGAAGGCAGGTCGTTTAGCAGGCGTTCCCTCTCTGCTACTCGTCAGCGCGCTCTTCGTTATGTGCTTGTGTTACTCACGATTTTGTCGTGGAGGTGAATAGCCTGTTTGACGCTGATATTGGGCTTGATCGTCAAACTGTTGATAGTGCCTTGCATCATCATATCCTTGCGGCGCCGTCTGAGCCCTTCTAGGCGGAACAAAACCCTGCTGCGGCGCATAACCACCTCTCTGCTGCGGAGGATAGCCTCTTGGTGGCGGCCCTCGGCCTTGACCACCGGGCCCTCCCATCGGAGGCCCATAGCCGCGAGGCGGCGGGCCATAGTAGTCTCTACGTTGCGGCGGTTCGCGATATTGTTGCGGGGGTGGGCGTGACTGGAGTCTGCCTGCGTCACCGTAGCTGCTGGCCTGCTGATACTGCTGACTGTAGCCCTGTTGATCCTGCTCGTCGCCACCGTACTGATCCAAGATATCTACGTCATCATAACCGTGGTAACTCTCTACTCTTCCCGGTTGTTGCTGCTGGTACCTGTCCTGGCCACTATATCCTGCCTGCGGATACGCGTAGGGCTCTTGTCCTCTCTGTTGTGCCTGAGGTGGACCTCTGGACCCTCCGCGCGGTGGTGGAGGCTGGTTGTAGTAAGGCTGCTGTTGCTGCGGATAGTTGCCGTACTGATCGTACGCCATGCTGACTTCCTACCAGAAGAAGCAGTAACAGAGGCGGCAGCAGCAGCTAGCGAGGTGGACACAAAGTCTGGGCGCGCCTGGGCTCTGTGTGGGGTTTTGAAAGAGGGTGTCGTTGAAAAAGAGCAATTACCAGATCGCAAGCCATGAAACGTCAAACATGCGTGTCTGATGCGGCGCGCATGACGGTGGCTTTGGCACAACGGTCGCCGCTGAAATGAGAGCGGGATCTGTCCGCCAAAAGTAGCCGCGTGAGAGAGCTGCTGGCAAAAGGACGTGCTGTTGCCTTGGACGGAGGGATGAGCCGGCCCGGAAGTCGACTTTGATTGCAACAATAAGAACGCGGAGACGGCGACCAGGATGCGTAAGGAGAAGCCCGGCTGGGACTGTTTCGCGAGCAATTTGGGCTCTTCGCTGGGATCCGCCAAGCAGAAACGAGCGACAGCCTACGCGGAGCCGCAAGAGACGTCTGAGACAAGGTGGCCTACGCCAGCCGCGCTGTGTGAGCTGGCCGAGGGAGGCGTGCAATGCGACAGGTGCGCGAAGTCTCGCTGTCGGTGTCTGACACCGGCACAAGCGCAACGGGCTGGGATGAGCGCGACCGGCTGGCGAGGGCACGCGCAGGTACGTCCGGGCTGCGGCAGGGATTGGCCGGTCGATGCGTGCGCCCGTCGCGGCAGCCGCTCGCCCGGCCGATGATTGGACGACTCGTCGCCCTCCCCTGTGGCCGTGCCACTCGCCACCGCTGCGCACGTGACGGCTCGCTCGGCCGCGCGAAGCCGCTTGCGGAGCGTGCCTTCGTCACCGACGCGGCAGTAGCGACGCACCGCCATCACCGGCCTGTGAGCACGCGAAATTTCATCTGCCTCTTCGTTCCGAGTCCCGTCAGATCACGGTCGCCGAGCCCCCAGGCTAGTTTCTTCCAGCATGCCGCCCGCAGGCACGTGGATCAAGATGAGCATCGTGTAAGTGAGACACCGCGCCTCGCTCGTCTGGGCTCTCTTCGATGGTCGTCTTTGCCCCGAAGTCCATCAGTTTCTGGATGGTCCTGCATCCCTTCGGGGCAATGTGTGTGAATCTACTGTACTTTTGTATCGTGCTGTCCCTATACTGTACTGACCAGTCTTCTCTAAGCGGCTTGGGAATAGCTGTCGGTGGTCCTGCTCTCGTGTTCTACGTTACCCCATCTGAGGAGGAGATTTTCAAAAGATATAACCCGGAACTCCAGAGGAGATCACTGGAAGGCCGGATACAGCGCCAGGAGGAATTCGACACCTTTGTCAAGCATCTCAAGGAATATTCGAAGTCGGATGAAAACAGTACGTCTTTCCGCGCTACTCGACCTTCAGTCTTACCTTGTGTTTCTTACCATTGACACCGTCACAGTCTGGCAAGCTGCAAAAGGAGCAGAAGCAAAGCGCAGAGAATTAGCCGTGGAGGCAGAAAAGGCAGAGCGCCGTTCCATCGCCGAGGAGATGAAAAAACAACGGATGGATATAGCGCAGTCAATATCAGATCCTGCTCAGCATGTGGCGGAAACTCCGCCATCAGAGACGCAGAAGCGCAAGTGGGTACGTTAGATGATGGTTGGCTGGACGTGTACATTGCTGACATACGAAACTAGTTCTGGGCATGGTAGCATGAGTGACTCCATAATGTCAAAACTGTATTATACAAGAAGGGACATTGCAGTACAGTGACAGCTCATCTGCTCTTTGGAGCCCCTCTAGTGATAATTATCCGATGCATGTTGAACCTTCGTCGTCGAGCATTATTCTTGAGAACGCCACAAACTCTACCAAGTGAGCTACTCTTGTTAGATTTGAAAATCACGAGAACAACAATGAATGACCGCCCGAGTTCAAGCATTCGCACTTTAGCAGGCAGTGTTGTCCCTGTCAAGCCATCTATAATCTCGAATCCCAGTCCGAGACTAGAGCGTGAAACGAAACCTTTCCCGCCGTCGAAAAGCAAAGTCTATGCACGGCACATCGGAGCTAGCCAAGCAGAAAATCAACGTTTCGAGCTGCTCTGCAACGAGCAGCTCTCTTATTTGCACCGTAAGCCACGTGGCTGCCCTATTGGAAGCTCGCTACAGCACGAGCCAAGGTTCTGATGATCCGTATTCAAGAGTAGATACAACGCCAGGCAGTCGTCTTTGACAGAAACCTTGAGGAGCAAAGCCACCCTCAACACAGAAAATGCCCACAACGGGGTTGTCTCATCCAGCTGAACACTAGCGACCAATAGCATCGATTCATTTGCTACTCTGCCAGACCACCAATCCTCTCTGGGCGGTCTTCTTGCTTCATGTGGCGACGATGAAATCCATTTGGACATTTTGCCAAGCCGACGCCTTGAACCCGCTTTGCGTCCAAAACGCGGATGTTTCTCATCCCGACAGCAGCCTCGCCACGAACAACGTAGCCTTTCTCATATCGAATCTGACGCGCTTCCCTGAGCTCTACACAAGAATTCACATAGATTCGTCTCCACACGACGGTTTCTTAGTCTGTCAACATTTTCTACCAAAATAAGAACTGCCGTCCTCAAAATCGATGCGCACTACGGTTTCGTATGTGGAAGTCGACGCTGTCTTGCGAGAAGTGGAGTAACAGATTCGTCTCCTATGAAGAAGCTACTGTTCTCGGGCGGATTCTTAATTGAGTTTGTGAAGACGTTTTCTTGCTGTGTATCCCGCAAGAATTCTCACTGTGTTCCGTTCGTGCATTAAGGATAAGGGTTTTTTTTTTTTTTTTTTTTTTTTTTTTTTTTTTTTTTGGAACGACTGACTCCAAGAAAGTGACATTTAGACAGGATTATGGACGGAAGGCACAGAAGCTACACCGTATTATTACTATGCTGCTCGGTCAAGATTTGATCTTTGCTGTGATCTTAATATTGTGAAGCCTAAGAAGCGAGTCAAATGAGGAAAATGCGAGCAACACTCGCCGGACAAGTTTAATAAAATGGCACCAGTGGGGCTAGTCAAATCTTCTCTTTCTTCTATGTGCTGCAGTCTTTATGACTGCTCAAGTCATAAAGCCAGTCTCTAAGGAGTATGTCCGCAAACAAGATGCCATGCGATATCAAACAAGTATTACACGCCGGGAAAATAAATGCTATAGGGAGCAGCCTATCAGCGATGAAAGTGCTTCGGAGGAAATGATTCGTTCCAAGGCATGCCAATGAAATTCGTGCCTGTCGTAGGAAGCCTATTCGGTTATGCAGGATCGTCCAACGAGCTGTCATGTTTGTGATCAACACGAGTAGCCTCGCTTCCGCAACTTAGGTAACTCGCCGCTGCTTCCCGCTGATTTTGCTGTTCATTGTCGGGTATTTCTTCGTGCCACTCTCGAAGCTGTCTCCTTAGGACCTGCAGGATTTGTGCCGTCGGATAGTCGAGATAGAACCCCTCCGGCATCATGATCTTGTCCGGTGTCAGGATAATCATCTCCTTGAACCCTGCAGTCTCCATCACATGTGAGACCCTGCGTCGCGTGACCATTTCTTCAATCACTTCTTCCGTCTTCTCTTCCACAGGTTCAATCTTCTCGACATCCTGTTCTTTTCTACTCTCCTTTTTCCACCAGGATCCAGTCTCGCGTGGCGACCACCAGAAAACTGGGAATTGGCGCTGGATGTTGTTAATCAAACATGCAACGCAGAACATGAACACGCTGCCGAGCAAGATGAAGGGCACGAACATCCAACCGAGCTCCTCCGTCGTCGGATCGACTGCTGCGAGAACTGCTGTGGCGCCGCCGGGTGGATGTACCGTGCCTGTCATGGACATGACAAACGATGCGACACCGCATGCTGTTGGTCCTGCAATCCATCTCAGATTCTCATAATTGGACGATAGCATATAAAGCTTAGCGATGCCAACACCCACGACTGCAGAGAGTCCATGTCCGACAATCGCTGCCCGCGGTTGCGCTAGCGGTGACTGAATTGTGTTGTAGTCTAATATAGCAGTAGCGCCCTGAAAAGTTGGCTGATCAGCAACTGACAAAATTAATTCTGAAGCACAGGGAAAATAGAGGTCTAGACGTACCAGAGACGCGAACAGAACGGGAAGGTGATAGTTTGACAGACCGTATCTATACACTGACGCGACAAGTAACAGGCCCACGAAGGCCCCTAAAAGCGCCCACAGCGAAATGAGGATGTTCCCAAGCTCCTTCGCCGGCTCTTCTCTATACCCAAGAAATCGTGCCACCCAACGCGGAAGGCCCTTGATTGGATTTGGCGGCAGGTACTGATTCAGATGTTCGTCTATGTCGAAGTGAATGTCCCCTCTACCAAAACGCCTTCGCTTTCCAAAGAGGCGAATGGCCATTGCGCGAATACGCAGGACAGGCCAATGAGTGACAAATTGCGCAGAATACGGAAAGGGGAACAGGGGAAACCTCGAGCCGTGGACGAAGTCAGGAGGTACAGCGTGGTCTCTCGATTTCATATGTAAAAGTACGTCTACTGGACAGTTCTGCGATTTTCTCCTCTCGTATGGCTTCCGTCAGCCGGAGGAATCGGGTTGCAGCGAGGTACATGACAGTGACCGTGTGAACGACACAAGCTCCGAGATCCATCCGCTCCTACCATCAACGAGCCTTGACGGTCTGCTAGCCAGAAGGGACAGCATCGCGTCTTGTTCGGCGGGTTACCTGGATCGAGAGTGGCGCCGCTGCTCCGCCAGTAGCCAGTCCTACCTCGCGTTGGGCAAAAGGTTGCCGTAAATGGGCACAACTTTGGTTGAGAGGGGAAAGGTTCGAGGAAATGATGAGGGTAATGAGAACTGCGGCATGACGAATGGGAGGCCAAGCATTATGTAAAAACAATCGGATTTAGTGGAAGGGAAGAGGCACAGGGCTGCGAGAACAAGATGTCGTGCGAATGAGGTAGGATGTGCGTGTGCATGAGCATAATTTTTCCTGGACCATGAATTGGCGGGGTTCAAGGCGATTGGGATTTCCGCGGAATAGGCTGGATGCCTTGCGGTAGGCTGAGGCTGCGAGAAAGACAACTTAAGGCATCAGACATGCTTCTGTGGAAAGTTGAGACTGTGTAGGATCTTTTCAGAACATAAGGGATGAATGGGCGGTCTTTGATTTATGAGAGGAAGGCCAAACGATAAGGGAGTCCGTTGTGGCCAAGACAGACGATAAGCTGGCGGACGCACTTCCGGCGCGCCCGCGGAGAAGAGCAGAACAAAGAAATGTACACAGTTCGGCATCTTCGACCATTTCTGGCACGTCAAAGGAACTTGTCAAGAGTTTTAGTCTCGATTTGGACGGCTAGATCAGCGTAATATACCTGCCACGCGTTCGGAATAGCATGTATCGAAACCCATATGCAGACAGTCGCGAGCTGGTGCGCGCTTGCACGAAAGGGAAAAATGTTGCTTTCGAAACCCCAGACCTCGCTGTGCTTATCTTCTGCGAGTTGAACCAAATCCGGTGCTTTCGTACCTCGAACTGCTGGGAGGCTCGGGAGGGCTTTGCGAGCTTGAGGAGCGAGATGGGCCTTCCCCAGCATTGTCATAGTACCAGCTCGGCCTAGGATTTGTATATGTGTTACCACCGGTCCACGCTCGCTGAAACCAGCCCTGAGTCTGCTGTCTCGCCTGCTCCTCAGCTCGATTGCGGCTGGCACGAGATGCTGCATACGCAGCCGCTGCACCAGTGGCAGCTCCAGTCCAGAACCCTGGTCGCCATGGTTCTGAATTGCGTGATGATGAAGTCGTCGTCCACGCTGAAGATCGAGGTTTAGAGTGTGTTTGCCTTGACGGTCTCGGAGGGTTCGGGTCATATGGTGGGGGCGGGTCGTTGTCGTCGTCTCCGCCTCCAAAGCCACCTCCTCCCAATCTAAATCCTCCACGTCTCCGTCCTGGTCCAGTCTCACCGCTCAAAATGCTCTTGAGGAACATGTAGGCTATCCATAATCCCACTCCAATGAAGAAGCACCAAAAGATGAAATTGAACAGCTTCTCCGACGGCGGCTCGTCTCCGGCGTTCTCGCCAGCAGAAAAAAGTGACGAACCTTCTGCAAATTTAGGTTTAAACCAGCCCTTGCTACCATATTTTTTTTCTCCAAGGTCGGTGAGAATTAGACGATATTCCACTCCGCAACTGCCCTTCAGGACATACGGGTCATCCGGGGAACTGTAACCTTCACAGATCACATCCGTTGAGCCGAGCTTGAACTCCGGAGGTAAGGAAGCTTTGCATGTCCAATCCACATTGTCTTCGTCGTAGCTGGCACCAGAGTTTGTGCATCGCATAACATCAACCTCATAATAGCCCTTGCCACTTCCTCCAATACATCGAAGCTGTCTCGTTGTCAGTCAAATTGTCCAAGCCCTGGAGTTGGTGAGTTTGCCGAACCTGCGGGATGGCAGGAACACGCCTGTGTGTGGTTTTGCGGTCCTTATACAATGTCAAGGATTTGATGTTTCTTAAAAGAACACTGTCCTTGGGTTGTCCAGCAGCGTGCGATAATGTGGCGCTACTTAACAACACCAGCAGAGTGCAAACTAGTTCTACTGTGTTCACCTTCATGCTGGAATTAGCTATTCGAAGAATATCTGCGTAGCAAAATGCCTTCTATAAACTACATGTATATATTTCACTTCCATTATATTTCCTCAAAGGACAGGTGTCAAGAAAAAAACTGTCGCTGCCTTGCAAAGGTGTTGTGATGTCACGGGTTGTTCTGGAAGTTCGCGCCACAGGAGCTTTCACTCCATGTGGCTAGAGTCCTCTGCCTGACCCACTTTTAAGGCCACAAGGACACAATAAGTCTTGGCGCACGGAATTTGAAGCATTTTCGTTCTTCGCAGTTCACGAGTCTTGCGACATCCACGACATCCAGTATTGCAATGGCGCCCAAGGGAGACAAGTCATCCAGTACGATTCATACCATATTCTTGCAGCGCTTACTAGATTCTGGGAGAAGACGTACTGATTAAATTTTTTACAGACAAAAAGCCAGCGGCCAAGGCCAATGCCGCCGCAAAGGCAGCACTCAAAGGCGTATGAGTTTGTCCTAATTAGAGGCGTTCAGCACTATTGCTGAGGGCTAATTGATTCAATTAGTCGAATGCGCACAAGACACGCAAAGTCCGTTTGAGCACGACGTTCCGTCGACCGAAGACGCTCTCCCTGCCGCGGGCACCAAAGTACCCTCGCAAGTCTATCCACGTACGTATACGTCCTCACCAACGATGGGTACGCCATGTATGTATGTGGGAAAAACGCTAATTGCGATACCAATAACAGTCTGAGCCACGTCTGGATGCCGCAAACATCCTGCTCTACCCCCTCAACACCGAGTCGGCCATGAAGAAGATTGAAGAGCACAACACGCTGGTGTTCATCGTTAACGTCAAGGCCAACAAGCAGCAAATCAAGGCCGCACTCAAGTCCATGTACGATGTCGACACTGTCAAGATCAACACGCTCGTCCGCCCAGACGGCACCAAGAAGGCTTACGCCCGCCTGACACCGGATCTGGACGCCTTGGACGTGGCAGCAACCAAACTGTCCATTGTCTAGAGGTTTAATGCATGGAAGTGGGTTTGGCGTTCTAAGAAGCATTGTGTCATCATCATGAGGAGCGGGTTAAAAAGTCTCCTATGGGTGTCATTATTTTTCCCCGTTCCGAAAGGAGACGGGACGACGATCTGAGGGCCGTCGGAGCTTGATAGCGAAAATAAATGCATTTACACATATACCCATGCAACGTTGGTATTTTGTGGTCAATCGAAGTCTTTCATTGAGTGATGAGTCTCTCTCCGCCGATTGCTGATATCGCTGTGAGCGTGTATATATGCCCACCTATACGGCGGAAACGCCAGTAATGCCCTGTCTATGCCATGTATCTTATTCTTACAGTCCACATCCTATACCATACATGTCTTTAAACATATCGCATTCCAGTGCGCTGTCGACGTGGTGAAGATTCCGTCACGGTCAAGCCGATCTCATTGATTCCATATGCTTCAGCACCATGCCGCTCGTGTCCAAAAACCTGTTCACGCAGTTCTCCATACACGGCTCTTCATATTTGTCTAGTTTACCAGCCGATATCCGAGACGTGATGCACTTCTTGAAGCACATGTTTGTAAGGTCGTGGATTGCTGTTGGTATTGATTTGGTCAGATGCGTCGCACCCTTCTGCTGTCGCCGAGTGGGAGACAAAACCTACACTGCTGGATCTGGCTCTTCTGAGTCTCGGCTCTGATGAACTTTTGAAGCTCCTCCTTGTCCTTTGCTGGCAGCTTCTGAATGAGCTGGCTCATCTGGCTCTGGGCTACGGCGTCGTCCATGCTTGCGGTTCGATGGCCGAAGGTGTACAGACTTTGGCGGATCCTGCGACGTACGTGTCGAGCGGTGGTAGCGAGTGATTCGAAGACGAAAATGCGCGCTGGTAAGCACTCGCTGGCGTATCGTTGACTAGGGTGCGAGGATGGATAGTGTTTTGCTGATGAGAACATTTGCAGATTTCTGAATGGGGAAAGTGGGTCCGTGCTTTTCTGCATTTTCAGACTCGCTTGGAGTCGTGCACAGGGCGCGGACCAGAGACAGGACTTCGAGATGATGACTTCGAGACGGACCGTCAGCATGGCGCGAATATCGGCCTACAAGGAGGCATAATGTCTCGGGAGGCGAGTGGAACTCGTTCAGCGCTCTGTTTCGCCGGAAGCTACCGACGCATTCAGCGATTCAGGGCGACAAATTGATCGATCTGCGGAGAGAATTGAACCATCAGTTTATAGATCCACACATGTAGTAAACAGTCGAAGAGTCTCTGGATTTCACGCATGGGTTCCCTTTGCTCCCCGGACTTTGCCAGCACCTCCACGACATACAATAATGAGCGCTCGATCCATGCCCGCGGTTCGTGGGAGGGCCTGGACAACTTCATCGTGCTCTTTCTTGCACCAGAGTGGCAAAAACCTAGATCTCTGAATGGACATTGAGTGCTTCAATTGAAGAGGTTCTGCACGGTCTCCTTCAATTTCGTGATCGTGGCCATGCATTACGAGGGTGAAGGGCGCTGAGAAAGCCCGTCGACAGCGACATGGACATGGGTGAGTTAAGCGACATGTGACTTGAGAATAGCAGACATCGCAAAGGTCGTATCGTTCTGTGGAGAGGCAGTGACAGGTCGTCTCTAGCACAATATCGAGGTATGGTCACTGGGATGCAGCGGCTGCTCACAGCACGCACAAGGCTGAGGGTCAGGCTCTTCTTGGACGTCGCGCTAGGCTGCAAACGTCGCTCACGGAAAGTCTTGGCGCGCGCGTCGTTCCAGTTTGAATGATGCCCACCTAGCCCTTTTGCTTCACTACTCTTGCATCAACCTTAACCACCTTTCCCGCTCCACCCGTCGTCCAACAACTTCTTACACTCCTTTAAAACCTCCGTGGTAATCGCAGTACGCGAAGTCTCCATTGTACCCTCCCTCCTCGGACGACGGCGAGGACGAGGAGCTCGATCACTCAGACGACGCAAGTTTCGATCGATCAAAGCTACTACGCTCGCTCATTCCTGTTTGCGCACCCTCCTCCATCGTTTTCGCACAAGAGAATATCCAACATCTAACTTCTTTACGCCAGTCACTGGATGAGCATCATCTAGATTACACATCTAAGCCCGGCCGGGCAGTGCCTTCCGCAGAGGAAGAAGAGGGGAGATGGTGCCGCCTCCGACGGCCATGCCGCCGCAGCAACAGTTCAAGCGGAAGCGCGGCGACCATAGGGCATATTCGTCTGACACTGGTGAAAGAGGGAGGCCCTCGCCTCACAGACCGGAGAACATGGCACTGGCGCATGGAAACGGCGTGAATGGCAGAGGACATGGTACTGGAATCAGGAGGGCTAGCCGTGGTGGCCGGGGGGGTGCAATGCATTCCCCGTCTGGCCCTGCACCTGCTTCATATCAAGTCCTTCCAAATCCATCGCAGGCAGCGAAGCCAATTACGTCCAATCTCTCAAGCAACACGGCATCACCCCCCACGCCTGTTCCAGTTCCCGTCAAGACGGGGCAACCTACTCCAGCGTCAACACAAAAGGCTGCTCCGCCAATGCAATACCCAGAAGTAGGGCTGCCACCGCAAAAAGACCCGTCAACTTATCTTTACTCCTACTTCACTCCCGATCGGTGCGACAGTTGGAAAGAGACAGGGCGTCAGACCGTCATAGACGATGCGCTGGCAAGGGCAGATGCAGAAGACTTGCAAGAGCTTGGTGTATACTTCCAGGAGGTGCTTCACCTGATTACCGAGGGGTTGATCAACCCTCAAGATGCCGGTGCGCTGATCAAGGACGTGCTAGAGGGATCGCCGAAGGCTGAGGAGTTGGATCTTCCTTCTCTGTTCCTAGATACGGTCGCCGTTATCCTAAGCCCACAATATCCCACCGGCAAAGAGGATACTGGGAGGGAATCAGGGTTGAACCAGTTTCTTCAAGCCACAGGTGTCGACAAGAGACTTGTGTGCATGCTTCTGGACGAAAAGCTACTGATCGGTCTGCGCATTGTACGGCCGACTTTCGATCGCATGGGCATTCGCCATTCAACGAATGTGCTCTATAGGCAATCCGGCTTCAACTTGTTACGGGAGGAATCGGAAGGGTACTCCAAACTCATGACCGAATTCTTCACGGTAACGCACAATTTCAAACCGGATAAGGAGACCGTTGAACAAACGTGGGAAAAGGTCAAGGCTCTAATAGGTGCCTTCGATCTTGACGTAGGTCGTGTTCTCGACATTACGCTTGATGCATTTGCGAACAACCTCATAAAACACAACAAATTTTTCATTCGTCTATTGAGATACAGCGATTTCTGGCCTCAGAATAAGGCCTTGGTGGCTTTTGCAGGCGAAGATCAGGGCCTCAGCACACTGCCTCCTTGGTCAAGTACATCGTACCCTTCGCTGGAGACCTTGCCGGAAGATGCAGAGAGAATCGCTGAGCTGAGGCACGGCAGAGATATCATGTTCTGGGATCGAGTCAGGGAGGTTGGCATTCAGGCATTCTTTGAACTTGGCGGTCGGCGACCAATAACCAATGCCGACAAAGCCGCATTTCTAGAAGAGCTTCGTGCGCAGGAGGTGGAATGGTGCGTTGACGAGAAGACAAAAGAACGGAGAAAGAAAGAAGAAGATGCCGATCTCTGGGCCACACGCACGAACACACTACCCGCGCAGGGAAACTCGATCGCAGCACAGATCCTTGGTTTCAAATTGAGATTCTACGCATCCGATGCGAGGGATCCGCAAGATAGACTGAGCATCAATCTCATCTGGCTAGCGGCACTTCTTATAAAGATCGGATTTATCTCGCTTGTGGATCTCTATCCGCACATCTACCCGACGGACGACAAAATGGACGAGCTACGCACGAAGTTGGAAAAGGAGAAAGCCGAGCGATTGGAGAAGTTGAAGCCGGGCGCGGGTATGAACGCTCTCATGACCGCTGGGGCGCTCTCAGAAGGCGAACCGCCGTCCTCGCTACCTGTTAATAGAGCGCTGCCAGATCCGATGAACAAGGCGGGTTCAAGGACGCCGTTACGGGCTACGGAGACCGCTAATGCAACACCCGGAGGATCAACACCAAACGCTACGGCGACTGCGGCGCAGCCAGAGCCGAAGCCTGAATTGCCAGAACCAGAGGATCAGAAGATTGTCCTGCTCAGGAGCTTATTATTGATTGGTGCCATTCCAGATGCCCTGTACATCCTGGGCCGTTTTCCTTGGCTGCTGGACGTACATGACGATCTACCAAAATACATTCATAGGCTGCTACATTATATGCTAAAGAAAGTGTACGCAGAAACGCAGCCCTTGCAAGGCCGTGCTTCGGATACGACACCTGGGCACATTCGCATAGATGTTAACAACACGCCTATTCTCGAGAAAAGACAGGCGCCGAGATCGATAGCTTGGGGTCAGCTGGAGAAGGTGGAGTGGGCCGAGGGAGACTATGGAACAAGCTATAGGTTTTACTGGGACGACTGGAATGATCTCGTTCCCATTTGCCAGAACGTTGACGACGTATTCACACTCTGCGATAGTTTCCTCAACCTTGTCGGGCACAAGATTGGGCGTGACGCCGAGTTGCTCACCAAGATCGTGCGCATTGGCATCAAGAGCTTGGCCGATGACGACTCACCTGCAAACATGTCGCGCTGGCAAAAACTGGCGAAAAGACTGCTCGTACCCGCATTGAGCTTGACAAAGGATGACCCGGGTACGGTGAACGAGGTTTGGGAGCTCATCAAGGTCTTCCCTATTCAAGTACGGTACAACATGTACTCCGAATGGTTCGGAGGCCAGACGTCCCGAATACCGGACATTAAAGCCGCGTTCGATTTGTCCATTCTGCGCACTCGCGACGTGCTCAAGCGCATAAGCAAGACAAACGTCAAAGAAATGGCGCGTTCTCTCGCTAAAGTAGCGTACTCATCACCTGGAGTCGCGCTCAAGACGGGACTACAGCAGATCGAATCGTACAACAACTTGATCGACACTTTAATTGAGTGCATCCGTTACTTTACGAACATAGGCTTCGATGTGCTCATCTGGCAGCTACTCAATTCTCTGGGTGGAAGCAGCAGAAATCGCATGCAAGCCGATGGCATGATCGTGAGCAAGTGGTTACAGCGTCTGGCAGAGTTCACCGGCAAGGTGTGTAAACGCTACTACAAGGACCTGGACTTTAAGCCGATGTTACTCTACGTCAAGGATCGCCTTGAGAAGGGCGATTCTACTGGGCTGGGTGTACTGGGACAACTCATCTTGAGTATGGGAGGCATAAGATCTGATCAGAATTGGAGCGAGGAACAGGTTGTGGCTCTGAGTGGTGGTAAAGCCCTTCGTGCGCAGACGCTGCAACGAGTTGCGGATAAAAGATATGAACGTGAGATGGAGAAAACGGCGAAATGCCTCGTGCATTCCCTCGCAAACACGAATCTCACGGGCGAGTTCCTCATTCTTATCGCAAGAGAACGCCAGCAATACCTTGAACGACCGTCCGCTTCGGGTGCTCCCATCAAAGTTCTGAGCACAAATTTAACAAATCTACAAGGCGCATTTGTACAGTACTTAGAGTTCTTGCGGAGTAACTACGAAGTTGACGAGTTTGACCGCGTGGTTCCTGGTCTTGAGGAGTTGATTGGGAAGTGGGGGATAGAACCTGCGATCGCCTTTACAATTGCGCGTCCGGGATTGCAGGCTAGGATCGAAGGATGGAACAAGGGTGAAGTTATGGATGTAGAGATGTCTGATACAAAGGAGGAATCTGGCGAGGCCGAGGCTGCGGCGAATGGAGAAGATGCACGCATGGCAGATGATGGGGAAGAGTCACAATCCGGAACCCCAACGACGCTGTCGACGGCCATCGCGTCGCCTGGTACCATCCACCCTGTTCTCGAGCAAGTTATCGAAAGTCTGAAGGGAGTTCTTGAACCAGGCTTCGATGAAAGGATGAGCATGCGCTTTTACGTTCGTTTTTGGCAGTCTTCGCTTTCGGATATACAAGTGGCGCAGTACGATGACGAGGTCAAAAACGTGCGTAATGCCTTGCGCGACTTGAGCAACGACCGCACAGATATCTCACCAAAGGCTCTCAAGGAAAAGGCAGCGAAGCGCGCGGCACTGAACCAGCTTGACAAGGAACTTCAGGATGAATGGAGAGCGAGCATCCAGCACAAGCAGAAGATGCAGAAAACATATAGCCAGGAGCGCACGTCTTGGTTCCCGCTTGAAAGGTTCCCACCGAGCAAGCACACAGAGCTGACCTTGGAGATCGTGCAGGAGTGCATTCTTCCACGTATCGTACTCTCGGAGATGGACGCGCTATTCACTGCAAAATTCTTGTTTGTGGTGCATAAGCTTAATACTCCCGGCTTTAGAATCGCAAAGATCATGGCGAGGGTGTTCAACACAGAGCAATTCGTTGCGATGCTGTTCATGCTTACGGAGCGAGAAGCAAAGAATATGGGCATCTTCCTCAAAGAGGTTCTTCATCAGCTCAAAGTGTGGCGCGATAATAAGAATCTATATGAGAAAGAAGGCATGGGTCCCAACAACGACAACCCAGGCTTTGCACGCGAAATACGTGAGGATGGCACCATCAACAACGAGGATCCCAAAACGCAGGTGATGAATCATGACGACTACAGACGCATTCTGTTCAAGTGGCACATGCAGCTCGACAAAGCCATCATGCACTGTCTTAAGTCAAGAGAATTTATGCATGTGCGCAATGCGATCTTGTTGCTCAAACAAGTACATGAATATTTCCCGTCCCTGACTTTCCATGGAAAGCACATATATGAGCAGATCGAAAAGCTTTCTCGAGAAGAAGAGCGTGACGATCTCAAGCTTTCCGCAACAAGTCTGCTGGGTGACTTGAAGAAGATGCGGACCAAGTGGTTGTTGCCGCAACAATTTCGACCTGGCGATGGGCCGGCAGCGCTGAACGCTGGTGCGGCATCGACGACGGGCACGCCTAAGACTCCGGACGACAAGTCCAAGCCCCTTAACGCGGAGGCGACGGAGTTCAGACCGAGAGCTTCGCTGTCGACAAGCAGTAATAAAGCCGCGGAAGATGGAGAGATTGAGGATGAGAAAGGAGATGAGGGGATTGTTGCACCTACTGGTGAAACTATGGATGTGGACAACAAACCAGGTATCGAGGATGGCACCGAGACTTCGAGTACGAAACCCGCTGAAGAGACCACGAGAGCGTCCACGCCAATGGCGAATGTCAATGCAAGACCATCGCCAGGACCTGGAAGGGCCGATCTAAGACCTTCAACGCCTGCCGGACGACAAGATGGCAATCGCTCGTCTGCTCCACAAGGATCATTCTCTGCACCACCTGGTGGCTTGCCTGCACGCCCGGCTGGCCCGATCCCATCCCACCGAGATCTTCATCGTCGCCCGGAAGCGGAGCGTACTCCCTCACGATTACCCGATGCTAAACCACCACATGAGCAAGAAGGAAGACTTGACCGACCGACTGACATGTCTCGTGAGCCGCCAAGGAGGCGATCGAGGTCACCGGGTGGCTTTCGTAGCCGAGGCCGCACGCCAGAGGGGGTTAGATTGCAACGACCAGATTTCGACAGACGAGAGTCTGGATATGGAGCTGCTCCAGTTCATGTGGGGCCACCGCCAAGGGATCTCATGGATCCAAGAGATCCTCGCGGATCCCGACAGCCTAGAGAGGAACGTCACCGCAGGGACAGGGATGGACGAAGGAATGAGCCAGACCTTCGCGGTCCGCCACCTCAACCGCACGATAGTCGTGATCGAATGTCAAGATCGACTGAGCAACCTTCAAGAGATCCCTCTGGTCCCACAATTAACCTCGAACGCGCTGCCTACCTTGGTATGGCCGACGAACGCAAGCCAGAGGAAGATAGACGACATGAAAGTTGGATGAGAAGTGGGCAGTCTATGCCTCGTTCTGGACCAGCCGGTTCAAGAGGCACATCACCTCGACGTAGAGATGACCGTGCCGTCCCTGAACGTCTATCTCGCATGGGGACGCGAGACAGGCGAGATGAAGCCATGACTAGTTCGTCCAACCCCATGTCCGACATTCCAAGACATCGCGATGAGCTGTTTCCTGATAATGCGCGTGCACAAGCTGAATCCACTTATGGATCGTCTAATCAGCCAGAATTGAGATCTCGTCAAGACCCCAATTACGGTCGCCTCAATGCACCTGCTTCATCTGAGGCGATGTCGTCTGGTCCTAGGAATAGAGGCGGTCTATCACAAGGACGTGGAGGTAGGACCGGCCTTGAACCGTCTAGCACAACGCCATTGGGTCCACGGAATATGCCACAATCCTCGCCCGGAGGCATGCAAACTACATCGCCGGGGCAAGAGCGTCCTCCCCCATCTGGTCCTGCAGTCAACAACCGTCGTGGCGGTCCCAACCAAGGAAATTCACTTCCTTCGCCTTCATATGGAGTTAGTTCAGACAATAACACTGCAACTGGTGTACATCCAAGTAGACTGCAGAACATTGGCGGTCTTCCACCTGTGCAAACGAACATTGCTTCGAGTCCTGGCAATACCACTATCCCGTTAGGTCCCCGCAGTAGTGGACACCGATCGACACCGAGCCAGACCAATATGACTGCACCCTCGCCAACGAGTAGATACCCTCCCACAGGACCTGCATCGACTGGCGGAAGCTTGCGTGGTCGCTCACAGCTGAATTTGATCAACAACATGCTTAATGATCAACAATCCTCTCGCAATGGAGGTAATGGGATCCGTGGCCGGCCTGGAATGGTTTCACAGCAGAGCTCTGCACCGCAATCACCAACTACAGGAGCTCCTCTGCAGCAACAGCAGATGCCACCGCCGGGCTCAGGACCAAGGTCAGATCCGCTCGCTGAACGCCTCGAGCGGCCCGGTACCTCTGGTAGCGATGAACAGCGCAGTAGTGTTGATGGCCGTCGTGCCGGCTTGAGAGACGATGGCGGAGACCGCAGAAGACACGGCCGTAGTAGGAGTCGTAGCCCCAGACGTGAAGCGGCAGACAACGCTATGCGCCAGAGCGGTGAGCTGCCTCCTAGGAATGGTCCAAACAGAGATGATCCTGCCAGACGACGAGACTCGGGTGATCGTGATATGATTCACCGCAGAACTAGAGGTGGAGAAGGCGGCAACTGGCATAATCGCGATCGCGAACGAGACGAGGGCGCTCGTCCCCCCCGTGATGGAAGGGAAGGTCGCATTCCTGGAAGAAGCGAAGGCCGCACCTCGATGGGAATGCCACCACACTATCATCAACACCAAAGCGCCTCATTCGGGGGCGGCCTTCCGCCTCAAGCACCACCTAGCATGATGTCGTCGAGTCCAAACGGAGACATGCGACGTGGTGGCGTTGGTGGAATGAGGAGAGACGACGTTGACAGGAGAGATGATAGTCCACGCATGAGTGGAGGAAGGGATGGAATCAAAAGGCGAAGGCCAGATGAAGGGCCGCCTGGTGGGCCTGGTATGCATGACCAGAAGAGGCCGAGGAGGGGACAGTGAGTTTGCAGAGCGCTTCCCGTTCGCATGAGATGTATGTTCGTTTTGTACTATGTGCATGGAAAACATATGCATAATATTGGCGTTTTCCAATTTCTCTATCGTAAGAAGGGCGGCTTCTTGGTTTGGAAGCTGCTCTGGATCGGATTTGGTTGCGACCGGCTGGATGGGAAGTGAGCCACCTAGATTGACTTGTACTTTCGCTATATCTTACATCTTCTGCACCTGCCAAGCACGCCAGCGGCAGGCTCTATGGGAATACAAGATATCCAGATCCCAGCGCTCTCGTTTGTGATCATATTAGAAAATCAAGTGCATGAAAATGCTGAATGATGCTCAAACATTTGGGTCGAGTTCATACAAAGTTCGTTCATATTAGCTGGAACTAAATGCAAGTTTCTGGACTCGACGATCTTTTCGCAGTTTAATCTCTCACCGAACCAAAGAAGCCTATTTGCAAAAACACTATCATCATTTTGAGTCGCAATCAAATGCCTGGATCGCAACGGATGATCAACTCGCCTCTGGCCGTGTGCCTTAAGAAGAAACATGCTTTGGTCTACAAGCTAAATTCGACGCCCTTGAGCGCTCCGTTCTCAGTCTTTTCATAAGGATAGCCTGGGGAGCATTATCACAGAGAAAGAAGTTAGTGGACGTTTGCTTTTCTATACACACACCCAAAAAAAGGAGGGGAGGGGGAGCCGGCAGTCACTGAGCGGATAACATTAGGGGGACTTTGGGATATGGCGCGATGAGAACATATGCAGATATTCATGGGGCGGAGGCTACGTACGTGCCCCGAACAAAGAAAGGGCAATATGAGCATGGCTTGCTGATAGACACGAGGGTGGGGAGAATTGGGAGGGGGGTGGGGGGAGAAAGCTTATTTCAACGACTCTGCAAGGCGTCATCTCCAGCCACGAAGTCCTTCATGTCGGATCCAACCATCCATGACCTGAAGAGCACGCAACCAGATGACAGAAGACACGTTTCGACGGCACGTCCGTAAGGGCGTCGAAACTATTTCGGAACCTTCCGAGATCGAGATCGATCATCACTTTCGTCCAGTTCCGCATCTCGCTGCGCAGCAGGTTTAAAGATCTAGGCCCGTGTCTTGGCTTCCGCTAGGGATTATGGGGAGAGTGGTGTTGCCTTGCAGCTCACCTTTGCCTGTTCAGCTCGGCCAGGCCTGGCTCCTCAACTTCGCGCGATGGCACGCACGTCCAACGAAGAACGACTGGATCAGCCGGAATGGCGCGCTTCTCGGGCTAGGCCTTTCTTTTTTCTCGCCCCCCTGCGTAAAGGGGAGTGGAAAGGCGACTCTCCAAGCTCTGGGCATCCGTTGGCCGGCCTGATCAAGGAAACTACTACGTCTTGCGACGCCGCGGCGACACAGCTTCACGGTCGCCGTTGTAAAACAAGTCCCACGCCGTCATATTCTTACGCAGCGATCGAACCTTGCAGGCCACAGACGGTGGCATGGACGAGTATCAGCACGTCAACGTGAGGGGTGCGAGGCTGGCATACCGCGAGGGCGGCAGCGGCCACGGCAGAGGACATGTCGTCCTCGTGCATGCCAACCTGAGCGACGTCAGAAGCTGGGATGCCATCTTCCCTCTGCTGGCGTCGAAGCACCACGTGGTCGCGTACAGCAGACGCTACGCATGGCCGAACGAGCCCATACCGGCCCACACGGGCGACCCGTGGGAAGAGCAAGCGGAGGACCTGGCCGAGCTGATTAAGAAGCTGCATCTCGAGCCGTGCCACATCGTCGGAAACTCTACGGGCGCGACGCTGGCGCTGCTCGTTGCAAAGAAACACCCGAACCTGGTCGCCACGCTGCTGCTGGAGGAGCCCCCGGTGGTGACGGTTTTCCTGCCCAACATGCCGCCCGCCCTCCTGGACACGTTCTCACTCCTCTGGCGGCACCCCTGGGCGTTCCTGGCCGTGATGCGGTTCGGCATCTTCACAATCGGGCCGTCGTTCGCGGCCTTCAAGGCCGACAGGGACGAGGAGGGTCTCCAGACGTTTCTTCGTGGCGTCATCGGGACGGAGCATTACCGTGCGCTGAGTGACGAACGCGTCGAGCAGGCGCGAGCCAACGTCGGCCCGCACAAGGCGCTGGCATGCTTTAGCGGCTTACCGCGAATCACGGAGGACGACGTCAGAGAAATACACACGACGGCGTATCTGTTCACGGCGGAGAAGACGTCCGGCGCCCAGAAGGTCATCAATCGTTTGCTGGCGATGGTCATGCCGCACGCGGAGGAAATTCATTTGAGCAAAGCCAGTCATTTCATGCACGAAGACAACCCGGCAGTCGTAGCGGAGGCGATTGACGCGCGTGTGGTCGGATAAAGAGGGACAGCATTCGTCTCTGCAATGTTAGCTTAGGCAATCTATTCATCTTAGTCGTGTCTGTTGAAAAAGTCCTTCTTCCTCTTGACACCGTGTTGCTCGTGCAGAGGGTAAAAAATAAGACCAAAAAGAAGAGAAAAGAAAAAAACAGTCAGTTCGTGGATTCGATTTGAGGAGTCAAAAGAGTGTACTTCAATTCCAGCAGGGAGAACCTGCCAAGTCATGAGAAAGTGTATATACGAACGTCATCCTCCTTTTATCACCCAGAGTGCGAGGGAGCAGAAATGATGTAGCTCGACCTCCGAAACACTCGTCTCTCCGTTTCGTGGTGGGGCCTTTTCTTTATTCCCCTTTTGATTCACCGGCTCCGCAAAGTGAAACAGCAAGGAGCCATAATGAGCCTAAGCGGCGGCAGCGACAGCTTGGACGCGCTCCTTCTCTAGGATGTTCTCCAACGCGTCTGCTGCACCGCTCTTCATCTCCTGAACGACGTCCTGCAGACCAAGCTGCTCGTCCGTCCACAACGGCGGCTCTTCCTGCGATCCGTCGCCGACGCCGATGAAACCGCCCTCGGCAGCCCACTCGCTCGTGCGCTTGATGCCCAGCTGAGTCCACACGGCATCGAGGGCTTGCACCAGATGGTCCCTGTACTCCTTGACGTGGCCCGGCGTGGGGGTGATGCGTAGACGCTCCTGACCGACAGGCACGGTCGGGTAGTTGATGGCCTGTACGTAGACACCCCAATCCTCGAGTAGCATGTCTGAGGCCTTCTTCGCAACCTCGGCATTGCCAACAAGGCAGGGCACGATGTGCGAAGGGTTCGGGATCACAGGGATGTCCTTAGCACGCAAGGCTGCCTTGACGGCGCGCGTGTGCAGCTGCTGCAGGCGTCTGTCGCCCTGGTGCTCCATTTGGTACTCAATAGCGGCTTTGGCGCCGGCCATAGTCGCAGGTGGGAGTGACGTCGTGAAGATGAATCCTGGAGCGAGGGAGCGGATGGTGTCTACCATTTTTGCGGAGCCGGCGATGTAGCCGCCCACGCAGCCGTAAGCCTTGCCCAGCGTACCGGTGATGATGTCAACACGGTCCATAATCGTGCCCTTGGGGCGTCCGGCAAGGTGCGCCTCATAGTCCAAGTGCTCGGCGACACCCGCACCATGCGCACCATACATGCCGACCGCGTGGACCTCATCCAAGAAGGTGATTGCGCCATACTTCTCCGCCAGGTCGCAAATCTCCTCGATGGGGCCGATAGAGCCGCACATGCTGTACACGCTCTCAAAAGCGATGATCTTAGGAACGTCGGGTGCCACGCTTGCAAGCTTGGCCTCGAGATCGGCGACGTCATTGTGTTTGAAGACCATCTTCTTAGCACCGGAGTGACGGATGCCCTGGATCATGCTGGCATGGTTGAGCGAGTCGGAGAAGATGACGCAGCCAGGCAACTTGCTGCCCAGCGTGGCAAGTGTGGCATCGTTGGCAACGTAGCAGGAAGAGAAGACGAGCGCAGCCTCCTTAGCGTGCAGCTTGGCGATGGTGGCCTCGAGCGCGACGGCGTGCTGGTTGTGCCCGGAAATGTTACGCGTGCCACCGGCTCCGGCACCGTACATGTCTAGCGTCTCGTGCATGGTCTGCAGAACCTTCGGATTTCGGCCCATGCCGAGGTAGTCGTTGGAGCACCAGACCGTGACTCGCTCGTCCTTGTTAGACATGTGGGCGCGTGGGAACTCCTGGGCGAGACGATTGATGTTGTTGAAGTAACGGTACGACTTGTCCTTGTGCTTCTTGTCCAGCTCGGCGGTGTAGAAGGCCTCATAGTCGAACTTGGCCGCCTGGGGCGGTGGCGGCGCGCCGGAGGGCAGTTTCGTCGCGCTGGCGGCGCGCTTCTCGACGGCCGGCTGCTGAGGTGGTGGGCGGTACTTGGCTGTTTGATGCAGCGTCAGTCTTGCTGTCTCACATTCATAGCATGTCCTGAACAGCTTCGCAGAACCATACCTTGACTGCTTCGGTTCACGCCGACGTCGACCTGGGCCTCCTTGGTGGCAGCAGAGTGGAACTTGGCGCGGTCAACCTTCGCATGGTACGCCCTCACGCCGCCAAAAGCGCCAGCGAGAGCAGCATTGCCGGAGCGGGCACTCTGTATGGCGAGGGCCTTGCCCATGATGGGGCAACGGCGGCCGAGGAGCTGCAGGTTCGACATGCGGCTTCCGCCAGGCGAGGCGTTGTGCGCCGCCGCCGTGGTGGACAGGCTGCGGAGCGTGGCCGGGCTGGTCTTCTTCAAAAAAGGACACATGGCGCGGGATTGGGTCAGGATGGCCTCCATGATGCCGGTCTCTTCAATGGCTGAATTTTTGCGGTTCTATTTTTTGTGTCTTCACGCTGGGTGGTGGGCAGGGCTGTGTGCGACGCAGTTGCTTCGAGCGCAACCGCGGGAAGCAGAGAACGAAGTGCTCGAGAAAGCAGATGCGTGGTTACACGGAACACAAGAGGGCACCGCGGTGGTTTTGCGGGAGACGGAGTTGGTGTTGGTCAGAAAGGCGCCGGCTTCTGACAAACGTAATATGTTTCTCTTCGCACGGGACCCGAGCGCAGGACGTGAGCGACAGCGGACTCGGGGCGCTCTCGTAAGCAGCAACCGGCCGTCTGCTATTGGTGGCGGCGATCTAGACGTGCTCGACCCAGCGCCTCCTGTGCTCGGCTCCCAGTCCTCGAGCTGCGGACGACGTTACGGCTCTTCCTTGTCTCGCCTACGCAAGCTGATGGAAATCATCAGGACTGCACATGAAACTGACCGTGTTTGCGTGTGTTTGCAGCGAATTTGCCGTGCCCTACTTGGAGCTCACCCTTGTACCGCCCACCAGCCGTGCAGGAGATGAATGAAAATTCTTGCTTCTCCGTGCTCTCGTCCGGCTTGCCCTCGCCGACCTTCCCGAACCCAGACCATTCTCAGCTGCTGGTCGGACAGACGATCGCGGGGAAATTCTGGGTGGCAGATCTGTCTTTTCCATGCCGAACCCGTGCGCCTGGTGTTCTTCGCCTGGCGATGTGGCTGCTCTCCACATGCAGTTTCAGCCCTGACGACGCCGGTGTGCCCAGCTACCGACGGAATCTCACCGCCCTTACGAGTTGGAATGATGATGGTGTCATCGTATTCATGATGGCGGGCATGCTAGCACCGTTGGAGGTGTACACAGTCGATCCTTCGGCCTTCCTCGGAGAAGGTTGCAAGAAAACTTCTCATTACGAATCGGTCTTTTGTTCAATTCTATTCGTTTCTGCTCTGCTACGCGCAGGGCTGCTGTCCTACACAATTCTTTGTAGCCGCTGCCGCCTCTCAAGAGGCCAGTTCCACGCTGCCAAAATACAAACCAAACCATTTACCGCCAAGACGCGAAAAGTACAAAGAGTTGCAAGCTACAGCGTTTTTGCCGAATTCGGGGTATCATCTGATCACTCTGTCTCAAGCAAGACTCAGTCGCCAACGTGAATAACTCCAAAGAATAGTAAGAAATGAAAGTGTGCATGATCTTTGCCTGTGTGCGCAATCAATTAGTCCATGCGGTTCGTCGCTGGTGCTTTCGAGCCTGTAGGTTGCTCCTGAGCCGTCAAAGAAGGTGATAGAGTCGCTGGGTTTCGGTCGCTCGTTCCAGCAACGGGTGCACTTGCTGGAGGCGCCAGCGTCGCATCTTGCGCCAGACGGCTCGGAATGCCGGTGACATGATCTGGGCGAGCCGCCGAAGATGGCATGTTGAATCTCGCTGCTGTTGCTCCTTGTTGTTGTTTTAACTGTTGCGAAGCATACGCTTGCGGATCTGTGATTCGGAGCTGGTTCTGTTGGACCAGCATCTCCATCTCCTTCCTGCCCTCTTCATCAAGGTTCTCCTTTATCTCCTCCTTGAAAGTCGTGTCCAAGGCAATGTGATGGACAAGCTCTTTACCCTCTTCCATTTCGTCAAGGATAGCGTCAAGAACGCCATCGTTTCCACGACAGCTCGAAAAGTCTTGCAGCTTAGACTTTTTAGGCGTTTCAATGTAGTCTTGCACCCGAACCGCCCTGCTCTTCGTGTGCTTCTTCTCGACAACATTGTACGACAACTGCAGCTTGAAGATAGTCTTATCGAAGAGCTTCTCCTCGAATGTGCCAGTCGATATGAAGCGGTAGACGAACACTGGTTTCTCCTGGCCAAGGCGAAATGCTCGTCCGATGGCCTGCTCCTCCCAGGTCGGGTTGAAGCTGAAGTCGAAAAGAATGACACGGTTTGCCCCATACAGGTTGAAGCCGACTCCGCCAGCCCTGGTCGAGATGAGACAGACGTCGTACTCGTTGCCCTTGTTGAAGTTTTTCGTCATTTGCAGACGCTTGTTCATCGAAGTGGAACCGTCAAGACGCTCGCAACGCACGTTGGACTTCTTGAGAACCTGGCCTAAGAAGTCGAGAGTTGGTATCCGGTGAGAAAATATCAAGAGCTTATCGCCAACTGCCCTCGACTTCTCGACAATTTTCAGCAGCAGGCTAACTTTGTACGAGAACTGAGCGTCATGGAAAGCCGCCAGAATTGGTTCGAACTTATCAACAAGCTTGTTGAACAGGCGTTCCGCGATCTGAAGGGATATGGAGTCTGCGGGGGCGTTGCCGTCATCGTCAACATCGTCCTTAGTATCGTCGGAATTGTCCGTCTCCTCATCGTCGTTCGACTGAGGGCTGTTGCCGGGCTTGACACCGACTTTAGTACGTGAATCTTTTTGGGGTGGAGCTAGACCTACCCTTTCGTCGACTACGCGGCTCAACGGACTCTTTGCTTGCTTTTTCGAAGCGTCCTTAGCCCGCTTCTCATCCAGGGCTTTCTGCTTTTTCCGTGCTTCGACAATAGCCCCTCTAAACAGGGAAGGGTGCCCGCAAAGCAGCTGCAGGTATGACATGAAGCCCCAGAGACGCGCGTTGGAGACGCTATCGCCAATTTCGCCAATCGCCTCCTGGACAAACCCGTCGTAAACGTCAAACTGTAACGGGGTGAGGGGCACTTTGAGGACGAACTGCACCTTGGGCTTCAAGCTACCCGCCAGGACATCAATCTCTCGACGATCAATCTTTGGCTCCAACATGGCGATGAGCGCGGCCATTCGAATCCGCGCTCGACGGTATTCGCCTCTTGAGCTTCCCAGATACAGTCCATTCTCTATCGGTTCAATATAGTTGGCCTTGAACTCAACCAACCCGCCCAGGTAGTCCTTCGATATCCAATCCACCATGGCGTAGTATTCGAGAAGGTTGTTGGAAAGTGGTGTTCCAGTGAGGGCAATGCGACTTTTTGTGCTCAGTTTCTGAGCAGCGATCGTGACCGCAGATGTGTGATTTTTGAGCTTGTGAGCCTCGTCGGCAACCACGAGACTTGGGCCTCCCAACAACTGCTTCTTGACCTCTTCGTGTTCTTTTTCACTGAAAGGGCTGCTATAGTTCTTACCCGCCTTCTTATTTCCCTCCCAGTTGCGGAAGAGTTCGTAGCTCATCAAGAGGACACTACCCCGCTCAGCGTTGTACCAATCCTTGAGCAGCTCCAGTCTTTGCATCGTGGTCGTCTGAGCAGTGAGGACGAAAGGTTCGCCAATAGCTGACTCGGCCTTGTTCCACTTCATGAATTCGTCGACCCAGTTGCTGATCAGACCAGCGGGGCTGAGGATGAGGACGCGCATGGCGCGCAGTTTTTTTGGTACCTGCCTCTTAACCCTTTTGTCCTCGCTTCGCGCGGCCCGGGCAAGAGTATCTATGAATGCGATAACTTGCAAAGTCTTTCCAAGACCCATGTTATGAGCAAGTAAACAGCCTTGTGGCTCGTCACTATCATCTGCAGTGCCAACGATTTCGCGCCACATGAACCGTATCCCGTCGATCTGATGAGGCTTCAATGCCGGCGCAATGTGGGGGCTGATGAAGATCTCTGGGTCGTCCTCCTCTTTTCCGGTGTTGACGACGATGTCGCCCGCACTGGTTCCTAATTGCGAACTCTGGTGATGGCTTTGCTGTAGGAATGTGTCTGTGCGGTCTTTCCAGTCTGCTGCCTTCTGCTTGGATTTCTGCCTCTTGCTGAGCGCAGCCTGACTTTCTTCAACATGTCGTTTGCGCTGCTTTCGCGGAATCGCTCCGTCAGCCTCGTGAGAGTCGATTTCCTGTAATTCGATGTCCGAGTTATCGTCTTCTTTTGCACTTTGCAAAGGATGTTCGTGTCGAAAAAAAGTGCTGTAAATGTACTGCAAACATTCGCCCAAATCCTCACTTTCATCTTGGCGGGTCTGAGCAAAAGCATTCTGCAATAGTTGGTGTTCCAGATCGACAAGCTTAAAGTTTTGCTCGTTCAGATCGTAACCCTCACGGAAGTGGACTGGCGAGGATTCGAGCCAGCACACGTACAAGTGAAGGAGCTCAACAGCGCGGTCAAACGCAAACTCAGCCATCTCAAAGTTGGCTGCTAGTCCAAGACGCGTGCGGAGAACTTTCTCGATATTCTCGCCAAGCTCGTAAATCTTAGGCCGCTGTCCAGTTCCGTAGTCCTCTAGGACGTGTTCGCGAAGCCGTTTGTACTCGAAGGCTGGCATCTCGCGTATGAGCTTGATAATCACGCGAACGCGATCAGTGTTTTCTTGGAGTACCACCCAGTCCCACAGCGCAACGCTTTCGTCAGGATCATCTTCTGGATGATCGGAGAAATCCTTGTTTGCCGATTGGGCTCGAGTCCTTCGAGAAGAAGGGCCTGCTTGCGCCGTTATCAAAGGCAATTCTGTGTCAGAATCGAATGTAAGATCAATCATGTACTTGTCGGGCAAGCAGGTTTTATCGAGTTCGGGAAAAACTGGACCTGAGAATGGCTCAACTTTGACGGTTTCATCCACATGTGCGTCTACTGTGCTGTCATCTTTTGGCTTGGTTTGCGACAACATCTCTGTAGCAGAATCGAGTTCAGATCTATTTTCATCCTGTGATCGCGTTCTCTCCCCAAGTTCATCTAGAGACGTCAATTGGGCCTGCTCCGACTGCACTGGTTGATTCGTATCTGCGCCGTGACTCTCGGTCTCGTCTTGTGCCTTGAAAGCGGTCAAGTCCAGCGGCACCAACTCATCAACATCGATGAACGTATCAAGACCTGGGCGGTTATCCACGACTTCCTCATCGCTGTCAAGTACGTGCTCACCAGGGTTTGATGAAACGTACGAGTTTCTTTTCTTGCAGGTGAGTAGCTGACCGCTGGGCGGCGGTGGAGCCTTGGGATTCCGCCACACAGACAGCTTGAACTTCTCCTCTTCACGCCAATGGACGGTAGGCTCAATGGATTCACATTGTGCACGCACATCCCTTCCTCGAGTCCATGTATCATTCGCAATACTTCTGCTGAGCTTTGCAACCGAAGCGTCTAATCGGGCAATCTCTTGCTCAGCGAGGCGAGCAAGTTTCTCTCGATGGTGTCCGGATCGTCCCTTTTTCCACGTTGCAAGCGCCCGATCCTGAAGAACCGGTAGTCTCTTCTCTCTCCAAGCTGTAACCTGGTCCGCTATGGTATCCTCAATGATTTTTTCGACTTGGGCTGCATCGAGTTTCCTTGTCTCCTCTGCGTCTTCCTCTTCGTCCCTCTCAAGCTCTTCTACCAAAGAATCAAGTTCAACGTCGTCTTCAGACTCCGAATCTCCATATGCGGGCAATATTGCGTCCTCTTTTTCACCCCTCTCTCGTTGCCAGTGGCTAAGGAAGTCCCAATCATGATTTGAAGTCGTATCATCAAAGTTCAAGCCTGAGTCCGCATATAATACTTGGTCAAGCTTAGTTCGCTTTGCTATAACAATGCCACTTTCTTCCATGATATGTATCAGTGCGCGAGACTCCGTGGACTGCGATGGCGTTGCAGAATAAGGATAGAACGCCATGGATTCATCTTTCGTGTTCACATTCAAGTATGGATCTCGGCGTAAGAACGACATCATCTTTCTATTCATGACCATCTGGAGTCCATATACGGCTGTATTTGCCGAGCCATGATAAATTAGTGTCTCGCCCACAGAGCTTCCTTCCTTTATCAGCGGCTTGCAGTCAACATCAATATTGAGCTCTTTGCCATAACGTGTAGAACCGAAAAACATTGTTTCAAAGGAGAACTTTTTCTTCCCAAGAAAGGACGTGATGCCCGGCTCTAAGCCACATTTCTGGAGGAGTGTGTTGGCAGGCAAGTAGACGGGGGAGGGGGATGTTGGTTGTGATGCTTGCGCCGCCGTGAAAGTCGCCGTCGCTTCAGAGCTCGGAAGGTCTGCATCGTTGTTCGATTGACTAGCTTCGTTCATTGTCGTCGTCGTCCTCGTCATCATCGCACTGAGATCCAGGCGACGCTTCTTGCGGCCCGCTCCATCTTCGATGACTGTTTCTCCGGCACGCCGCTTCAGAGAAACAGCATCAGTCTCGCCCTCGCCAACTGAAGTCCCCGTTCCCAGCATCGGCTGAAATGGATTAGAACGGGATGGCGACTGAGCAAGATGATGGTCTGGATGGGCCAACAAAGCCGGCTGGACGAAGCCAGGTGATGTTCCAACTGAAGCATGTGCATCGCTTTGAATTGAAAATGGAGATTGTAAGACGTTTCTTTCTGATTGATGCGGAGTGAATGGCGTGAATGGCAGGGGCGTGCTGTATTGATTGATTTGTGCCTGTGCTGAAAGGTTGCCGTGCAGACTGAGTGCGGCCGCCGACTGCTGAGCGATGAACTTTCGAGACCGGGCTTGCAGCCTCCTTATCGCCCACGAGATGCTACTCCTCTGACCTAGCGATTTGAGAGACAAATCGTCCTTGAGCACTTGTGGAGTGACCTCGGTGAGCAGCGCGGCACCATAGATGTGGTTCAGTCGTAGGAGCCTTTCTAAAGTCACCGGGTCGGGAAGGATGGCATTTGGCTGCTCTTCTTGCCATAGCGTACGCTTGTAGCAGAAGGCATCGACGACTTGGTCCAGCGTCCAATCGTAGGGATCAATGTCCTCTGCCATCGCCACGGAAAGGCAGCAGTCGGGCCAAGCACATTCGCGCTGGCCGGCACAGGACCAACCGGACAGTCGACACACAAGCAATCAAAGAAAAGTTTGCCCAGTTTCGAGAAGATCCCAGGATCAAGTCAGAGAGACACTTCGAGGCTTGCTAACTGTGTAGAGTCTGTCAGCAAAGCTAAACAAGAGTATTAATGGCGGTGTTGAAAGTTTCTGAATGGGAGGCCTTCCAAAGAATAAATGATAACCTATCATCTTGTGCGCCAGGACTGGCTAATCGAGACGAAGGTTGCATCCAGGCAGGGTGTGCTCAACACTGCCATTGAAGCCTGGAGGCCCAAACGGTGACCGGCAGTGGGATGCTACTCGAAGCGCTGTGGAAGTTTATGCGAGGCTCACGATCTCCCGCCACAAATGGCGAAAACACACGAAACATGGAACCATGAGACCCATGATCAGCGAAACGTACTTGTTATCGAATTGCTGTTGGCGCTCATCACTCCTACGCTTAGCCCGCGGCGGACGTGGTGGCTACGCTCAAAAGTTTCGTTTCAATGGCTTAGATTGAGGCACAAGTGGTGAGGACAGGGGCATGGTATGATGGATCCCTCGAAACAAAGGAGCACTGGCCAGCCGTGGGCGAATTGGAGACGTCGCCGTCATGCGAAAGTAAACGGGCGGTACAGAAGGTACGGGATGCGTTTGCGTCGCGTGCACGGCTTAAGTCGACGGCGAGTCTTGCGCGCGGAACAGCAACAGCGGGCTGAAGAAGTCTTCAGCCCGATGTTGTGCAGGATGCACTTTCGTACGAGAGAAAAAATGGTAGTAGAAATGACTGTGGGATCCTTCGCCCTCATCGGTCACGGGCCGACGGCGAAGTGCGGAAGCGCGAGAGGGAAGCACGTGAGCGGCAGCATTTCGAACGTACAAGTTACCTTAGTATGGGAGTCTTGAGAAGGAAAACTGGTTGCGTGGTAACAAAGAGTCCTCCCACCCCGCGTTCTCATTTGAACTGCGCAGCTCTGCCGGTGTTCGGAGCCCTCACAATTCAGTGCGCAGCGTTGCGTGCTGCACGTCTCTACCAGACGATTTCTCAGCAGAGACTTGCAGGATCTTAGACTCCCATGAGCCTCTTTCGTGGCCGCTTACTTTCTCTTTTTCCAATTTTCTTTCTTTCGCACTAATTAGAGCGTTCAAGGAGGAAGAGCTAGGGAATATATAGAAAAGAAAAGAAAAGAAAAAAAAAAAAACTCAGACTCTCATGGCGCGGGCCGGCTACGCAGAGTATCCGCCGGAGCTGACGGAGGCGGAAACCCACTATCTGCTAAGCAATGTCAAGGACTGGTCGATAGCTCATGGCCTGGCCGTGCGGCCATCGCCAGGCTTCGTGCCGCAGGAGCGTGATCCAGGCATGGCGTTGGCTACGACGGCGCCCGTCACCTTGTTTCCCAGCCTGTTCCCGCGGGCCTGCTTTGAAGAAGCCCTCGCGATACAGCAGTCTTACAACAAGTTGTACTCCGGCATTGCGCGGGACGAGCAGTGGCTGCGGCCTATCATCGAGGAGTATGACCTTCCACACATCTAGACGCTTTTGACGTGGCTTTGAAGGCGAACATGGCTGACGCTCGTGCGCACAACCCAGGCTTAAGGACGTTGATTCCTTCGTTGCCGATCTGTGGAAGGTGCACGTCGCCGTCGCGAAGGAGGGCTACGCGCAGGACCTCTCTCTCGGACTCTTCCGCTCGGACTACATGGTGCATGTCGACCCAGCCAACAAGGACGCTGCTCCCGGAATCAAACAGGTCGAGTTCAACACAATAGCGTCCAGCTTTGGCGGACTGTCGTCCAAGGTGTCGGCGCTTCATCGCCACCTAGAGTCCATAGGCGCATACCCCAGTCCGTTGTCTGAAACCGTGAACGCGACATCGCTTGCTCCCAGCAAGTCCGTCGACTCGTTGGCGGCAGGGCTGGCTGCCGCGCACAAGGCGTACGGTTCGCCGAGAGAAGGCCGTACGGCATGCGTCCTGTTCGTAGTGCAGGACCCGGAGCGCAACGTCTTCGACCAGCGGCACTTGCAATACGCGCTAACGGCCAAGCACGGCGTGCCTGTCTTCCGCCTCCCGTTCTCACGCATCCTGGCCGACACGGAGCTCGCGTCGGACCGCACGCTGCTGTACCGCCCTCCACATGCGGCCGCAACCGCGTTCGAGGTGACCACCGTGTACCTGCGCGCCGGCTACTCGCCAGACGAGTACAGCGGCGCGCAAGCGTGGGAGGCGCGCCTACACCTCGAGCGCAGCCGCGCGATCAAGTGCCCGAGCGTGCTCACGCAGTTGGCCGGCTGCAAGAAGATCCAGCAAGTGCTCGCCACGCCTGCCGCGCCGCACGTGGGTCGGTTCCTGTCGTCCGCGTCGGAGGCCGCCCGCGTGCTCGCCACCTTCGCCCCCATCTATCCGCTAGACGCGGCCAGCGAGGCCGGGCGTGAGGCGCGCACTCTCGCACTGGACCCGGCGACGGCCACCCGCTATGTGCTGAAGCCGCAACGCGAAGGCGGCGGCAACAACGTGTACCGCGCTGCGATCCCGCCGTTCCTGCGCGGCACGCCAGAGCAGCACTGGCCGGCGTACATCCTCATGGAAATGATCGAGCCGCCGGCGCAGCGCAACGCCATCTTCCGCAACGGCGAGGTCCAGGCCGGCGGCGTCATCTGCGAGCTGGGCGTCTACGGCGTGTGTCTGTGGCGCCACGGCAGCGGCGAGATCCTGGAGAACTGGGAAGCCGGCTACCTGCTCAGGACCAAAGGGGACCAAAGCGAGGAGGGCGGCGTGGCCGCCGGGTTTGGAGCGGTGGACAGCTGCTGTTTGGTGTGATCCGTCAGTCGCTTCCGTGTGTGTGGGCGCTCTGACGATCGTGATAGCGAAAGTAGGGCAGGACCGCTTTACACTTTCCTAAGGCCGAAGGGGCCAAGGGGAGGTCGAAGATTGCGGGACGATGTGTGCACGTTGTATGAGTAGAAGTAGATAACTTGGAGATACTGATATTGGGCCGTCTGATCCGCATCGCCTCTCAAACCTTCTCCACCCTTCTTCCTCTTCTCTCTTCTCTCTGCTCCGCAATCTTTCTCCCGTCTTCGCTTCCACGAAGCAGCGCTTAAAGCGGTCACAGCATCGACCCCTACTTGTCTACCTTTCCTACCTGCTTGGCTGCCAACGTACCGACCCACATGCCACCGCACCGACAGCCTCAGCAGAGTCCGAATCAAGGCGCGTGGAGCAGGGCCCACAGACGACCGAAATGACGCGCGACGCGCAAGAGGGCCTTTTTCAGCCCGTGGCGAGGCGGAGGACACATCACGAGGCCCTCTGCTCCGTACACGCTCACCATTCTTTTTCGCCCGGATGGAGCGCCCGCACGCGTCGGCTTCGGGGCGGGGCGGAGGTCGTTGAGACGCAGAAATTACAATGGCGGTGGTCTCGTGGTGGTGCGACGACGGGCAGCGAACCGTCGGCCTCGCCTTGCGGTTCTAGATCTCGGCCTTTTCTTTGGGGCAGAGCAAAGAGGAGGACAAAAGGGTGCTTGTGCGGCCGCCCATTGGGCCGACGAAGCGCAGTTCCCCCTCCCTAGCGCCCATTCCCACCCTATACTTCCAGAGCAGTGCGCAGTACAGCACCAGAATAGCGCGAAGGGGAGCAAGTCAGCGGCAGTGGCCAAAAGAGGCAGCGTCAAACCCGACGTTTGACGCTCACTGACGCTTCCCCTGTTGCTACTGGCACTCTCCTGCTGCGGAGGCGCGCCTCTCTTGTCATGCAGGGATCTCATGAGCGGTCTTTAGCTTGTTTCATGTTCTGAAGCGGGTCCCTGTCGTGCAGCCCGCCCACATGGAAATTCCGGGATTGTTTTTTATGTCTCTTGCGCAGTGCTTCGTCCGGGGACGGGCAGGAGATGGGTCAGTCTGGCCTGGTGGGACCCGACTATGTCCTCCTGTCATGAAGGGCGAGTTTATATGTGCGTGTGCACGTCCATGGAGTGGCGGGGACCTGTCACACTCAGCTTCGGCCCTACGCCAGGTCGCCGAAGCACAAACCTGATCATCTGCCTACCCTTCGTTCTGTTTTGTTCTTGTTTTGTTCTTGTTTTGCTCGTGCTCTCGCGCTTCAGAGCTGCGCTGGAGCGGTGTAGGGGTGCGTCGTGGGTTGGGAAACGAGAGCAAGATGCAGGTCGAGGCCGGAAATAGAATCACAGTCGTGCTTGAGACACATCTACACATCGACACCCGCACACACACACACACACACACACACACACACATGTTGAAGAGGGCGATCTCGTCACGTCAGCCTGTCCCGTCGATTATTGATCCCCCCCACCCTCTTCCTTCCCCTCCCCTCCCCATGATCTAGCAGGTGAAGGGAGCAGGATTGGATACGGAAGGGGTGGAACGAAGGGCGAGCGCGAAGTGATGACAGATGGAGAGTAAGAGATTGATGATGATGGGACAGACGCTAGAACCAGCAGCGTCTACATGTTGTTTGCGCCAAGAAGCATTGAGAGGCCACGCTTCGTCTTTAAACTTTCCGTCAGCAGTGGTATCTCTGGTTTTGCTCGCCTCGCACTCTTGTTTCTGGTTCCTTCTATTTTTAGTGCCTAAGATGCAAAGGTCGGGGTCCTGTGGCCTCGGCCAGCCATAACGGCGGCTTCAGCCTAGAGCAAGCCGTTATTACTAATGATCAGAGGAGGAACGGGAGTTGTCTGCAAATCTTTGCGGATCAAGTTTGTAGGCCTGGAAAGGCAAGCATGCTGCCAGCAGCTCTTGGTCGATGTCGCCTTGGATAATGCCGCCATTGTCGTGCCAGGCGGATGCTCAGCCTTGTCAAGCACGAGGAAGAGGGCGACGCCGACAAACGACAGAACTGCCAACGCCAGAGGAGAGGAGCAACGCCGACACGGACAAGAGACAAGAATTGTTGCTCTTCTTTCACCCTCGCCAGATTGCCATGGCCTAGCGCCCGGCAGAACAGCGCTCATCCTGGCGCTGCAGACCAGCGACTAGGGCGCAGCCAATGCGGGCGCTGGGCGGGCGCGGCATGTTCGCGGCTGCAGCCCAGCGCCGGGCCGGGGCTGGGACGCGACAATTGGCTCGACTGGCGACCGCACGACACGACGAACCACAAAAGCTGGCCATTCACCAACTCAGTCTCGCCCCCGAGCCCGTCTTTGATCGCCGACGTTCCCCTTCAGCAGCTGGTTTTGCGTGCCAGCGCGCCGCATCGCTCGCACTCGACCCTAACGCGCACGGGAAGGAAGAAGACGGGCACGGCTGGGGAGAGAGGGCCGGAATCGGCAACGCCAGCGTGCCTCTGCCCGGCGGTGCTGTTCGCAAGGCAAGCAGGCGAGCCAGCAACCACGCTCGCCGTCGTCGCCAACCGGCCGCCCGAGAGCTTCGTCTCCAGCTGGCCTTGCGCGCGCAGAAGCCGTGTGTGCTGGGGCTTTTCCGTTCGCAGGCTGGCCCGTTGGGCGCGCGTGTCGCCAGGCCGTGGACCGGGCCCACGCAGACCCAACCACCCACTGGGGCCTCCCCCCCCTAAGGGAGCCCCCGTCTGCAGGCGCATCAGCCGTGCGCGTCTGGTGCTGCTGGTGCCGCTGTGAGCGTGCGGCGCCGAGCTGGCCTGCGTCTTACTCCAGCCTGCTGCCACCATTCTCCTTGCTCCCGGACTACTTATTATTGTACGTACCTGCTGGAGCTCTTCGATTTGGCCGGACTTTGCTTAGCAGCTCCACAGCCGTCTGGCCCGTCGCCTTCGTCCTCGCGCCTCATTCCCTTTGCACACACTGCCCCTGTCCCGAGTCTTGGGCTATCCAGACCAAGCAGCACGCAAGCACATACGCGCTCGCCCGCTCCCACACGACCTCGACTTGAGCCACACATCCTTCTCCTCTCACACATCCTCTTCGCTTTTGGCTCCGTCGTCGTCGTCGTCGTCTCCCTCCTCCTCCTCTTCCTCCTCCTCCTCCTCCTCTTCTTCTTCTTCTTCGTTGTCTGCTTCTTCTTTTTCTTCTGCCAGTGTGTCAATATTCGCTTTTGTCGATTTTGTCGCGCACGCCCTCGTCTCACTGCTCTCTGCCTCGTCCACAGTCCCGCACACAAACCTCTAAACACCCAAACCAACACATCACAGCAAGAGGAAACACACCGCTCAATTGCCGCATGGGTATCCCTTCGGTCTGCCATTCGACCCTCCACCTGCTGCCCATTCTCCCCTCTTAGAGCTTCCCGGCGGCATTACGACGTACCTTTCCTCCTCCATTCTCGACCTTCTCCAACCCGCTTCGGCATCGTCGCCGTCCCGCTACGACGAACCACCCGACACCCACAATGGCCCAGGTCCTGTCTCCCCAGACGACCGAGTCGCCGCAGTCGCCGGCTGTCGCAACCATGTCGCCGGTATCGCTCTCTTCGCCATCCACTCACAATCCGAATTTCTCGTCGCTGCCTCCTCTGGTGACATCGCCGCCCCCGCGCTCGACCAGCCAGCAAAGCGTTGGCCTGCAGCGCGTGCCCTCACATCAGTACAAGCAACGCCTGTCCACTTACTCCGTCCGCTCAAACACGTCCGCCTCGAATAACAGCCTCTTCCCCGCCGGCGGTTCGCGGCCGCAGTCCGTCGCATTTCCCCAGTTTCACTCGTCGCTACCCTACGCTCTCGTTAGGGACTTTGCATACCCGCCTTACCATCTTCTGCACTACGGCGCTCCGCCCGAGCGCGAGAGCGGCCTGTCCACGCCCGCCAGCGAGGCCCAGAACCGCCGGCTTTCGGATCCGATCCCAACATGGTCTGGTCAGAAATTGCAGCGGGATTCGGGCCAGCAGCAGGCCTGGTCCTCGACCGGCGACTATCTGCCCAACACGTCGTTTGGCGACGGCGACGATTACCATCGCGACGGGCCCCCGTACAGCGAGGACGAGGATTTGGCCAGCCCTGTGGTCACGAGCTCGAGGCACCGCAAAAACAGGTCGAATCCGGCCTCACTCACGTATCATGGCATGAACGGTGACGCCAGCCAGACGCACTACGGGGTTTCTGCGAGAGACGGTGCCAACGGGGTCAGCGGTGAATTCGGCGCATATTCTGAGGCACCGGCAGAAACGACAGCAGACGGTTTGTCCGTGCCTACGAGGGAACGGCGGCGGGACTCGCACTTTGCGCAAATGCTGCCGAATCGCTCATACGACCACGCCGGCTTCGACATGATGGCCTCATCGCCTGACTCACCCAGTGACGACTCCGACTTTATCGACGTGGATGAAAATAGGTACAGCCGTGACTATCAGTTTACCATCGCATCGCCGGATGAGGAGATGCACGGACGTGCTGTTGCTCTCTTTGATTTTGCGCAGGAGAACGAGAATGAGCTTCCGCTTGTCGAGGGTCAGGTCGTGCTCATCTCGTATCGGCATGGGCAGGGTTGGCTGGTCGCGCAAGACCCGAAGACGGGTGACACGGGTCTCGTACCAGAGGAGTACGTACGGCTGCTGAGAGACATCGAGGGCGGCCTGCACGGGCTGATGACAAATGGTGCTGGTGGCGCGCCTCCTGTGGACGACGACACGCCAACCGATTCGTCGGCCGAGGCTAAGACGCCGACCCAATTGGAGCACCACCACGGACCACCTTTTGCAGACCAACATCCAGCAACAAAGAAGGACGAGTACTACGCTCCTGTGGTGAGCACCTTCTCGACCAGCAGGGAAGACCTAGAGCCTTGGCCCCACCATCTACTCGGTAGCCAGGTGACGACGCCGACGCTGCCCAAGGAGAGTTATAGCCCGACAAGAAGGGGCAGCACTGAGCGCGCTGCAGGGAGCAGGAGCCGGAGTCCGGCCAAGAGGCAGGAGACCAAGGACGAGTCGTGACAACAACCTCCGTGCACTCTCCTAATACATGGCTCCCCATTGTGCCTAGAAACACATCGTAAACCTGATGCCTGTGCCGAGAGGCGGAGTCGGAATATCATACCTGAGTTTAGCTCAGCGCATGCGTCAGAACGCGAAAGAGAGAGGCCAGGCCAGCAATCTCCAATGGGAGAAAGATGAAAAGGCTCTGGCATCTCTTGCTATCTCGAGGTGCTTCAACGACTACCGCAAAAGACCACAAATATGTATTTGTATCGACTTTATCTGACGAGCCCCACGAATCTCTCTCTGCCACCCTTCGCGTATCCTTCAGATTATCCATTCATCAATACTTCAATCATCGACCCGTCGTCCTCCCAAAGGCGGATCGTTTTTTTTTTATTTATACTAGCATAGCGCAGCGCGGAGCCAATGAAACACGTGTCTTGGGCAATCGGCCCGCAGAGATCGGAACGAAACAGGAAGCAGCCATCGGTCGAGTAGAGGCGCCCAGGGGACTAATATCAATTCAGCCTAATGGAGACCGCAACCTGGCCGTGGAGATAAATTTATTGGAGGTAGATCATGGCGGCGCTTTGAAAAGAGTACAGACACTGGCAAGGTGCCTACGTGTGAGATGGAGTGATGGAGAGCAGTGGGTGCTTGCAGAGGCAACATCTAGAATCGGGGGTGGCCTTGCTCTTATTAGAGTCCTCACTTCTCCTCCGTCCCTCTCCCTCCTTGCTACCTTACGCTCAACCAATGAGCATTCCGTCAGCTCCATTGGCCGTTGTGTCAGAAGAGGCGCAAAGGTCTGAAACGACGACGCACGGCTTCAGGCTTTATCCACTCTTCTGGAGTCAGGAAGGAAATTCTTGTTTTGGTTTTCGATTTGGGGAAACTTTTTTTTTTGACTTTTCTTCTTCGCCCCAAAACGTGTATGGATATCAACCCGTTTTTCTTTTGGTTTTGTACTGCTTCGTTCTTTGTTTGCCTTTTTGTCTCTGTGCTTTGCTTTGCGTTTTTACTCTGCTTTTTGCTTGACCTTTCTTCGCAGCGTCGTCCCTCACGAAAGAGGCTTGACGCGCAAGAGCACCGCGCGGCCCTTTGGTCACAAAGAAAGGCGCGCGCATTACGGTTTGGCGCTGGGCGGCGCGAGGATCCTTGGGGTCACTTGGGACTCCCGCGGTGGCGGATCGGAGTGGCCGCGTTCAGATGCAACGCGGGTGACGAGGCATACGCCGCTGATGTTAGCTTTTGACGAAGATGAGAATGAAAGAAGGATTAGATGGCTTCGTTCCCATTACTCTCTTTTCCCCCCCACCTTCTCTCTCCCTCTCTCCCTCTCTCTCTCTCTCTCTCTCTCTCTCTGCGCCTCGTCATAGCCCCGTGTGCTGTTCGCTCTGCTTGCCGTTGTAGCTTCCTGCGTCCGACGCCTCGTCAGGACCGTGTCCCTAACCGACGAGCAGGGGCGCCCTGGGCCCGTCGTCGCTGCCCCCGTCTGATATTCGCAGGTAAGCAGCCGAGGCGGCTTTGGTTGTTCAAAAGGTCGGCTTCGAGAGGAACGTGGCGACGATAAAGAACGAGAACGAGCGTAGCAGTGTCGGCGCGGATTGACCTGTCTCTCGTGGGTGGTTAAGAGGGAGGGAGGGAGGGAGAGAGAGGTTGCAGGGCGGGGACGAGCACGAAACTGGCTGTTATTTTTTTTTTTTTTTTTTTTTTTTTTCCTTTCTATCTACTTGTCGCGTGTCACGGGGCGAGTGGCCGTGGTATTGACTCAGGGAGGGAGGGAAGGCCAAGAAAGAAAGACCTGCGGAGGGAGAAAGTTGGAAAAAAAAAAAAAAAAAAAAAAAAAAAAAAAAAAAAAAAAAAGGAAGCTGTTTCATTTGTCCACTCCATTCTAGATATATGTACACAACATACATTTTGATTTCCACGCTCGCTCTCTGCAGCCTCGTCAAAGCCTTCGCCAACGTCGCCGTCTACGAGCTCTTAGGCGCACCATACCTGTACTCCGGCTTGATGAAGTCGGCCATTGTCTTCGGCTCGCCTGCGTAGGCGTGCTCGTCGTGGCCATGGTCGTCGTGGTGGTCGTGGCTCATCTCCGGGCCGACGTACTCCATCTTGATGACGTTTCCACATTCGCCGCAGCGTTCGATAGGACGGTCGCGGGAGGTGACGAGCCAGAGGATCTCGTGAGTGTCGGCAGGAACGCCGGTGCAGCCGACGTACTGCTCCTCGCCAAAGGATCGGACGATGATGGGGTCCTCCATCGTGCCTGTGGATGCGAAATGCCGGTCAGCAAAGTCTTCTCTTGACAAGCACGCGTACGCAATGCCTTGCGATACGTGCGTAGTGTTGCAGGCGTGCGTTGCCCGTACCTTTCCGTGACGAGTCCAGCGGCTTCATGTCGAAAATATCGATGCCCTGCATTTTACCAAGGATCTCGAGACGCTCCAGACCGGTCGACTGGTTGAGGTCTGTTGGCACGGTGCCAACTGGAGCACCTGGGGGAAGCAAGTCCTCCTCAGACTTGATCTCTGTCGACTAGTTAGCCAATCTGTATCGTTCGTGACTCGCCGGTCGATTGGGCCTTCAGCTATATCAAGGCCGCTGCGCAATGGCTCATCACGCACCATTGAACTTCTTCACGGCGACGGTCTCATCCTTGGACGCATCTGAATGCCATTAGCACGAGCTTCACTGACGAGAAATCAAGCTTCTCGCTCTCCGGAGGAGACGGGGGCAGCCGGAGTGCACGTACAGCGACGGGCAGCGGCAACAGAGAACTGGCGAGCAGCCAATGGCGCACGGCAGGGCGTCTGCCGAGCAATTGTGAAGACAGCGCGGCGCATCATCGTCGACTTCGTGGTGTGGAGAGGAGTTGTTGGTTCGGTGGTTCGATTGTCGTTCAAGGTCTGAGGTAGCTCGGATGATCTCGCTAGTGCAAATTTGGCGGCCTCGGGCATCCACAGGCATTAACAAAGCTTTTTTCCTCCTTACCTGGTTCCGCATTCTCGCGGGTCAACCCATCACGCAGACTTCCTAACTTAGAAGCTTATATGTTACTCTGCATCATTGTAGATACGTTCTTCCCAGATTCTGCATGTTTCAAAGCACTCTTGTAAACTTTAGTATTTCTACGAAAAGCGCACGTGGTGGATGTTTCCTTGCCGCTTCGTGGAAATAGGAGATGGAATACTTAGGTCCTAGAGATTTCCCAAGGCAGAACGATGCTAGGAAAGGATAATTCGTTTTCATGAGGGATAACACCTCGAATTAGACTCACGAGCAAGACGTAGAAGGTTCAGGAAGGTTTAATTATGCTGAACATTTTTCCATCATTCTGTTGTGCTGTGCAAATTGGACCAGAGCAGCACGACATCGAACAAATCCCTATCCCACCTACAGACCGAATTTTACCATAAAAATTATTGAGTTACTCTACCAAGCCACAAAAGCCACGAGAAACCCCACGGCAGGTGATGACGACATGTATTGCTCTGTCCAGGTCGGTTTTGCTGAACAGAAAGTCGTTTCCTTGGACGATTCCGTATCAAGATGCATTTCTGGCCTACAAAGACGATCTTCCGGGTTCAGGATAGACCATAGAGAAGGCTACTCATCAGATGGAGCTGTCACACGAAACAGAGAGAGGGAGACTGATTCTGTCAGACGTAACGATATCTCCTTCAAATTAGTGAACGAACTTGACATGATTGCTAAACAGCCAGTTTGCAATTTTGACGACACTTCTAGAAATATTATGAGTTGGCTTGCCTCGTTTGAAGATGTCGAGAATCGTAACGGAGTAAAATGCCATAGATTTCGATGCAGAGCAGAACGGCCTTTGCACGCGTCAGCCGTGTCATGTCCCAGTCGAAAGCTTTCTCCACTTCTTCAGCAAGGCCTTACTATCAATGGAACTAATACTGGCCTCGGAGCTCAATACAGGTGATACATGCTAAGTGTCTGGAAAACAAGAGGCCTGCAATGTGTTTGATGCCATAGTTATGACGATACCAAATGCCGCTGGCCTTGGGCTACTGCGGCATCGGTAATTAATGTCAAATGCATGCTGGTAGGACTTTTCAGCTTGTCATTATAGCCTGAGAAGGTAAGACAATAACGACCGGTATTCACCGCGGAGACAGTGGTCCTACGAAAAATCACAAATTCTGGCTATTAGATTGCCAATTGCCGATCGGCCCCATATCACACTCAAGAATTGCTTGTAGGGGAACTCGCCGTAATATTTTGGGCCTGCTGCACGATAGATTGAGACATACCAAACTTGAAGTGCATGCCATCATATGACCTTTGCACCTGTAACAGCTTGCAGTTGATTCAAACGCGGACGATTGATGACAACATATATTGAAGATAACAGATTTTTATGGCAATCAGAACTTACATGGTTTAAGTCCCATTCGTCTTCACGTTTCAGGAGGGTGTGATGCGAATGTGGTTGAAAGTCTGTCCATTCAACTCCGGACGTGAAACCTCACACGGAGTCAGACCTGGTAAATGTCAAGATCCGGGCCCCCGAAACGGACACCACGATCTTTTCCATCCGCGCCAGTTGCTGCCGTCTGCTGAAACTTTTCAAGCAAGTTAGATTTTTTAACATCTCTTGGAGACACCAACCAGGCTAGGCAAAGTTAGATGTTGTCGAAGAACCTCCCGCTCTCTTCGAGAACAACACGATACGATGGATGGATTCGCTTTCGAATCTGATGATCAGCGCCAAAATCGTTCTAAAATCGTATGTGAGGCATTCACTCTTCGCATGACAGCTCGTTTTACAGCTGCCAAGGTGCAAGAATTCCTGTTGCATATGCAAAATACAGTATCTTGGCAAGGCTTTGACCAGACTAGAGGCAAGCGGCCTCTGCATGAGGAATTGATACGACTATATCTGCTCAGCCTTTCTCCCCTTCAAAGCACGTTTGTTTTGTCCACTGTAAGTTTTTTATTCCAGCAATCATGGCAGACCTGCTTTCAGTTATGGCCAGTATCAGTGGCGTAGAAACTATTGGGGCGACCATTGCTATAGGCCATGCAGAACTTACACACAAGATCAAGACGGGCCAAAGGAGGTTTCTGATTTAGCTGATGAGCTTACATTTCTCTCTTCCTTGCTGCCAAAAAAAAAATAAGCAGGCGATCATGAATCATCAGCATCTGTATAATGAACAGCTCTTTGTCGATATTCGGTTCTTGAAAATATCCGCCGTCTACATGTAGAGTTCAGGACACTATCGTTTAAAAGCTCATTGAGTTCTCATCAGACTGAAGGTGCTCTGCGGATCCCGAGAACTAAGGCTATCATTACCGATTTGGAGTGCTTCAAGTCTATGGTGAACCTTATATTTAGTACCCTCCAGCTAGGTGTTCTGCACGAACAGCATGATCTTACCGTCGAATTGTATGTAAGGAGACCTACCTTACATTAAGACTCTCACTAACCCAGGGCAAGAGCTAAAGAAAACTCTTCAGGAAAAAGGAGATTTTGAAATTCGGCATTGTGGTCCGGAGTCTTATTAATACAAATGCTAATTCGATCGTGTGCCTGCATAACGCAGAGCAACGGCTTGAAGTCCCTGGGTCAATGGGTGACTCGAATCTCGACATATCAAGACACATGTTGCACCCACATCTGAATGAGCATCCTCAAAAGTTCAGTATACACGAAACGCCGGATTTCAGCCATCAAAATAGGAAGCTAAACCGACGAAGATACGGCAGAACTCCTCCTCATGCTCCTCATTACCAATTGCCTTCGTCTCCGATGCGGGGAAAATCCTCAGGGCCTTTAAAAGTTCTACGTTTGCAGCTCCATAAAGTCAGAAAGTCTAGAATCAGTCGAACGTATTGGAAAGCTTCTTGATAACGATAAAACTCCGCCGAATGTAGTAGCATTATCTACCGGAAACCGAATTGATTCCGTGGAAGATAGTGAACCTCCAAGCAGGATCCGTAGGAAATCCGCAACAGTGGATGATTATGATTCAGGGGCTGAACCGAAGAAACAGTTAAGAGTCGAGCGTCTCCACTAGATTTGAAGCCTGACATCTCATCTAGACTAGAGATTAATAAGAAGGAACTTAATGGACCTAATGTGTCTCCTGATATGAGCCCTTTGTCGGTGTGGTTCGTGTCCTGGAACATATCGTGGTGCTCTCAACCAACACGCAGATTATACTAAGAAGCATAAGATAATAAGTGAAAAAATCGAGCGGGTCCACAAGCCAGTGTTCCTGATAAAGAGGAAGTGGAAGAAATAAATGACAAACCTAGTGACTATGACGAGCTTACCACAGATTCCGATCATTCTGAGTCTGACTCTGATGATGTACGTCTTTCCATGCAAAAGGTTAGGTTTTCGTTCGGATTCGAACAAGGAGAGTTCAGGGACGATAAGCTGAATGAATTCGCAGCACGAATTGCTATTAGAATTGGGGCGGCCCCCTGAGGACACCATGACATGGCTCTATAGTCTCGTTTTTTGGATATTTCTCATCACCTTCATAAAAAAATGTTCCTAATCAAGTCCAGAAATCGGATTTCGCAATTATTGAATCTGTATATGACCCTGTGCACAAATGAACCGGTTGCGATGCTCTGCCCATTCCAACATCACAGAGATCATTTAAATGCATCAAGTGAAATTGAAGAATGGAAGATGAAAATTGACAATCAACACAATGTCAATGACCAGTAATGACGCCGATCTAAAATCTTACCAAAGTTCTTCTGATCCACTATTAGGGACCCAGCCACACTCAGGAGTAGAGTTAATATTCCAAATTCAACCTGGACGAAAGGAAGTATACGCTCTTGTGGTGCTTCCGGAATTGGTGAGAACTCATATGGTGTTGCAACGGGCTTCACTTTGGATAGTGAGAAGTTTCTAAACCAAGTTCCTCATGGTCTATGAAACCGGAGCACCATTCCCAGGGAGTGTAAGTCAGTCGCGACTTAGAAAGATTCCCCTCCCCTTCCGCTTATGTACGGGATCCATTTCCATCGGGAAATTATAGTGCGAGGGGATACTTTCAACCCACTGCGGCTGATCCTGCTCTCAAGATCCTTTAAGAATTCCATCCAGAGTAGAAGCTAGCTCAGGCTGCAAAAGAAGTGAGAAGACCAAAAAAGACTTGGAAGCATTGAACGTCTTGAACACCAAACGAGGTTACAGCAAGAAGAAGAAGAAGAAGAAGAAGAAGAAGAAGAAGAAGAAGAAGAAGAAGTTAAAGTTAATTGAGCAACAAGCTAATAATTAAATTCGAATTCTCCGTGAAGGAGCTCAAGGACAGAATTGCGCTGCTACTCCTGAGAACTTGCAGCTTCCTCCCTACTTTGAAGCGGTGTAAAAGCAATTGAATATCCAAAACAGCCACACGGTACATGTTTTTGGGGCATCACCAATGACTACTATAGTGTGCGAGACGCATGCTGTGCTCAACAATAAAGGATGGAAGGGGCTATGGACGTGTGGCAACTGAACATAACTTCTCCTCACGATTGTCCTGCCATGCTAGCTCTGCATGATAGCAAAAAGAGAAACAAGCCTCCTAAGCGAGCAACCGAGCTTGATCAATTTCTTCGATATGACGTATCAGCCTCAATTAGGACCACTCAGCAACCGGGTTAGTTTGCCATCACAAGCAAGTGCCGACAATTCTAGTTTTGTTCAGCTAGGTGCTGAACTTGTCGAACACGAGGCACTGAAGGAGTTCAAAGTCCAGCCGCTGAGTGAGACCGATAGCTGGTACAGGCAGCCTGCGGAAGTGACAAGTATATGATTGATTCCTCTTCCACCTCATGCCCGATCGACACGTTGATTGTCAGCAGCGGCTGTCTGAACCATGCAAAGGAGATTCTCAGGGCTTTCTTTAGTTC